TTATTCGTACTATGAACATCAAAATTATTTATTTTGTAAAAATATTTCCTTTCTCCATTTGAACTGTACACGTAACTATACCTAATAACAAAATTATTTTCATTTACCTGTGTTTAAAGTAATTGCAAATGGCTGATATTTTTGTTCAAGATTGTTTTTCTTAAATTGTTTAACATTTCACAGCGGTATAGCATGTTACTTTAATTATTCTTCCCTTAGTTTATTTATTTTGTATTTACATTGTATCATAGATCAAATTTATTTGTTCAGTGTATGTTCACTGGTGTTAATATGTCTTTTGATTGAGTTTAGCCATTTCAATTGATATTTTAAAGTGTGTCTTTCTATGTTGTGATGTTACACTATTGTTTCAGATAAGGATGAAGGTTTTGTACCATTAAAACGTTTAAACCCGCTGCAATTGTTTGCACCTGTCCTAAGTCAGGAATCTGATGTTCAGTAGTTGTCGTTTTTTGATGTGGTTCAGAAGTGTTTCTCGTTTCTCGTTTTTTATATAGATTAGACCGCTGGTTTTCCCGTTTGAATGGTTTTACACCAGTAATTTTTTGGGCCCTTTATAGTTTGCTGTTCGGTGTGAGCCAATGCTCCGTGTTGAAGACCGTACTTTGACCTATAATGGTTTACTTTTATAAATTTTGACTTGGATGGAGAGTTGTCTCATTGGCACTCATCCACATCTTATATCTATAAAGAGTATTTTCTCAGAGACGAGTGCCTGTGAAATTAACACAAAAATAAAATATATACAATGTAACACATTGCAACATAACAATTTGAACAAAAAAAAACGGTTTCAGAACAAATAAGATATACCAATAATAGCAATACATGCATAAATTTAACAGTTAGAGACGCAAACCTTCTGCGAGTATAACGGTGAGTCTAGCGTTTTATATTTGAAAATAAAAATGTCTCGAGCAGAGAAATATCGTATCTAAATTAATGCATTGATAGAATCTTTATAGGGGTCTGGATGCGGTTTACAGAATAAAGAATAATTGGCCAATAAAATAAAGAAAAGAGAAAAATGGTCTTAAAGTTTAAAGAATAAATAAATGAAGGACCCCCATCCAGACCCTCCTTTATATATTAATTATAAAATAAGATTCACGTTGACATTGTTAGAACCCTTGAACAAAGTATGGGATTCTGGTGAACTTTCAGATTTTGCTTGACGTTGTTTGATGTACAGATGGACCTTAATAGAGACTGTCAATGTAAGGGGCAAAACATCATACAACTTTTAGCATCTTGGAAAGTACATGACTTGTAAAAGCGCTCCGCAAAACCATTACCTTGACCTGCAGTTAACCTTTCATTTCTTTTTATTAAACTTTACTTCCTATATATAAATATATAACTCAGTTCCTTGATAATAAATAGCCATCAACCTGCTGTTGCGTTTCATTTTAGAGAGTTTAAAAGCAACTATACAAAGTCACTCTGACCTGCATGTTATGATTCAACTAGTGTTATACAGCTGTATGCCCGAGTTCAGTTGTCAAGAACCTTCGATCATAATTTGACGTTCGCGCCATGCAAGCCTTCGACCAAAAAAATAATAAAACTAACAGTTTCACGTACTTGTCATGTTTTATGGGTTGAGTGTAAGATCGTATTTATTTGATTTTGTATTATGTCATGTAACTATGTGTGATGACATATCTGTGACTGATATCTTCCAACAAAAAGTGGGCCATCCTAACTATCGGCTCTTTCTTCACTGAATTTAGCTAAATTTTACATGCTAATACTTGACTGCTTGGCTGTTCTCTGTTGAAGCTCTCAACATTTGATATTTCCAATTCCGAAGGTGTCGAGCCTACTTGTCAGCCCACGGTTAGCTCAGGGTCAGTCTCCAAGAATACCATGGTGACATCTCCAAATCATCTTTTATTACACATAGTGTAGCAGGCATTTGGTGTGCATGACATCGAGAACACAAATAAGGATACAAAAGCTTGGACAACACGAACTCTCAAGCTGAATTCAAACAGGTGCCATGAGAGGGTCCTCATCTTCTGTCCTACATATTTTAAAGACCGCGAAAAGATCAGAAGCTCATAAAATTACAAACTGAAAGTATGCAAGCAAGTATAGTTTGTCACCGAAATAACAATATGAACCCAACAGCTAGTGTATGGTGACGATCGTATTCTTTATATATTTATCAATCTGTTGACTGACATTTTTATAACATAAATGATGTATTTCTGTTTCAATCATTCTCTATTGAAGATAAACAAAATTCTTATAATGCCCTGTGTTGAATCTAAAACAAAGATCAAAACGTAGTCATTACACAAAACGTGTGTTTTACTTTATCACCGTCCGTCCGTCCCGTATCAAGTAAGAACCTTAAATTTGTTTTAGGGTAGTTAACCATTAAAGTAAAACTGTTCCCACATCAACTTTAAACATTAGGGTAGTTTACCAATAAACTGATGACACGTCAACTTTAAACATTAGGGTAGTTTACCATTACACTGTTACTACATCAACTTTAAACATTAGGGTAGTTTACCATTAAACTATTGACACATCAACTTTAAACATTAGGGTAGTTTACCATTAAACTGTTCCCACTTCAACTTTAAACATTAGGGTAGTTTACCAATAAACTGATGACACGTCAACTTTTCATATTAAGATAGTTTACCATTAAACTGTTGACACGTCAACTTTAAACATTAGGGTAGTTTACCATTAAACAATTGCCACATGAACTTTAAACATTAGGATAGTTTACCATTAAACTTTTGCCATATCAACTTTAAACATTAGGGTAGTTTACCATTAAGTTGAACTTACAGCAACTTTTTTAGTACACGTGTATAATGATGTGATCTTTTTAGAAATATTTGCCAAACTAAGGTTTTCATCCATAGGTAATAGTTTTGGTGTTAGTGTGTTTACCGTGAACATGTTGTTACATCAAATGAACTTTTTAAATTTTGTCAAATTTGGGTTTCACAAAGATTTCACAGGGCATAGTGTCTTATGGAGACATATTATTGTTTATGATATTAATCCCTAGTTACAAACCTATATTGGTTGATTCAACAGTCCAGGTAGGGATCGGTTATTTGCTCTTTATTCTCCTCGTGAATTATTCTTTATTTTGACACTATGAATTGCTATTTACCTTTTCAATACAAACGTAAAGGTAATTTGTGAATTGCTATTTACCTTTTCAATACAAACGTAAAGGTAATTTGTGAATTGCTATTTACCTTTTCAATACAAACGTAAAGGTAATTTGTGAATTGCTATTTACCTTTTCAATACAAACGTAAAGGTAATTTGTGAATTGCTATTTACCTTTTCAATACAAACGTAAAGGTAATTTGTGAATTGCTATTTACCTTTTCAATACAAACGTAAAGGTAATTTGTCAAACAATGAAGAAGATACAAAAGGCTTTAAACAAAAATCCTTAGATAAACAGACGGACACTACACAGAAAACTAAAGATTGAGACTCGAGAACCCCACACAAAAAACGTTGGATGAACATAGGTGCCCAAAAGGGTGAGCAGTTTCTGCACAAATAGTGGTTCGCGTCGTGTTCTTCTTTTCAAGAAAAATACGAAAATAAAATTTGAAATTTTTTCCATGATGACATCACCAAGAGTTCACGCAAGCTAACCATTATCTTGTTTGCAATGAAATACCATGCTCACCGTGTAGAACGCCACATGCGGGGTGTTGGCTATTTTTGACACGGAGTTGTGGTTTTGAAGCGGAGTAAAGCGATCAAGCTCAGTAAAAGTATGAACATTTTTTTTTTTGAGAATTGTTAGCACCAAACACTCTTATAAAGAAATCTGCTCTGAGGTTTTGTTCCATGTTTTGGTGCATTAAGCCATAGCCGTGACTTCTTCCTGACCATAATAGTAACTTAAAAGGAAAACAAATCAATTTCAGGAATAAAACAAAACACTTTGAGGCTTTTTCTCTATTTCTAACATTAAAAAAATGCCCAACTAAGATATGGGCCAAATGAAATACCTTAATTATGTAATGAGTCATCATAACAGAGTATGTGTGTTTTTAAAATTACAAACTATCAGATAAAGGACGAATTATCGGGAAATATATTTTTATTTTGATAAATGCCTCACCCCCTTGAGAAGCAAAATCTGACCCCTCGAGCGACACATTACATTTCGATGAAAACTTATCTTCAAAAACAAATAAAATTGACTAAGAAGCTGGCATTTGGTTAAATTCTATGATAAGAGTTCATTTCTTTATAAATCATACGGAAAAAAATCGCCAAAAGTAGTTTTTAATCCTGAAACTTGCATATGAAGTTTCATAATCTGCAACACGGAAAACTAAGGAGAGGTGTTTGCGAAAATGGAGCACTGGAAACGTCTGCTTCTGCTTGTTGGAAATAGATTATGGTTCGGTTCCTTCCGTGTAATACATTGTTTGGTGCTAACAATTCTCAAAAAAGAAATTTTGATACTTTTACTTAGCCTTATCGTTTTTTTCTCCGCTTCAAAACCGCCACCCCGTATCAAACATAGCCAACATCCCGCATGTGGCATTCTACATGGTGATGCTATCCTGGTTAAAGAACCCGATATTTCACATGCGAAATAAATCCATAATGTCAAACCTCCGAGTCATTTATTAATAGGTGATTCGATCTTTGCATCAAATCGAAGTGAGAACACGTAAAATATCAGAGTTAGTTTTTCTACTTTATTTACATTAAAGCTTAATGTCATGGAAAGAATAATTAATTTGAAAATTCCCCAAACATCATAAAATTTATTCAACGAGTGACCGAACAACACTGATAAATCACTGCGCTACGGGCATTCGTGAAATAACACGTTCTTCGGTAGCTCTTTCAATACTCTTCAATATTTGAATTTTTGGATAAGTTATCCATTAAAGTAATTAACACTTTTCTATAGCTTGTATTTTACAGAAAAGGACCAAAATGCTTTTAATTTTTTTCTTCAGTTTCCCAGAATTGTGGTAATCAGCAATGCACGGAGAGACAGTTTTGTGGGAACACATCAACATTCCAACCAGTCTGTGTGGGTAAGTTTAAGACTCGAGAGGAATATATTCATTCAAGTAGCTTGATGGGTATTCTGTTCAAGGCCTGAAATTTAGCACACAAATAAATCATCACTGGCAGCAGCATCAGCATTAGCATCCTCGTCATAATCACCGGCAGCAGCATCAGCATTAGCATCCTCATCATAATCACCGGCAGCAGCATCAGCATTAGCATCCTCATCATAATCACCGGCAGCAGCATCAGCATTAGCATCCTCGTCATAATCACCGGCAGCAGCATCAGCATTAGCATCCTCATCATAATCACCGGCAGCATTATCAGCATTAGCATCCTCGTCATAATCACCATCATCATCATACAAAACAAAATTTCATAACGTTTTATTGGGACCAATATCGATTAAAGAAATCTGGTGATTATGTTTTCTTCTAATGGTACAAAATAAAAAAAATTGATAACAGAACTTCTGCTCCTATTTAAAGTTTGGATTGTACTTGTATAGAATATCTGTAAACGCATACTAACATTCGTTTCGCCTAACAGAAGTTCCACTGGACACTTTGTAATAAAAAATGCCATATTATCTGTTCCTGTTGGAACAAATATTCTATAATCTTTATTCCGTCAGGAAAAAAATACTGTAATATTTGTTCCAGAGGAAATAATATTACAGAATATTTCTTCCATTTGGAACTTCTATTTCATGACATATCAAGTATAATTCAAATTTTGTCAGTTTCAGATATATCTTAAATATGTTAATTCCAATTTGCTAAATTAGAACTTATATAGCAATAGTGATGTCTTGTAGTTTAATCATAACTTAGAAATATGTGTACAGTATCTCCGAATCACCATCTCTTAAAAGTTTGAAAAGTTTTTGAATTAAGTTTCTGAAAAGAAGAAAGAAATGAACGAATCGGACTAGAACAATAACGCAATCATATACTTTAACCAGGGGAGTGGTCTCAATGAAATGGGAAATAAATAAAAGTTCATGCACTCTTCCTGCAAATTGTGGTTCAGACTGACCATGTAGTTAAGAGAAGACGAAAAATTATTCGTTATTTCATTAACTAATTGAAAGATAAATTTCTTCCAAATCATCATTTCTACTTAGACTGATAATATTGTACAATATAGTTTCATTTGAATTGAAGCATGACACTGAATAAATAACATTATGTTATAGAATTATAATTCTGTTTTATATTCCATTGAAATTTTCTTTTTAAATGAAGAACTGGGTCTTCAATGTTTTAAAGAACTGGTACGCAAACTACATAGGGGTCCTTACAAATAACGTTATATTGAACCGTATAAAGGCATGGAGTGTTTCAGGTGAAGGTAAATCCAGAAAAGCGCTTGGTACGCAAACTACTTAATGTCCTTACAAATAACGTTTTATTGAACCGTATAAAGGCATGGAGTGTTTCAGGTGAAGGTAAATCCAGAAAAGCGCTTGGTACGCAAACTACTTAGTGTCCTTACAAATAACGTTATATTGAACCGTATAAAGGCATGGAGTGTTTCAGGTGAAGGTAAATCCAGAAAAGCGCTTGGTACGCAAACTACTTAGTGTCCTTACACATAACGTTATATTGAACCGTATATATAGGCATTGAGCGTTCCTGATGAAGGTAAATCCAGAAAAAGCGCTTGGTACGCATGAAATTTATAAAGTGTTGTTTTCGTATTTTATACTAGATTAGTTAAAGACCAAACAGCCTATTGTTTATGCGCATTAGTTAATGCAACTTGATTGTGACATGAAAGCTCTTTCACGTTGTTTCCAACTCTACAAAAAGCGGCAGATTATAACGTTCCATTCCCCTTATTTCACGGATATGATGTACGCGTTTAAATACGTTTTATCAAGAAAACTGGAATTTAGCGTCGTAAATAGCTTGTGAAAATTAGACAAAAATGAACACAAAAAATGCCACACTACCTGTAACCTTGACATTGAACGTTCAACTACAAATGTTGAGATTATTTATATGTGTACAGCGCTTAGAATTTGAACTTTTGTGATTTTCACTACAATTGAGCTTTTAAAAGTTTAGGGCAATAAAAAAATGTTCTAGTAATTTCGATCTACTGGCACCAATTTTGACTGTTCCTTATTCTCTGGATAGAGTAGTTTAACTGATTCCCGTAAAACTAAAACATTGTCCGATCTTGTAATGAAGTTTGACAAAATCTTTGAAAGAAAAAAAAGGTGCATTGTATTTTGTCATTTGTTTTATTTAAAATTGTCTTTAGGGAAAAATGATAAAGATTTCGCTTGCTCTCTCTAACACATAAGGCAAAATTATTAAGAATACTTGAATGAGAAAAAAAAATGAAGGTTTGTAAAACTAAACTTTTGTTACATAAACTGACTAGAAATATAATTGCTCCAGGAATCAAATCCAACATTAAATTTCTGACTTTCAAGAAGCTGTAATGACCGGAAAGATTGAAAACAAATTTCGAGTTTCAGTGCCAGCAATTTTCTACGTTGTCATTTTTTTAATGTCCTAAAAGGACAATTGAGATTCATAAGGATCTAATCTTTTACATTTATACTGTTTTGTTAAATACTTTTATAGTTTTAAACGGGAAATTATAACTTACAGTTCAAGTGAAAATTGTTAAATTCTAAACTATACGTCTTTTCCGTCTTATTTGTATTTTGTACTTCCTTTCTCATTTATACAAGACCTTTGATAGAGTAATAACAGAGAACGTATTTTACAATAGGCCAAATACATGTAACATTCTAGAATTAAATACTTAAGGGCACGATGCAGTAACAGGGGAGGTAATGACGTTCCTAACGTAAAATGTTATTTTTCACAACGTCAAACTGTGCCATATCGTGAATAGATGCATTTTTCGACTGATTTAATCATTAGACATTGACCCCTCTTTTTAAAATGACATTTTGTTTCATTATGTATGAAAATTATTTGTACCAATTTTTATGAAAAAATCACCGAGGAAATGTTTTAAGATATAAAAATATACAGAAAAAGCGGCCGATTTTTTTCTAAAACCATGAAACTTTATTAAAAATGAATTATTCCAAAAAATTATCACTCAAATTAGAGCATACTTATGTTAAGAAGATTTTCTTTTTGTTTTTGTTTTTACAAAAATCCGCCTGTGTTTATCTTATCATATGCCCTTAAAGCTCCAAATAGAAGTCTAATAACATGATGCAATAATATCTCATTCCTTTTTGAATACACATATTTCACAAAAGAATATGCCAGTATTTGGTGAAGATGTAAACAATAATTTGGTATTATATCACTTGATAACAACAATAGCTAATAAACTGAACAAAAAATTGCAAGGATTCGGGGACGATACTCTTAATGGAGAAAGTGCACTGAAAGACAACAGAATTGAATCTCAAAGATTCAGAGTTGGAAGTAACATTTTGTCAACTAGTGTCTCCCGGCATAGAAGTTTTTGCAACTTGTAACAATATTTAAAGTAGTAACCGCTCTTATTCCAGATCATCAGACTTTGGCGATCGATGATCTCTCAATTGTGCTCACCAACATCTTCGCTTATGTGAATCCACCACTAATACTTCTTTCCAAAGTGTTAATGAAAATTTGAGAGGAATATTGTTTTTTTGTTGATTGCATCAGTAGCAGTTGTCGAATAAACTCATAACAGATACAAGGATTAAAATATTGTACGCAAGACGCGCGTTTCGTCTTCAAAAGACTGATCATTGACGCCTGATCAAAAAAGTTAAAAATGCCAAATGAAGTGAAATGTGCATCTGGTGCAATGAAATTGGTAAAGTTAGTGTTATTGCTACCATTGCGTCGATACCTTTGTTGGTGGACTGTTAGTCCCCGAGTGTATCACCAGCCCAGAGCCAGAACTTTGGTACTGGCATCAAAATACAGATATAGTTCTATTCAAATTTGCTGTTATTAAAAAAAAAATGAAAACATTCAATGTCATTCGTCCGAAGCGCTTTTCTGGATTTACCTTCATCAAAGCCGAATATTTTAAAGCAAAGGGTGTATAAGAACCAAAACAGTTGACGAGCTATATGACCAAAAAGTACCTAAAAATAAGCCAAATCCGTCTAAATCAACTTTGCCTGAGGGAGTTGAAACTTTAGTTTCTTTTTTATTTCAATTTTTATAAACGGACAATTTAAGAAAGGTTTTGTTATATATCATGTCAGAACCAAAGAACTTCGAAATCATTTATAATTAAGAAATGTATCTCCCAAATATATAGCTGTTATTCCTAGTCTGGTTTGGCTTTACATTAGGTCTTTTTGGTTTGTTTCAACTTTTCAACATTTGTATTAGGTTATGGAATTTCAAATATTTTGGCCGCGAGCAGCACTGAAGATATATTAATTGTAGAAATGCGCATCTGGTGCAGTACACTTGGTACCGTATAATATTATTAGCATCTCATCAGTAATGGATCCGCAATTTCTGGAACTTTTCATAGAAATTTCATGGAAAATCCCAATGTTGGAGACCTGTTAAGTCAAAACAATGGTCAGACATTGCATTGAAATTCCAAGTCTCTTTATCTTGCTGCGTGCATGGAATGTGTTAGGGATTTTCAGTCTCAAAGAGGATTTTTTCGGACACTTGTCAAAGAAGCCAGATCATTTAATTTCACATTCAGATATATTGATGATGTTCTTTCCATTAACAATCCAAACTTTCTTATTGTGTACCATTAATATATCCTCCAGAACTAGAAATTAAAGAAACAAAAGACACGGCTTCCTCCGCCTCATTTTTATACTTATACCTCCAATTTGACATAAGCGGTCATCTAAGTACCAGAATCTATGTCAAATAAAGGCAACAGTAGTATACCGCTGTTCAATAGTCATAATTCGATTAAGCAAAAACATATCCGGGTAACAAACTAAAACCGAGGGAAACACATCAACTATAAGAGATAAACAACGGAACAACAGAAACACTGAACTACAACGAAAGCAAACGCCAACATACATAGAAACGGACTGTCTGATAACAACTGCCATATTCCTGACTTGGTACAGGACCTTTTAAGAAAAAATGGTGAGTTGAATCTGGTTTTATTGCTAGCCAATTGAAACTTCCCGCTAATATGGCAATGTTAAAAATACCGCTAAAATGACAACACTTCGTGATAGGAATACAGTACAAACAAACGCAAGAACACTCAGCACAATCAAGACGATTTTAATTTTGAAATTATAAAGTTCCCCCACCTTAGCAGCAATATACCAACTTCAACTGCATATAGGATATACATATCCCAACTCATTCGGTATTCAAGAGCTTGCAGCTGCTATTCTGACTTTATAAAACGTCACTAGTGCCTGAGCAGAAAGTTGATGAACCACGGTTATGTCAAAGAACGTCTTGTCCTTTTTCTAAAAAAATGTTCATCGGAAGATACCAAGACCTTGTTAATAAATATTGCGTATCAACTTCACAAATAATATATGATGGTCTTGAAGTATAGATTATAAGTACTGACGTTGTTTATCATCTTAATTACGTGTTAAAGTGTTCTTTTCATTTGTCCTTGTATATTTTTAACCCTTAGGCTTTACTGTTTAGTCCATTTTTGGTTATATCCTTTTGGCTTGGCTCGGTATTTATACATCCCGCCATTGTGTTATTGTGCTATGGTCATTTTTTGTATTTTTGTCCTTCATATTTGCTCATATATATGTGCTTTGTCTATAGAGTGTCTATATGCCATTTTGTTTTTCTTTGTTGACATAGTTGTTTGTTTTTATAGGGATTAAGATTATAACACAATGTTGAATGCTGTACCCCAATTTTTGACATTTTACCTATTATGTCTGTTTATTTTGCTCACACATTGTTGTCAATATAATGGAATTCTATGCGACTGTCATACAAGTGAGAGGTTTAGCTAGCTATAAAACCATGTTTAATCCGCCATTTTCTAAATAAGGAAATGCCTGTCAGGAACGTGACAGTTGTTTTCCACTCGTTTGATATGTTTGAGCTTTTGATTTGCCGTTTGATAAGGGACTTTCCGTTTTGAATTTTCCTTGGATTTCGATATATTTGTTATTTTACTTTTTAAAGGAAAAGAAAAAAACCAAATTACAAAAATATGAGCCATTATCACAATCATCATAGCAAGTTGATCGAGTCCCAATTTTGAAGGAATGTTGCAATTGTGGAAATAAAATTATTAGGAAATGGTGAAACTAAGGATTAATTTTGTTTGATACACAGAAAGTTTCCATCAAATTAAGTCATCAATGTATGTATACACACATTTAAAGTAACGAAAATCTTTTTTCTTACCACGGTATTATGTTCTTAAAAAATTGTAAACCGTATTTGTGTGCACATCTTTCCGATGCGATATACAATGTATTTGATTTCAAAACAAAAAACGTTGACGCTATACTATACAAAATTGGGATGTTGCTCCACAGTAGAATCTGTAGGGGACAAACAGACTTTTTTATGCAAGATATGAAAATTGAAAACTGCTTCTTTAACTGGGTATGGATCAGCTAATAGATCGACTGTCATACAAGTGAGAGGTTTAGCTAGCTATAAAACCAGGTTTAATCCACCATTTTCTACATAAGAAAATGCCTGTACCAAGTCAGGAATATGACAGTTGTTATCCATTCGTTTGATGTGTTTGAGCTTTTGAATTTGCCATTTACTTAGGGACTTTCCGTTTAGAATTTTCCTCGGAGTTCGGTATTTTTGTAATTTTACTTTCTACTACTTCCTTTCACATGGGATAGTCCTGATCTACTGAATTTTCTGATACTATTTTTTTTAAATTTGTTTAAGGGATAGTTAATTCCAACCCAAATGTAAAACTGTTACGTCCTTACTGGGACTAAGGGGACGACCATTTCATTTTCTGAGGAGGGGAGGATTTTGAAAATAAATAACTTGGCCTTGGTAAGAACTGTAAATAAATAACTTTGTACAAGACAGGATGAAAATGAATATTCTGCAACACAAAATGCAGGAAACAAATGTGTACAAAAGTGAAAGCCGAGGGAAAAAATAAGCAACAATTTGGTTAAGTATTTCCTTAAATGGTCATCGAGTTACACACCTTATCAATTAATGATTGGAATATTCGTTATGAAAACACGCGAAATTCGTTTCCTTTCTAGAACTACATTTTATATGTTTATATTTCAAATATTTGGATAGCATTAGAAAGGATTTATTTGAACTTAATGCTTGTTTCGTGTGTATTTGGGCTATTAACATAGGGACAGTCCTTATTTGTTTTTAAATCGATAACTTTTCACCTAAGTTAAACCAGACAATTTCAAGGTACTTTACGGGATAGAACACATGCACTTGTCTATGAAAAAGAATTACTTAGATACTTTAATATAACATATATTAAATTATATAGGTATTTTTTCCGGAGACAAGTGACTGTGCGATAGAAGCATTTTTTATACCTCACTTTTTGTCTCGCCTTGACGGAGTCAAAAAGCGAGACATAGGTATGCTGTTTCCGGCGTCGGCGACGGCGGCGTCAACAATGTATTAGTTTGTGATTAGGTCTAGTTCATGGTGAACCACTAGTGGTAGGTCAATGATATTTGGTATGCAGTTGTATTAGCATTGGCACATCTCATTGCCATGGAGATTATTTTGCCCCGCCCCCTCAGTCATGGTCTATAGACTTTGAAAATTTTGCTAAGTTAACATGTATTAGTTTGTGATTAGGTCAATTTATGGGGAACCACTAGTGGTAGGTCAATGATATTTGGTATGCAGTTGTATAAGCATTGGCATATCTCATTTCCATGGAGATTATTTGGCTCCGCCCCCTTAGTCATGGTCTATAGACTTTGAAAATTTTGCTAAGTTAACATGTATTAGTTTGTGATTAGGTCAGTTCAAGGGGATCCATTAGTGGTAGGCCAATGTTAATTGGTGTTCAGTTGTATAAGCATTAGCACATCTCATTTCCATGGAGAATATTTGGCCCCGCCCCCTCAGTCATGGTCTATTTACTTTGAAACTTTTGCTTAGTTTACATGTATTAGTTTGTGATTAGATCAGTTTAAGATGAACTGCTAATGTTAAGTCAATGATATTTGGTATGCAAATTTATTGGCATTTGCAAGTATCGTTTCCATGGAGATTATACAGCACCATCCCTGACTTTGAAACTTTTACATAGTTTTCAAGTTAATGTTTGTGTTTAGGTTTGTTTAAAGGAAACGACTTATAATAAGTCAATGGTAATAGGTATGCAGTTGTATTAGCATTGGCACATCTCATTCCATGGAGATTGTTTAGCCATGTACCTTTAGTCATGGTTCATCGACTTTGAATATTTGCACAACTTACATGTCAAAGTATTGCTATTTTAATTTCAACATTTGCATTATCAAAATTACAAAAAGGCGAGACATATCTCTGTGATAACAGTTAATTATTGATAAATATTCCTGCTTTAGAAAAGCAACACTTAAGGTGTATGAATTTCTGCATTGAACTTTTTTTAGTACACTTGGTCAACTATTTCCCTTTTTGTTCGCTTAGTAATTTTTTGGCAAATAGAAAGCAGTTTGCTACTGTGGAGTCTTGAAAAATACTGTTGCAAAATATGTTCGACAATGATATTTTTGTTTCTATTGTTTGATTATCAGGAAAGCAATATAGCTCAAAATTATGAGGCTTTATGTCACATTACCTAACGATATTACTTCCAAATTTAAACTGGTTAAACATAGGTATCAATTCGGAATTTTTGATGATGAAATTATTAAGAACCTCGTATACTTATATTCCCATGATGTGGATTAAAATAATTTGAAACATTCTAAAACTGCAAACTTAAATTACAAATGTTGAAAGACACAAGAAAAGGGAACACAAAATCTGTTTTGTCTTTTACCGAGACATTGAAGAGAAACATCAGTTTAAAAAGAGAAGTAAATTAAAGGGAATCACTATAATACAAGACAGCGGCTAACCTCCTTAAAACGTGAAACGGACTACTGATCACGAATGTGCAAAAACTAGTTACGAAAATGAATTGGTCATAAGAATTGACGTCTTATATAATGACGTCATTAATGAAGAAATTCCCAGGTTTAACTGAGAGAACTATCTTAATTGAAAAATACATGACCTTTATTAAAGAAAATAGTAGCCGGACAGTAAACATAAACATAAGAAGATGTGCTGTTCAAACAGAAATAAAGCACGAAATGAACACGAAAGATACAAATAATTTTTTTCTTCCCTTTCATATGCGTCAACAGATATTGTTTTTACTAGTAGTAAGATAATACGCATTACGCACAGGTTAATAGCGGAAAGTCAAACGCTATATTTATGTTACTTCTCAGGGAAACAAGTCGTACAAAACGGCCATATTTGCAAAGATCTGTGATGACAGTACGCGTAAAGTTAAAATACAACATCCTATTGATCATGAACTTAAAAATATGATTTAGCAATAGCAGCTATTTTTGTCTCCCGGAAAGTCAAATCAGAAAAAATGAAAATACAACAATACATATTTTTTAGATGTAGGGACAACTATACTTATTGTAGGCCGAATGTATAAGTTAAATACAATTGTAATAATATATCTTTTCAGGTTGTAATGCTGCCTGTTACAATTGTACCGGATCTGGACCAGAAAGGTGCATTACCTGTGCATCCAATTATTATATGTTCAACAAAATTTGCCGCAGTAAGTTTGGTCTTGAAATTGTTTGTATAAGCTTTCATTTTAAAGCAGTTCTAATGTCCGATATTTTGAACACACAAAAACCAGAATTTGCTTAAATGAATATTTCTTTGTAATATACACTAAAACAGTTCATGAAATGATAGGTCTTCAAATACATGTTGTACTCTAGAATGTTGATATCGGGTTGCGTACCACAGGATATATTTGAAATTTGACACATTTATCAAAAAAGTATGTCATATTCACTATTTTATATTTTGAATTTAGATTGGTTTCATCAACGATTTTGACTTATGAGGAAAACCAATATTCTATTAGCCAATTACCGTTTTGATTCTGTTATTACACACTTTTAACACACGTTTTTTTCTCTGTGCCAATTGTAGACTAGTTCTAAACAGGACAACATGTGCTGCTGCCCATGCATAATAATTTGAAAGTGATATACAGGCGTTTTTACCAAATTGTAATGAAAAAAAAAATATTGATATCATAAGTTTTTAGCTTAAAAAAAGATTAAAATTAATTAAAAGATTTGAAAAACTTAAAGATATCACACATTACGCACAGATAAAATGCGAAAAGAGCAAAGCTACATTTAAGTCCCTCCTAAGATAAATAAGTAGTACAAATGAATTTCTAATCACGGGGTCAATTAAGGCATTGACAAATAGACTATTGCATCATATATTGATCTGATATTTTATTTTATGATTAACGACAAAGATAAAAAAAAGTTTATATGGTTTAAACAAATCACAAATTAAGTTTTTTAGCATTGACCCTGATTAATCTGGGAACGTATTTCGTAGTCAGATTACCAGATTATACTTACTTTAATATATCAAAGTTCAACAACACAACAAGCTTTACTTTGTTCCGGTTAATTTTTTATACAGAAACAATCAACAACTATTACCTTTATATGGTTTGAATTTTTCATAAATCTTACAAGTAATATACTTTTTACCATGGTCTACATTTGTTTAGTGGGAAATTTAGTGACTTAATTGTATTACCCATTGCAAACAATGATAAACTTAACCCTTGAATTTTCGGCACTTTCTCCTAAAGGAAGCTATTGAGTATACGTTAAATATATCTAGTTATAATGAAAACATGATAGAAAGAAAAAAAAAACAAGAGCTATCATATAAGGCTATCATTTTCGTCTAAATTTAGCAAATAACGAGAACAACAGGCTATTGGATGAACATAATACTTTATCAATTTCGTGCGACCAGCATTCATCATGATTGCTCAACCCAAACATTTTGAGTTTTGTGTAATATTTATATATATTATAATATAATATTACCGAAAAGACCTAAAATATTACCAAAATAAATGTCGTAACATCGGCAGAACTTTACCAATATTGGGCCTATTTGTTTGGCAAAGTTTCAATAACTATTTATTTTATGATTACACAAAGCTTTTATTGTATTCAAAATGTATTTTATTAACTAATTGGAATGCATATATATATAGAGAGCACTTTGCAAAACAAACCGCTGAAATTATCTCCTTCCTCCTAAAAGTTTTGTATTTTTTCTTACCTCAAAAATGAGAAGTTCACATTAAATTACCTCAAAAAGTAAGTCATAAAGATACATTTTTCTTTGAATATTCGAAAGTGTCTATCAATATGACTGTGTCAAAGTTCTAAGAAAACAAATCAACATAAAATCTCTTCTGTATCGTATGTCCTTAAAATCGCCATTCGTCGTATCTATTCTGCTTCAACACATTGTGCTTCAAGTAACTCACCAAAGATACCATGCTTATAATTTTGTACGACAGACGCGTTATTAAAAAAGAATCAAAGTACTGAAGTACTGAACATCGGATGACCGCAGGTTCTTGTGTATGGTCAAAAGCACATGTCACAGAAACAGATCACATCTCTATACCTGAAACTGAGGTTAATTTACAGAGATTTTTTTTTCTGATACAAGTTCCTGCTTGGATGATAAATAAATGACAGGAAATTCAACCTCACCGTAATTACTATTATATTGTAGTGATACAATCAGTATACCTTAGACTATTATACTAATATAATAATAGTTCCAGAGAATACACTGGTTTGTTGTTATATGTTATATTAATATTACGGTTACATGTATATATAATTTTCATCTATTTGTATCATTCTATTCAATATTATTATAGTGCAGTGCAAGTGCATGGTGGACACTCTTCTGTAAAAAAAATCAAAGCCTTAAAGGCTGTAAAAGCAATTGCTGCCATGTTAATGCTTTGTGGACTTTTATTTTTCATCCATATATATAAGAATTAAACCTGACAGGACAGGAGTGTTGACTAGTGAGAAGCAAGACGGTTTTAACTTTATATCAATAAAAGACTTTAGCAGGAAATCATTTTAAATATGTTTTATATTTCACAAGGAGACAACAAGTTTACCAGGCTAAAGTTGGGGTTAATTATACATGTGCTGAAACATATAACTAAAAAAAAAATCAATATGGATTGTCCCCTGGTAGTGTTTGTAACTGGGCAATAATTTCCTTTATTGATTTAATTTTAACAATTTTCATAATTAATTTAAATTAACCATTCAATTAAAACATTTCAACTTTCCAGACGCAAATGTTGAAAAACGGGCAAGAAATAAAATATCTTACAAGACATAAACATGTAAAAAATAAATATATATTTCAGCTTACTAAAAATATTTTCATAATGTTACTTTGACATCATTTCTTAAAACTAAGTCCCAAACATAATTGCTCAGTTGACATGTGTCATCCTCATGCGATACGAGATAACTATAATTCTGATGCTATCCCGAAAAGGGGGGTCATCACAAACAAACATGACATTAAATTGTCATTATACGAACTAGAACAAACAGCTCTATGTTGCTTTGATATTTATCAATTTTCAGGAAACATGTGAAATAAATTTCAGGTCCATTTCATTATAGTGCCTAACAAGATTGTGTGAGGTAGACGAAATTGACCTTAAAACGATCGTATTGTCTTTTGATGTCCAAAAATAGGCAGATCGGACATATAAGGACTTTATCTAATGACTACACAAGTTTGGGATTTATTATTATTATAATATTCTAATGAAACTGAAAATTGTATTTTTTTGTTAGGATAAACAACAATTTTACCTGGCGTAGCCGAGCATAAAATGTTTTTCTGCGAAAAATGGCGTATTTAATGGAATAGAACGTTAATACAGTAAACTTTCTCTTTTTTCTCCGCAATAGGCTATCAAAAATAATTTATCTAATGTGTATGTGGAAAATTATGTGAAAAGATAAAAAGTGGCAATTGTTACCTTTCATACCTTAAGTTTCATTCATATGCCGCTATTATTGTTGTTGTTACCAATTATGTAAATCAATTGTATCTGATTTTATGCCCTTTAAGGGCCCTGTAATTTGGAAAATACAAAAAAAAAATCTATTCATTGATAAAACGTAATATGGACTGGTCCAGTGTCCAGTTTGCAGGTCATTTAATTTACTGTACACATTCATGCACGCTCTGATTTAATCAATATACTCGTACGAAAAAGCATGAACAGTTTGAAGGTAATCTAATAATAAATTAATCCAATCAAATTGCATAAGATTCAATAACAATGTCCAGTCCACATCATAATGAGTAAAAGGGGTAAACTTGGTAGGGAGAAAATGACAGATATTTCAAGTTAATATTTATGCAATAACGAATTAAAATTTGTCAACCAAAAGTTTTGCTACAATTTCAAAAACATGTCGTTCTGTATGGGTATAGTTTTCGGATCTTTCATTAGCGTATTTAAGGCAATAAAAGTTTGGGCTTCAAAAGTTCACACAATTATTGACTTTATACAGAAAATTCGTCCTTGTAAAACATTTAATAGTTCACAAATGATACGCGATTTTAAAGTAAAATTATTTCTTAAAACACTGCAAAAAATTTCATTCATATTGATAAAGTGGTATCGTCATAAAGTGCGTTGAAATGAACAGTGGTATAGCAAACATCGAATTTCTTCACAAAATGTTATCACACACTATAGTAAGGGGAGTCAGTTAAGTTTGTTTATTTTTAGATTACAGGTAATAATTTGACATTACGTATACAACCTGTGTGACCTGTGTAGTGATTTTGATTTTACGATAAATTCATGAATGAATGAACGATAATTTTATGAATGAACATGAGCACCTGACCTCTTTCTTAAACACCAATTAAACATATAAAACCGTATTTAAAAGGAGATAATTCAGTCAAATGTTCAGTACTAAATCAACAACTGAAATGATTCCATTTTTTGATGAAACATCGTACGAACGGAAAACGGAATCGCAGGTATAATCAAAGTACTGAAGTACTGAACATCGGATGACCGCAGGTTCTTGTGGATGGTCAAAAGCACATGTCACAGAAACAGATCACATCTCTATACCTGAAACTGAGGTTAATTTACAGAGATTTTTTTTTCTTATACAAGTTCGTGCTTGGATGATGAATAAATGACAGGAAATTCAACCTCACCGTAATTACTATTATATTGTAGTGATACAAATCAGTATACCTTAGACTATTATACTAATATAATAATAGTTCCAGAGAATACACTGGTTTGTTGTTATATATTATATTAATATTACGGTTGCATGTATATATAATTTTCATCTATTTGTATATCATACTATTCTACTATTATTATAGTGTAATGCAAGTGCATGGTGGACACTCTTCTGTAAAAAAAAATCAAAGTCTTAAAGGCTGTAAAAGCAATTGCTGCCATGTTAATGTTTTGTGGACTTTTATTTTTCATCCATATATATAAGAATTAAACCTGACAGGACAGGAGTGTTGACTAGTGAGAAGCAAGACGGTTTTAACTTTATATCAATATAAGACTTTAGCAGGAAATCATTTTAAATATGTTTTATATTTTACAAGGAGACAACAAGTTTACCAGGCTAAAGTTGGGGTTAATTATACATGTGCTGAAACATATAACTGAAAAAAAATCATTATGGATTATCCCCTGGTAGTGTTTGTAACTGGGCAATAATTTCCTTTATTGATTTAATTTTAACCATTTTCATAATTAATTTAAATTAACCATTCAGTTAAATCATTTCAACTTTCCAGACGCTAATGTTGAAAAACGGGACAGAAATAAAATATCTTACAAGACATAAGCATGTAAAAAATAAATATATATTTCAGCTTACTAAAAATATTTTCATAATGTTACTTTGACATCATTTCTTAAAACTAAGTCCCAAACATAATTGCTCAGTTGACATGTGTCATCCTCATGCGATACGAGATAACTATCATTCTGATGCAATCCCGAAAAGGGGGGTCATCACAAACAAACATGACATTAAATTGTCATTATACGAACTAGAACAAACAGCTCTTTGTTGCTTTGATATTTATCAATTTTCAGGAAACATGTGAAATAAATTTCAGGTCCATTTCATTATAGTGCCTAACAAGATTGTGTGAGGTAGACGAAATTGACCTTAAAACGATCGTATTGTCTTTTGATGTCCAAAAATAGGCAGATCGGACATATACGGACTTTATCTAATGACTACATAAATTTGGGATTTATTATTATTATAATATTCTAATGAAACTGAAAATTGTATTTTTGTTTAGGATACACAACAATTTTACCTGGCGTAGCCGTTCATAAATGTTTTTCTGCATTTATCTTCGAAAAATGGCGTATTTAATGGAATAGAACGTTAATACAGTAAACTTTCTCTTTTTTCTCCGCAATAGGCTATCAAAAATAATTTATCTAATGTGTATGTGGAAAATTATGTGAAAAGATAAAAAGTGGCAATTGATACCTTTCATACCTTAAGTTTCGTTCATCTGATTCTGACCAATGCTTACATACTAAAAATCTATTTATATGCCGCTATCATTGTTGTTGTTACCAATTATGTAAATCAATTGTATCTGATTTTATGCCCTTTATGGGCCCTGTAATTTGGGAAATAAAAAAAAATCTATTCATTGATAAAACGTAATATGGACTGGTCCAGTGTCCAGTTTGCAGGTCATTTAATTTTCTGTACACATTCATGCACGCTCTGATTTAATCAATATACTCGTACGAAAAAGCATGAACAGTTTGAAGGTAATCTAATAATAACTTAATCCAATCAAATTGCATAAGATTCAGTAACAATGTCAAGTCCACATCATAATGAGTAATAGAGGTAAACTGGGTAGGGAGAAGATGACAGATATTTCAAGTTAATATTTATGCAATAACGAATCAAAATTTGTCAACCAAAAGTTTTGCTACAATTTCAAAAACATGTCGTTCTGTATGGGTATAGTTTTCGGATCTTTCATTAGCGTATTTAAGGCTATAAAAAGTTTGGGCTTCAAAAGTTCACACAATTATTGACTTTATACAGAAAATTCGTCCTTGTAAAACATTTAATAGTTCACAAATGATACGCGATTTTAAAGTAAAATTATTTCTTAAAACACTGCAAAAAATTTCATTCATATTGATAAAGTGGTATCGTCATAAAGTGCGTTGAAATGAACAGTGGTATAGCAAACATCGAATTCCCTCACAAAATGTTATCACACACTACAGTAAGGGGAGTCAGTTAAGTTTGTCTATTTTTAGATACTATACAGGTAATCTTTTGACACTACGTATACAACCTGTGTGACCTGTGTAGTGATTTTGATTTTACGATAAATTCATGAATGAACGATAATTTTATGAATGAACATGAGCACCTGACCTCTTTCTTAAACACCTATTAAACATATAAAACCATTTTTAATAAGGAGATAATTCAGTCAAATGTTCAGTACTAAATCAACAACTGAAATGATTCCATTTTTTGATGAAACATCGTACGAACGGAGAACGGAATCGCAGGTATAAAAATGCACTTTTTTCCCTTGTAATGACCGCGGATCTATAATTTTTATAGATCGGTTGAAATCCCAAAACTAATTTGCATAATGGAAATTAAGGCGATAGCAATACATCGGAGTGACCTCAAGGTCATCCTCTGTAAAAATGCACTTTTTCCCCTTGTAATGACCGCGGATCTATAATTTTTATAGATCGGTTGAAATCCAAAAACTAATTTGCATAATGGAAATTTAGGCGATAGCAATACATCGGAATGACCTGAAGGTCATCCTCTGTAAAAAGTCTACAAAAGACTCATGAGTGACGATCGAATAAAAAAAGTTAAAAGGCCAAATAAAGTACAAAGCAGAAGAGCATTGAGTACCCTAAATTCCGAATTATTTAAGAGAGGTCTTTTTCGTGTTATAATTTGATTTATTCAGAGTCCTTTTTCTAAAGTTCCTTCTGAAGATTACTAGGTTTTTATTTTTATTTGTAGCTATGGTCAATGATTTATATTGTCTTTTCATGGTCTCTTTTTGTTCTTACTTTTTCGATGATGAGATTAATATGAATCTTATTTAGGAATCACACGTACTTAAAATCTGAAACAGACGATTGCTGATTCCACAGGTAGACATATCAAACCAGTCAAATCCATATCCTGGAACCACATTCTAGTATTTCTATGTACTTTCTTTTATTTCATTATTTTCCATATCCATGAGATTATAATGATACTCTTTTAGATTCGGTACATTCCATTCAGTATTGTCATATTCATTGGTAAATTAGTTTGAACTACACTAAATTATACTATTTTTTATATTTTGTTTTGTTATGTTACTATATTCTTGTCATACATTTTTTTTTGCGAGGTGGCAAACATTTCAGACATGCATATATATGTATTTATTACGTCTGAAATAAAGTCCGATAAAATATATGCGGTAGCAAAATTGTGTACCTCCATTAGCGGATTTTGAATACGTGCTTCTGTGATATCATGGCAACACCACAGGAAATATGTCCAGTGGATTAGACCACTCGGCCACCTAGGCTATACAAAATAAGGCTGTCGGTAGTTCAGTGATACCTTTCCTCATCGGCTTCATTTAAAGTTTTCACATACTAGTATTGCTTACTGCATGATACCATCAGCTGTGTTTTGTCAGTAGTAAGGGTGAAAATACTTATATAATCACATCAATGTTGTTTTAATTCTAATCGTCAAAATAATTCCTCTACGACAGACATTCTCCGTCGGTTAGACAAGGGATATACAGGGGTTTATCAACAATTTACATAAATTTTGAAGATAGATCTGTACAAATGCGTTCTTTCTCCGAGAGATTTGAACCTATGATTTTGTTGAATCGTTACAACATCACATGTATTATGTCAAGCACCCTAGAACACTTGACCGAACAAAAATATATCGTTCGTAAGTCGAATGATGTCTGTCGTCGTCAACAGACCTAGCTCATTTCCCGTTTGTTGCTATTTATATCGTCAAGTATATAAATATATTTCAAAACAAAAACAGACTGTTTACGACACTTACTAACCATAAATAAATGTTTCAATTTTCATTAATCGCAATATCAAGACGTAACAATGACGTTAAATGATCATGAAGTTTCATCTTTAAATTAAGTAAACATTCGTGGGTAAACTTCAATAATCAAAGAATTTATACTCTTGTAGTATGTGATGATTCGTGTGATGGTTGTACTGGAGCAGGACCAGAGAAATGTAAAAAATGCAAGATAGCATACTATAATGAGGAAGGAACTTGTAGGTGTAAGTATTTTTACCAATACTATCATATTCAGTCATCAAAAAGTATGTGTTCAACGGAACAGAACAGCAACGGTGATAAAAAAAAATCTCACAGCCTGTGTCAATTATCAAATCTTGCCTTTTAGGAAATACTCCCGAAACAAGGCTGTTATTACCTGAAAATTCATGGTTATACGAACAATAGTGTTAAAATATATAACTGTTTGTAGGAAATCCGACTCATAAAAAGTATGATATAATACCTTAGAAAATGATGCATTTAAACTTCGACTTTTTTAAGTATTTGCAACGAAATAATAACCGAATGTCTGATATGTTATACCTAAATCAATTTAACAGCTTGCCCAGACGATACATTTGGTCAGAACTGTGAAAATACGTGTCACTGCCTAAACGGACCCGACGACTGTGATAGAGAGACGGGAAAATGTGGTTCATGGCAATGTGAATGGGGATGGAAAGGTCCGCCTGAATGCCAAACAGGTAAGTAAAATAAATGTGCTATTAAGAACGTTTCGGGTATCAGTCTGAATTACTTTCAGTTATATTTGTCAGGTTTATAGGAATTTGGTTCAAATCTCTTCCAATCGGATATGAAGCAAATAATAACACTTTTAAAATAAAGCCGCTGGACACAATCAACGTAACGTTATTCAGACACCAGGCAGTACATTCATTTGCAATTTAAACTAGAAGTACTGTCAGCAAAGCTCATAAAACTTTATACCCGCCCTTTGCAAAGTCCATATCTTAATAATGGAAACCCTAAAATGATACAGATCGACACAAAAAGGGTAGTGCTCAAAAGCAAAATAGTTTTAAGAGTGTGTGAAAAAGTTATAAAAAATGTAATGCAGGGTTGAGGAGGAGTTGCGGATACAAAATGCGTACGTCCGAAATAATGCAATGGCAAAGTCCATGCTTTGGTAAGGGCAACCCTAAAAATGATTCGAATAAAAAAACAAAATAGGAGGTGTACAACATCTCTCCATGGTTACGATTATGATAAGGTAACAATACAGTGTATTAGGGGTTTAATAGGAGTTATGGATACAAAACGGGTACCTCCAAAATAATGCAATGGAAGTCCATGCTTTGGTAAGGGAGCCTAACAAATATTAGGGGTTTAATAGGAGTTATGGATACAAAATGGGTACCTCTAAAATAATGCAATGTAAGTCCATGCTTTGGTAAGGGAGCCCAACAAATGATTCGGATTAATGATAAAAGAGAAGTTGCACAATAACATAATATGGTTAAGAATAGAAAAAGAGATGCACAATGGCGTTTTGTCATGAAGAATATGTGAAAGTTTAAAATTTCCACGCACATATAGACGGACTAATGGACACACCGATCAGTATATACCCCCACTTTGTTGAGAGGGGGGTTAAGAAAGTATACATAATTTACTCTGAAAGCCGAATGTCCTTTTTGTAAGTAGATTTGCTTTTCATTGTGATCATGGAAGTAATATTGAAAGGAATAACAACGTCGTCACTTCAAAGGTTTCATCTGCGTTACCGCCCATCTTTCGATAACTCGTTAATTGGTTTAATATATGGCATGGTAATTGACTCTCGGCATTTGATAGATGATCATAGATCAAATCACTGACACTTTTCGGTCATTTTCGTGTTCCCGGAAAATTACGAATAGACCGGTTGTTGTCGTATATACGTACGAAGTAACCAGAATAGTTCACTCGTTACATTCCGCTGCTGTACGCTACCGAATAGAGTCAGTCGTTCGATGTTGATTTTAGTCTATTTTTCCTATTTATGTCTTTTGCGATCTTAATAGTTTATGCCGACAGTTATCACATATGGAATTTAAGAAAAAGGGTGGATCATTTTCAATTTTAATATTTAAAACCAGTTTATTAAGAAGCCATTTCTGAAAGTTAAGAAGATGATTGTACAAAAAATATGTTTCGACCCCCTTTTATTAAATACGAATAATCCAAGTCTTTCGTGTATACCAGGCAATTTAAATATTCACAATTTTAAACGTTTCTATTTTTTAATTTGTACATAAACTAATTCATATAAAATAAATTTACGGTTAGACAGATAGCGTCAAGCTCATTTTGTATGGTCGATTTTCTTTATGCTGTAACGTGCTACATTAGTATTAGTATTCAATTGTAAAAACTTTTTTAAAATAGATATAAATTTAACATGTTTACGAACTTATCCCGATTTTTAATTGTCCAGTTTCAATAATGTAATCAATTACTTGAAAGTAAATATTTTTATAAATCTCGATAAACTTGGCACATTTCAACAGTAAAATATTCTATGTCTACATTTGTCTACATTATTTTGTTCAACATCATATGAAACCTGATCGCTTCATCGTTATTACCAGTTTTACTCGTGATCCGCTTTTAATCGGAAAACACTTTTAGATCAGTTTAAATCAAACAGTAAAAAGCAAAAATATGCAAAAATAAATATAATTGTCCATGTTAAACTGTTGTAGTTTAAACAATTCTAGTCCGTTTTTCAAGTTTTTTACATCATTCGATTTCTTTCTGAAAATAGAAGTTTTATATGATACAGCGCCACCTTGCTATTAATAAACTAGGGATTTCCCACAGGTGATTTATAATTACCGGACTCGATAAAATCATGTGTCTGATAAGAAATTCCAGATGCCATTTTACAACCGCGGTATCACAGATAGTAACCAAAGGGGTCTTGCCGCTGAGACTATAATTGGATAAAATCATATGACTAGTACAGAGCTCTGCAGGCCATAAATACATGCTAATTAGTCGTTGTTATTCCTTTTTAATATTTCTTCAATGTTGTGATCAACTCAAATAGCCATAACTATTGTTAAAGCTTTCTGCTTGATTACTTCAAGTTTTTAAATTAAGGAAAAGGTTTCAAGGTTTAAGGTTCTCAGCAACATGATGAATGACGTAGAAAAACAGGGTTTGATTCACTTTCTATATTAAAATCGTCGCGATATAGCCTTTTTGTGCTGAGGCGGCGTAAAGCAAACACCAATCAATCAATCTATATTTAAACTTTGCATGATAATATTTTCATTAATGTTACAGAAATATGTTAAACATAATAAAATATCATGGGTATCCACATTTATGTTCAGTCTAGATACACTGCTCATTTAGGTTAGTATATACTAGTCATAAAGATAACGGACATAAAGTGAAATCTGACACATTTATGGTAAAGGTTTCTTGAAAACTGATGTACTTTGTGTACGTTTATAATCTTTCAGAAAATATGAAAAGAAAATATTTTCGGGCTAGTCATGTTTGTTATTGTAATATAAGTTTATAAATTGATGTGTTTTAATTGAAACCGTCTGTCTATATGATTTCAAGCCAATAACTTGCGACTTATCCTTTTACAGCTTGTGAACCAAATTTCTTTGGTATAAATTGCAACAAAGAGTGTAATTGTCCAGTGAATGACACATGTAGTTCAATAAATGGACGATGTGCTTCAGGAAATTGTCATCCTGAATATGGTGGACCAGCTTGCCAGATACGTAAGTACATGGTTTTAATGTTGTTGTTTTTTTTATGTCAAATCGAAATCGATCGGACGATGTAATAAACCCTGTGTGCCTGCTGAAATGATGATTTGCACCGCACTGTTAAATGTAACTAATCTTGAAAATATGTCTACCTCATCATATCCAAAACTCCATGGCGCATGGCGAACTATTTTCATTACTTTGCACTTGTCTAAAGTCCGTTGGTTTTTAACTAGCATCGTTGGTTGGATATCATAAATGACATGCGAAATGATTATAAAGAATAGCTATTTATTAATGTTCATTGCTTCTCATCACGGTTCGAAGTATAAGTTTAATTCGATATTCACGCCACTTGAAGTTATTACTTCTTATATATCGGTTCTGATTGGTTGCTTTATTTATGTGTCTAAGGTTCTATTGCCTAAAATGAGATATAATGTTAGGAACATGTCCTAAACAGGAGAAGATTTTAATATTGAAGATGAACAATAAAATTACAGTATGGGTATTCAAGACCGAATCAACAATTATTGCTTCAGGTTGACGTTATTTTTGATACTGCGAAACACTCGGTACTTTTTAAGAAAGGTTAAACTTGTATTTATTATTTTACCTCATAACACCAATTTAAAATTTTGTCTACCCTAAAATCTGATTTTGTTATTATTTTGCACCGATTGATTAATTACTCACAAGATTATTAGCAATAACATGACTTTAAGGCATACATGTGGCCCAAAATTTCTTCATAATTCTTCCTGTTGTTTACCTTACAGATTTACCAAAGCTAGTAGAGCAACCAAAAATTACAAACAATAAATGCGGAAATCTGACATTGAGCTGGATTGGATGGGTGGAAGATGTCGACATTGGGAAAGGACCCATAGCTCAGTATCTGTAAGATTTGTGCACTAGCGAATTGCGCTGAATTGGAAACGTGACACATAGCGACGTTATTTGATTAGTTTTAAGTGCAAGCAAAAATACTCATTTCCACTAACTTCAGAGAGAGAAAAAAACATTTTGACAAAAAACAGGAAACAACATTACTTAGGTAAAATGAGCCAAACCCCATAACAACACCAACACAATGCAATTTTCCAGGAACTGTTAAGGTTATCGAAAAACAAATTATAATAAAAAGTTAAGCAAATATCAAACAATCCATCGTAACATAATTTAAATCAGGGATAGCCAAATGAATGAAGTAGTAGGAGTTTATCCATATACAAATAAAGAGCCAAACATTTGGTCACAATGAGCATATCTTTAAAGCCCTAAAGGGAAAAAGCGTATTGTTCACATATATGTTTAAGTGTGTGGTTTTGCTGGCAGACATCAAATATTTGAATATTTTTAAGGGAGTTTTGGACTTTATTGTAATTTTTTGTGATTTTGAGGCTAATGGAAGAAAGAAATGATTTCTTTCAAAAATCATAAATAAACATAGTTTCTGTGCTTGTTTTCAAAATTTCAAAATTATTTTTTTTTGTAATTTATTTGATATTTACAATTTTACAATTTTATAAAATTGGTATATTTAGCAATATAACGGTTAAAATTGTTATCCAACAACATATTACACTACTGCATTAAAAATGACATGTTTATTTTATATTTGAAACCTCTGTTAAGGAGCAATTAGAGAAACGAAAAATGAAATATCAGCAAATTTTTTTCACTTCAAAAGGAGGTGGTTATAAGAGCCCAATTTGACCTAAAATTTTAGGCATAAACCAGACGATTTTGAAGTAAGGATAAAAAACTTTTTTTTTCTTAATTTAATCTGTTAGACCTTTGAAATTTCATGGGTATTCATGGAAACTCTACGGTCCACTAATAGAATAATTCAGATATTCTACAAAAAAAAGCTTTTGTTTATTTTCAAACATATTTGTGCTTGGGAAATATTGAGTAAATGCAAGTACCACAAAATTAATAATATGAAAGGTGTTGTTCATATTCACAAACATTCTGGTAAATTATTTTCTTAGCAGTATGTGCTCTATTTTTGCAGGTTTTAAAACATTTTAAAAATTGACCAAAATCTTGCGTTTTTCACGAAGACTTCCAGCACTGCCTTTGACGTCAAATGCATTTATTGTTACGTCATGGATGGAAAACTACATGTTTTTAATTTTGTATTACCTCAAACCTAAACAGATATAAAAGGAAATCTTAGATCCAAAGTCCGAGTTGATGTAATTTACAGTACTACCTGTGACATTATCTGATTAATGGTGGCCCTAAAAAATATGGACACCATGATGGCCCTAAATGTCCATCATTATACCCCCTGCTGCTTAATTAATACACAAGGTATTAATCAAAAACTAGTCAAGGATAAAGAGAAATCATGACTGCATTGAAGTGTTAAAATTACATAACTTTCAGGTAAAGTGTCTCAGGGAAATTATATGACTTTTTGTGTTTGTCAAATTTAATAACTGTGATTATGACAAGAAAATTCTAAAATAAAATGAAATAATAAAACTAATTGAACATATAGCTTCCTAACTTCTTTTTTGTAAAAATTTTCTCATGACTGTTTGCAAATGTTTGTTTTGAAGTGATTTTTTACATGTATTTTTTGGCAAGTGAATAATAAATGAATATCATCTTCTAATATAATGCAAACTTTCACAACGCCTGCCTTTCCCTATTGAAAAGGTGTTTCTCAATTAATATTCTAAAATCAAAATTGTTTATACTTACTGCATTTAACATTGTTTAACAAATGTTTAAGATTATCTTTAGGACTTATTCTAAATAAAATTTAGGCAATTCATTATTTCTCTATTGAATAAATACATGTATATTAAAAATATTCATTACAGAAAAATTTGATAATTTTTTTATTGTCATATAAACATATTACAATTTAATCAAGTTTCTGACAAAAAAAAACCAAAAAAACATTATAATGAAAAGAAATAACAATTCTATAAGAAATCAAAACACATGGAAAAAAGTTATTAGGTTTCTTCCCTTCAGTTCTAATGACTTTCTTTTATAAAGGAGCCAATATTTTAAACATGTCCCATGTTATAGAGGTTTAGCATTTCTTTTGCTTTTTGTTCTTGGTTAAGATTTTATTCATAAGATTCAAGATTTTATTCATAAACTGGTCAGAGACATTAATATGAGAAGGTAAACAATTTTCAAATAGATTATCACTAAGTTGTTATGTTAATTTTACAAACAATTCTATCCTTTATAGGAATTTTTATTCACCATTTTCTATTTCTAAATTATGACCACTAATTCTTTACTTAGTGAAGCATTTGAGTTTACTGTTTTTATCTTGAGTTTTTATTTTATTTTCAAAAATATTCTTATTTTTTTTCTTAAAATTCATTTTTAATCAAGGGCTTTAAAGAATCTAATTCATTCAAGCCCCTGCAATTATTAACTTTATCTAAAAGGCCTGAGTTGAATGAAATATTCTTTGCAAATGTATACCAAGAATATGTATCATGCATATGCCAGTCCTGCAGTTTCGACAATATAATACACAGAACAAAAAGTGATTTAATTAATAGACCATAAAAATGTCACAATCTATATAGAAGTGTACTTTATTTTTTCTGGAGACAAATTTTGCCTGTTAACTGACAAAATTAGCCAAACTGAAGATAACATATTTGATAAGTTTACAATTGTTTCAAAAAGCAAGACAATTTTTTCTATAAATAATTTCTTTGTAAGTCTCTTTAGTGATTCTTCATGCAAAACTCGTTTTTATAGATTTGAAAAATATCAAAGATAAACAAAAATAGTTTATTCCTATACCATATAATGATATTTGTAGTATTCCTGAATAATAATCATGATAATAGTTTGTACAACTTTGTTAACAAAATTTATTGTAAAAGGATTGATATTCATGATATTGATAATTTAAATTTGTGAATAAACTGGCTTGTTTAATTACTTGCTTCATGGTTCCTTTAAACATATCATTTGCATGATTATAAGTTATAATTAATAATAATTCATTTAATAATGCAAACAAACAATAGAATACCATGTACATCATGTACAATAACTTTTTTTTTACTGAAAAAATAATTATTTAAAGGATTCTCTTTTGTTTTCAAATGCTAGTTAATAACTTATCTTTGAATTTTTGTCATTTCTAATCAAGATTCTTTTCAAGAAGAAATTAAAAGAATAAGAAGCAAAAAAACAATTAAAAAATAATAATAACATAAAAAAATAAAAACGTTAGAAAAAAAGGAAAATATGTAAATTTAAAGACAGAAAAATCAACAAATGATATGAATTAACAAAGACTAAAACAAACATTCTATTCTACATTTTCAAGAAAAGGTGAAATGTCAATTTGAGAAGAAACCTGAGTTACATGTACCTATACAGGTAAATTTTAATGAAACATACAAGCTGAAAACTTCAATGCTGATTGATTTCAACAGGTAACATAATTAGATAAAACATCATCCTATGTTTTATGACCCCAATAAATGGACAACATCTCAAGATTGAATACCCCAATAAATGGCCACCATTTGATGGTGACCATACAAGAGGGTGGACATAACTAAGAGGAAGTCACAGGTTGTACTGTATAAGGCAAAATAAGATAGATATATATTTCACTTGTGGTATTATCAGCTATCAAAAATGCATCATATTCACCCCAACAGAGATCAGATTAAAGGAAACCTTATCACTTCCCCTGCGTTCAACGCTCATATCAAGATTTACTTTCATCTGGAACACTCAAACGAAAACTTTGAAAAGCAAATGTGTACATATACGATCAGAGCTCCTAAGCCAATAAAGCGCCTCAGAGGAAAAATTAAAGCCATCTTAACTTATTGATAGATTGTATTGGTATCACATTACGAGAAGGTAACAAACAATTATAATTTCCCTCGTTCCTTATATAAGTAGAAAGACTTGACAAATACAAATTCCCTCTTTAAAACAACTCATCAACGGTTGGCTCGTCCTCAGCATTTTTTTTTTTTTTTTTTGTTTTTTTTTTTTTTTGTTTTGAGTCTGTCTAAAAGAACCTGGCAACCAATTTTGTTTTGAATCGAAGAACAAAAGCTTAAAAACGGATCAACAAAATCCAACATACTTGAATTTCAACACTGGTTACGGACTAGGAAAATGATATATGTTTGTATCTATTCCCGAAAATAGATAGTTTTCATCTTTTTTAGTGTTTGGCAGGAAAAACTAAACTCCTCTTCTAGCTGGACTTTAATCAGAAATATTTCTCATACTGATGCTACATCTCAGTATGCATTCAATCTTACAAACCTTGACCCTGAAGGAGAATACAGATTCCGAATAGATGTTCGTGCACAGGATGGAGACAAACTAATGGAAGAGATATCTAAAGGATTTGTTACAGATTACTATAGTGTTGAATGTTTCAGTGAGTATATTTGTCTTTAAATTTTAATCAAAGTTCTTTATCTGAAAAAATTTATCCGCAAAGGTACGTTGTATCAGCTTCCTTTTTGCTGATAATGTAAAATATCTGCTCAATATTAATACATCTATCCCAATTATTATTTCGTTAACCAATTATGTCTGTTTGGGTTGCTCACACAATATTATCAATATAACGAAGCTTAATACAACTGCAATACAAGTGGGAGGTTTAGCTAGCTATGAAACCAGGTTTTACCAACTTCGGAAAAAATGCCGTTACTAAGGCAGGAATATAACAGTTTATTTTTAATCGTTCCTTTGGTTGATATAGTCGAGCATTTGGTGTTGTCAGTTTTTATGGACTTCCCCTTTTGAATTTACCCTGGAGCTCGGCATTTTTTTCAAATTTTTCATGGCAAGTCACCTCGTCGAACGAGCTTAAAAGGCCTCATAGTGTGTTAAACAGCTAATCTTTTCCAGATCTATATAAAGCAATTTTATTAGGCCAGTGTCTTAATGTTTTTTAAGGTTTCAGTTGTATCCGAATTGAAATGATATAAACACACCTGACCAACATGAGTTGCCCATGGCAAATATGGAAATTTTCATTAAACAGCTTTAAACTTGTGTATATTACAGAGGTCACACATAGCCGTGTATGACTCCCGTTTGTGACCAGATATAGCTACGACACGAAAAGTGAAAAGGTTGTATTACTATCCTCAATGATCTGGAATGTTCTATCATTGTCTGAACGCATTCGTATACGTTCGTAACCGAGTGTTATGGATCGGGAATGGTCCAGTGAGATCGACCATGCACTCCCAACAGTTACGTGCGTCCCGTAACATTCTGGAAACTCAGCCGATTTTGTTTAGTCGATTATAATCGCGACGGATTAAAATCGTAACAATGTCCTCCACCGGTTCACCGTCTAGTCACTATCTGATCTTTGTCGGATCGCATTCAGGATAATCAAAACGATATCGGGTCAAATTTCGGTCGTTTTTTACAATGCAAAAGATACTCATCGGGTTAGAAACGGGTTTTTTTTACCATGCGAAAGACGCAAATCGGATCAGAATAGGATTGAGAACGGGATAATCGGTACGCTACATAAATAATATCTGATCGTTGTCTTGATTAAATGAATGTGTTTACAAATTGCCAGCCACGAATCACCGGATCTTTATCAGAAATTTGACACATATGTATCGGGAATGGTTGTATCAAAGACGGCAGTAAAATTCCTGATGTGTGACTGAGGCTTTAACAATTTTTCTCTTTGTATTTTAGAACCTACTACATCGGCTCCAAATGATCAGTCAACTACTACTCCATTCAAACCACCAGTAGGTATGTACAAAATATCTTAAAACAAATGCACTTTTTAAGTTTCCTGCTTAAGACCAAGTTACCGGAATTAAGGATGTATTCTTCTGACGTTTCAGTCTCGTTGAAATCTCGTTCCGGAATAATTTCCAAAACATGTGATACAAGTGGAAAATAGCAATGAGTTTCATAAATATCATAATTAAACTTTACTCTGTGAAAAAATTGTGTATTTACAATGAGTGGTTTTTGAGTAATAAACTTTTCAAATTTTCTTACCAATGAAGTCAGTCTTTTTAGCCAAAATTTTAAGAAAATGGGTGAGGGGTACAAGAAACATGTACATCCCATATCACTTTTTTCTTTTCAAATTTCTTAGATCTGTATTTTTTCAATCATTTATAACAAAGAAGTTGAAAATATGCATTTTGTTCTTAAAACAGAGAAAAATCACAAATTTACAAAATTGACAGCAAGGTAAATTTGACACGAAAAAGCATAAAAATATGATAAAACTTTCTTACATTAACACCTACCTAGAGTTTTTTTAAGTTAAATTTATTCAGATTGGTCCATTTCATCTTTATTGAAAGTATGAAAAAAAGTTTAATTGTGGAACTGTGATTTTTGTCATGATAATAGCCCCAAAATGGGTAAAAATTGATGAAAAATGGGAAAATCATCAAAATTGAGTACTTTCAAAGGGCCGTAGTAAAAAAAGAAGTGCACCATCATATGATTTTTTCTTCACCAATTATTTTTTTACAGTCATATAAACCCAAAAATCAGGTTAAGAAAAAAAGTTTAATTGTAGAAATTTTTGGCTCCTCAGAGGTGTACATTCTTAACCACTGTTATAGCACTGAGATAAAAAAAAGTGACGGGAGAATTTTGATAGAAATATTTAAATTTTACATGTTTTTGTAAAATTTCATTTAAATACACTTTTAACCGAAATCAAATAGTTTTATCTGAAAACGCTAGCATTTGCATTATGATAAAATTAATGCCTACTATGCACTACTTTTGAAATTTAATGATCACCTAAGTTTTATGTTATGATTTTTAAACTCATTTCGATCTACAACATTCCTCAACGACACAGAAATAACAATACCATGTGAAACTGTATTTTCTCTTCTTAAGATAAGATGGAAGAATTTTATTTAAAGGCATAAAAGTTTAAAAAATTCAAGTGAAATTGTTCCTGCATTTTAACTTTGGTGTTAATAAATACTGACAAGCATAAATTATATTTGGTTATCTTTCATTATAAATTAAATGCTTATTTTATTCGCACAACATTATTATGTTCAACTATCTTTATCTCATTCTTTTTAAAGCAAATAATATTTCGAATAGTCTTTGATGTTTTAAATTTGTATAACTAAACTACATTTTTAGGGTCCTTATTCACATCATACAAATTGTCAGTAGTGAATGGATTTGTGCAAGTTGATTGGGCCATCGATAGTAACTACGATGATGTTGTTGACAGTCTTACTTTATCGTTTGCCATTATAAAGTACGGTGATTGCAAATTGAAACTTAATCCAGTGTATAGCAGCCTGTAAGTTGTTTATTTTACATTTATTTTTACGACATGCATCCACGATCAGCAATGCTTATAAAAAATCATTATACATTTAAAGCACACAAAATCTAATTGGCAAATTCAAAATGTTGCAATGATAATGTCAAACGTTATCAGATGTTTAATATAAAAAAAAAATTGCATGTCGTTCAGATATCGAAGTAAACAAAAAGAGGAGGTTGAAGTACTTTCAAGTTTGGTCAAACCCAGCCAAATCTTAATGTGCCTTTTCAATGTGAAAAACCTAGTTAGCAGCTTTCGTTTGTGTATGTCTTAATTTGTTTTGTTCGTTAAGGACTTCGTAGTTGGTAATGGACCTTTTTTAGTTTATGTTCAATTTATTCACATGTATACACTATGGGTTTTTCTCATTGTTGAAGGCCGTACTGTTGCCTATAATTGCTTAAATCCAGTTCATTTGAATTTTGGTGGATAGTTGTCTCACTGGCAATCATACCGCATCTCCTCATTTTTATATCGACTCTTGGCGATCTATTTGTCTCGTCTGCAAGGGACGTACTTTTCCAGTGCAGTGATAATGTTGAGTTTTCTGGATGAGGTCTGTCCCACAGCAAATATGAATGATAAGTTTACAATATTTCGTATGTGGATTTGATCGGCTATGATTTATTCTTGAATGCTTTGACCTTTTTAGAGATAATTTGATATTATGTGTTAAGTGTATAGCTTATAAATAATGCATGATAAAATGAAAATATTCTGCATTTCAATTAATGTCTTGCAAATTAACATTTGCACCTTAAACATTTCATATTAGTGAGTTGAGCTTAGTCTTTATGTGTCTTTTAGAGTGAATGGACTATAAAAAAATTAACATTGCCGCATGATAGACAGTGTGGTGACACTTTTGTTGGGTTCATGTTGTTAAACCTTTAATTTTTTGTGTATTGGATTGTGAACTTGTTTGGTTTTTTTCATATTTTTTCTATTTGCCATGTTGTCATTTTTTCTATTCGGTTGAATGAAATCCAGATTTTGTTCTCTTAGTGAAAAGTCATCATTTTAAAACCGTTTGCAACAATTTATACGTGCTTTGGAGGATTTACATGAAAATTGATCCACTAGTAGATATTGATATGACGATGATGATTGGAACAGTTTATTTTTATAGTTCGAACATTTTGCTTGTATTTCGTAAATGAAAGATGCATGTTTTACTCGTTTTTACAACAATCCAAATCTCTTACTTGAAAGACAATCAAATTCATATTCTAATTATGTGGTTAAAAGAAAAACAAAAATAAACATAGAGTTAAAACTTATAATTTTGACCATCACCCTCAACAGTCAAGTACTAGAACAGTCCTTTCAAATTGAGATCTAAAAAAACAAGGTCTAAAAAAGTTGGATTTCAAATGTTAAAAATGTATAAATCCACTGAAATTGACAGGAATAACATCTTATTGAAAGATATTGGTCAGGTTTACGTTCATACTAGGTATTTTGTATTTACATTTCGTTGAGTCCAGACTTGTAAGTTGTGACTGAATGAAAATAGAAATTTTGAATGAAAGGACATCTCAATATATTTAAAAGTGAAATGAAAGGGTTGATTTGGCCCTGCTTCACTCTTGATGACAAGTCGATGGGGCATTTAGATTTAAACCGGTGAAAGAGTGTAAATAAGATGCCTATGTTAGATTATTGTTTTTAATGACATTACAACTCTTATCTGTTAAAGTCATGTATTTCATTGTTTTTTTTATTTTCATTTTTGTGTCGTAGTTATCAGTAGTGTATAATGTATCCGATTTCATAAAGGTTATAGCCTTTATCATGTATTAGTTTAAGTAGAATTAGTATTAGATACAGTACAAAGGTAACAAAGAAACAGGCCGGTAACAACCGTTGCCGGATAGTTTTTCTGCACGAGTAGTCGGGTCAAGGTCCGAGGCGATAGCCGAGGACTTAACCTGACTACAAGTGCAGAAAAACTATACGGCAGGTTGTTTCCGGTCTGTTATTTGTTACCTTTGTTTTGTATCTGACTTGTACGACGTTTCAAGAAAGGAGTAGTACATTTTGCATTTGGAAGAGGTAGCAAAAATAAACATATTAGAATTTTAAATGGTCATATACCAGTTAATGTAAGTTACAGTTTAAACACCTTTTTTTTTCACTTCCCTTCAGCCGAGAATTTTTTTCACAACTTTATGAAAATAACCATTTCAAGTAAAAGGTGAATGTTGTACACATTTGACACTTTTTAAAATGCAACTTCGCAAGTAAGTAATGTATAAAAAGATTTCAGAGGTAAGCAAGCTACCATTTGTTTTTTATTGGGGACAACGGAAAAGGGGTTGGGGCGGGGGTAAAAAAATTTAAAATAAACATGATCGATCCTTTTTTGGTTGAACAAATGCAGGATGTGCTATTCCATACCCCCATTCCCCCTTTAAAAAATCGTAAAAATCGTACGTTTGCCGCCAAATAAACGAATTCAATATATATATATGACTTCAATAAAAATATAAAGGTATCAAAATCATGAATGAACTATCTCATTAGTGAATGAAATGATATGGAAAAAATGGATTTTGTCTTTTTATTAAATATATATAGGCATATATTTTGGATTTTTTTTAAAGTTCAGGTTTTTATATGTCTCTGATAGTGTTGATCAGGATTAAACACGTGTCACTGTATGATCCAATCGCAGCTTACCGTCCAAAATTGATGGCATAAGTTGAATGATTTTCTTCAAGATTTGCTGCATATTTGAACATGTATTATGTTACACGGACACTTTTTATCTATAGGATCAATCGTGTATTGGTGAGTTGATAGGGATTTTACCTTTTGATTAGATTTGATTTTTTTTATATATATTTCCTGTCTTTTTTATTGATATATAAACGTCGGTACCAGCTTTTCTTTACTTTCAGCATTGTTCAGAATACTATTCATGTCCATATATTGAAAAAAATATATATTTACGAACCTACCATTTAGCTTCAAAAGGGGGTTATGTTCTTTTCTGAGTAAGAAAATTATTTAGTTTTTTCAACGCTATCACACAATTTTTTTTTTCGAAATTAGCACTATTATATACGGTATTCGAAAAATCAGGAATCAGAACATTATTTTGTCATCTGCTTAACCACATTATATTTTTTTCTCATAAAACTGGGGATCAAAATATTTTTTGGGAAACAACCATAACCCCTCTTTTGAAGTTAAATGGTCAATCCCTTTGTGTTCTGATATGAAGAGTCATTTGCTGGAATTGTTTGGAAAAAAATATTTATTGATGCTAAAGTAAATATTTTAATCAAAAAGACAGGAAATATTTCGGTGAAACAAAAAGTTCAAATCTAATTGAAATTTAAAGTGCCCATGAACTCACTGATCATGCACTCACTGATCATGCACGGGTGATTCTATTCATAAAAAGAGTCCGGTAACAACTAAAAAGTGTCCGTGTATCATCTTAAAAGAGTCCGTGTAACACCCGTTAAAGTACTGTTTTTCTATAGCTCTGCTGGGGGCAAAGTCGTACAATATATATAAATATTAATATATTGTGCATAGTGGTGTATATTTGGTAGCAATTTAGGTCAGATAAACAAGTAGAATTTATGTTAAATTCTTGATGCATTGTTGTTGGCAATGTGTATTTAAAGTTCAGATTTTTGCTATTCTAGGGAGATCCTTGGTAGATTCGGAGAAAGGTGTGTTATATTACTATAGTTTTGAATATTTTTGTCCACATAGTATTGGACACTGTTGCGTGGTTTTTGTCCGCCTAGTATTGGACACTGTTGCGTGGTTTTTGTCTGCACAGTATTGGACACTGTTGCGTGGTTTTTGTCCGCAGAGTATTGGACACTAATGCGCGGTTTTTGTTTGCACAGTATTGGACACTGTTTCTTAATTTTGTTATATAATGAAATCAGTTTGTGGTAACTTGTGAAAGTGACGTACCGAGAGTGCCTGCGTGCCAATAATTTAGCTTACTTTTTTCTATGTGAACCCTCGAATCATATAAATTGTAAACTGTATATTATGTAAATATTCATTAAGAATGGCATTATAATAAAAAAAAAATAGATCAGTCGATTTACTGGTATCTTTTCATTTAGCAAGACTACGCATCACTAGATTATATGTCGTCAAATTGTCCGTCAATTCAATGTACCCTGACCTGAAAGTCGTTATACTCGACCGCCATGGCACCTGTCTGTCTATATTTATCGATCATCAAATAAATAAAGGTGGTTTTTTTCGTTTGCATGTTCCACTGACGCTTTTAAGGGTAGGCCTTCCTATTTTGAAGAAATGTTGTTTATATATATCAAAAGTGTGCATATTTTCTTCAACTTTTCACAACAGTTCGGGTTGTGCAACTGATGTCAGTTTTGGGAATTATGCATGTATGGCGTACTTTCACAATTTCAAAGCTTATACCTTCTTACTTTCGTCTAAATAAATGACTTGCAGCATATGTAACTTGAGTGAAATTTGAGGCTATTTTCCATTGCTTTTTTTATGAAAACTGCTCGAAAGAAAGCTATCCGACACGGGTTCTAGAAATAAAAGGCTGAAGACATAGCTTTGAATGTTTACGAATGCTATTGTGATTTTGTTGTCCGTTGTTGAATGTATGTTTCACAGATGACCACGGATGTGTTCCATCTCCATTTTGTCTTTATGCTCCCGCCGTAGGCAACGAATCCATTAAGTGTTACCCTTGGCCGTCTTTCCGTCCTTCCGTCCGTCCCATTTTCGTTCCCGCGATCTAACTTAAGTTTGCCTCATGCAAATTTTATGAAACATACACAATGCTAAGAACCAAAACTAGCAGACAGAGTTTGGGCATTGAGTCACCTACCGTTCTAGAGTTATGCCCATTTTTACTGGTAAATCTTAGATCACAATCTCTGCAATTTTGCAGCAACATTAAGACCTTTGATTTTTCTACGCTTTACACTACTATTCCCCATGCTCAATTGAGAGATCGACTTCACCATATCATTAAACAGAGCTTTTTCTATAAAAATGTGAATCGTAGATATAAATTTCTTGTTTTGGGTTATAATAATTCTTATTTTGTGAAGAACCACACTGATTCTACCAGAAAATATACTGAAGATGATATTATCAAAATGCTGGACTTTTTGATCGACAATATATGTGTTGAGTTTGGAGGATTGAAATTTCAACAGACAGTCGGTATTCCGATGGGTACTTATTGTGCACCCCTACTGGCCGATTTGTTTTTGTACTCGTATGAAGCAGAATTCATTCAGAACCTTCTAGACAAAAAGAAAAAGTACCTTGCGAAATTCTTTAATTTTACTTTCAGATATATTGATAATGTTCGTTCACTGAAAAATCCATATTTCAGCCAGTACTTACATCTCATATATCCTAGTAAACTTGAAATTAAGGATACTACTGATACAAGAAGACTGCGTCATACCTTGATCTTTTCCTCAATACTGACACAGATGGACGACTTCACACTAAAATCTATGACAAACGGGACGATTTCAACTTCCCAATTATCAATTTCCCATTTCTCAGCAGTAACATACCCTCTGCCCCATCGTAGGGTGTTTACATATCTCAATTGATACGTTATGCTCGTGCATGTTCACACTATACATACTTCATATAAAGGAGTGTGCTCCTTACGCAGAAACTGCTCCAACAGAGTTTTGAGGAGAAAAGATTAAAAATGACACTCCGTAAATTTTATGGACACCATCACGAATTGGTTGATCTATACGATGTGTCTGTGTCTAAACTAACTATCGACATTTTTACCACGCCTTAGATTGTGGTTTACCATATACGTCTTCTGGTCTTTAAAGTACCGAACGCGACCTATTTCAAATGTGACGTCACTTTGTGCGTTGGTGCTTTGGCTAACTCGGCTGTGTATTTTTATGTGTTGGATTAAGTTGTTTTATGTAATGTATCCGTTTTTATTCTGTAGTTAGTCCCCACTTCGGTTTTATCATGTATATCTATTATATAGTCATTTTATAAATTTACTGTTTTCAAAATTATAAATTATTCTAAATAATAAGGATGTTCTTGTCCCAGGAAGAAAACCCTGGCCGTGTTAGGCGCAACTTTTTGGAAGTTTTGGTCCTTGGTGCTCTTCAGCTTTGTACTTGTTTTGGCTTTCAAACTTTTTTCATCTGAGCGCCACTGGTTGGTCTTGTGTGGACGAGACACACGTCTGGAGTATTGAATTTAAAGCCTAGTACCTTTTGTTAGCTATTGTTCGTGTGTTTCTTTGTCCTATATGTTCTCCCATTTATTTGTATTGTGGTCCTGTCATGTGATGTTGTCGTTTTGGTGTTGTGTTTGACGTTGCCATAAAAGCGGGAGGTTTGGCATGCCACAAAACCAGTTCAACCCACCATTTTTTTCTTAAGATGTCCTGTACCAAGTCAGGAAAATGGCCATTGTTATATTATAGTTCGTTTCTCTGTGTGTTACATTTTAATGTTGTGTCGTTGTTCTCTTATATTTGATGCGTTTCCCTCAGTTTTAGTATGTAACCCGGATTTGTTTTTATCTCTATCGATTTATGAGTTTCGAACAGCGGTATACTACTGTTGCCTTTATCTATTCCCGAATATGACTGTTTTGCTGAGTGTGAATCCGCATTGCTATTAGACGTGTCTCGGTATTTGTACATCCAATATGATGTTTTATTTGTAATTCTGATTGGATATTGTTTTATGTCTTATCGTTTGTGGTTTTAATTCTATTTTTATTTTCTATATGTATGTAAAAGTAAAGATGATTAATCACCAAGTTCATTTGTATGATCTTTCGTTTAAAGCAACTATATGCAAAGGATTTATTTGTTTTTACACAGTTTGATTTAGAAGAAAAACCAACTTGGTTAGAAAATACACTTAATTACACCATTACTTACACAATTCTTTATTAATATTCTTGTAATTGTTAGAAAATACATCAAATAACACCATTACAAACTTAATCCCGATTTCATATTCAATTTTTAAAAATTTACCTGTGACGTCACTTTTTGTGGCCTTGATACATTCGTGTGACGTACAGTTCATGATTCTATTATGCTGTATTTGTGTACTGTCGTAAATTAATTTTAGGTATTCGTTGTTATTCTGTGGTTTACATGTCGAAATGTACTATTATATTATTTATTTATGTATTTTTCTGTCCTGAGTGTTCTTGTATTTATTTGTAATGTATTCCTGTCACGTAATGTTGTTAATTTAACAGTATTTTTAACATTGCCATATAAGCGGTTTTGGCTAGCCATAAAACCAGGTTCAACCCACCATTTTTTCTTAAAATGTCCTGTACCAAGTTAGGAATATGGTAGTTGATATCAAATAGTTCGTTTCTATGTATGTTGCATTGGCGTTTGTTTTTGTTGCACTTCAGTATTTCTGTTGTTCCGTTGTTTTCCTCTTATAGTTGATGTGTTTTCCTCGGTTTTAGTTTGTAACCAATCGATTTATGACTTTTGAACAGCGGTAAACTACTGTTGCCTTTATTTAACTTGGAAAATTGCAAAGCTTGAGCGGGGTCATTCGTGTCCGCAGACACATTCTTCATTTATATATGACATCATCGAATAAGACCTGTTCAAAATTTTAAATAACATTGAGCAACAAGACAGTTATGGAGCAGGGTCTTTTTGTTGAATTTTTCCCGAGTTGCTAGCTATAATTCCAGATTTAATCCACCATTTTCGAAAAATGTCTGTACCAAGTCAGGAATATGGCAGTTGTTTTACATTTGTTCTGTTGGTCGATAGCGTTTGATTTTGTCAATTTTTATGGACTTCCCCTTTTTGATTTGCCTTCGATTTCAGTATTTTTGTTATATTTTTTTTCCCAATAAAGAGCACATGAGTTTACACCCTGTTTTAATGGGGTTCATAGTGGTGAAACTAGTGTTTTGTGTAGTGATTTTGTACTATTGTAAATGTTGTCTTTAGGCGACGTGTGTTTTTTCTGGATTTTTTTCCACTAGTTCCTTCTCCCTGGTTAACTTATTCACCTTTTGTAAGCGTTAGAAGGACAAACAACATTTGTATCAGTACATTAAGTTTACAATACTTCGTTTGAAAACAATTGTTTACATATTTTGAAAGATAAATCGATTGATTGTAAAAGAGAACAGTCTAGTATTAAATTTAATTTCACGCGTAACGTGAATTTCTCTATACCCTACATATGAAACAACTCATTATCAAACATTTGATCTCCGATTTGCATAAAATTTGGTGTACTAAAATCATAATGAAACATCTTTTAATCCGATTTACTTTCAGACAGAAGAAGCTTTTCCTGTTTCTTAAGATATTTATGTATTTCATTTTTGAAAAGATCACTTATTTTTTAAATTTATTTTCAATTTGTAGACCACTGAGTAATTCCACAAGCTATACTTTAAACAGTTTAATAAAATGGAGAACTTATAATGTTCGGCTAGTTATTACTTCATCTCAGCAAAATATTTCTAATGTCCATAAACAAGTTGAAGGTGAAATTACTACACCAGAGACAGGTATTTATTTTATTATCACTGTATTCCTTTGTTAAAAACAGGTGTGCTATATATAGTTAGCACATAAAGACAAATATTTCAATTCAATGCACCAACCTTATATATGGCTATATCATCTACCATTCGAAAGAATATCACCTGTACTAAATTTTTGCCCAATCATTAAATATTCGTAAAGTGAAAATTCCGTCAAATCAGTCAAAGGTAATTTGCGAGCGATTTTTTTTTCTCAGGATGTCAGCAATATAACATTATATGTCTTCTGTAAAAAAAAGCAAAAAAAAAAAAACGTGAAAACATATACACCTTCTAGAACAGAGGTTAACATTCACTAATTGAACGGTTTTTGAAATGTTTTTGAAGTTATTTGCTTTTTGTTTTGAAAAATCTGTAAAAATGGTAAAATTGACTAAAAGCAAGAAAATTTAATTATGATTCAAATATTAATCCGATCAAACAGAGAAGAATCCTTTATTTTATATTATGATAGTTTTCGATAGGTAATTTCTTGTGGCATGTTGAAAATTTAATATTATTGACTGATTGATTGATTGTTGCTTTTTTGAAGTTCGAAGAATTTTAATGTTCGAACTTCCAAAAAGCAACAATCAATCAATCAGTCAATAATATTAAATTTTCAACATGCCACAAGAAAGTATACGGAAACCAACATAGCTTTAATATAGGATCATCGTCAACCCAACTGAAAAGTTAAAAATACTAGAAATGTTTTTACTTATGATAGCAGTGTTGGTGACTAAAATGTTACCATTCTTACACTGAAAGGGCTGCCATATTGCAAACATTTTACAAATTGATTTTTGATTAATTTGGTGTCTAAAGCCAGTTCAATATTAATTGTGTTCGTATACTGGAATATGAGTCAAGAAAATGTTCTTTTCATTTTAATTTTGAAAGTATAAATTCGGAAAGTCAGGTGTAACGCGTAAGATAAAAAATAGATTTATAACAACTTACTTTTGGTGCAAATGCTTACAATTTGAATTTATTCACAATTGTTGGTTCCCCAGTTAACAGAAGCCTAGTTTTGAATGAAATTAAAACAATTTCTTGATACTTTTGTGTGTATGGTCAATAATGCCAAAAGCAACGGCAGTGGTTAAGCGAAACGCAGCCTGAAATTTGTTTGTATCTTTCAATGTGATCGAACTCGTTTGATAAGATACTACCAAAAATATTGACACGTATTTTAGGCACGGAAATATATGTGTTTTGCAGCTTGGAGACAAAAGTTACATATAATTCAATATGATTTTGACTAAAGTTCCTTTTTAAATGAGTGAGATCATTTATTAAATGCATAGGCTTCTGTCCTTAATGTATATTTCACCAGCAAAAATTTAAGAGCAAATCTCGTTTTTCTTATATCTAATCAAAACAGGGAAGAACAGTTATCATATTATCCAACCCATAACTGCAAATTTTCAAAAACTGTTAATGCATAAATCTTATTTTTCTTAAAAATATAAGAACCTTCTTTTGTTGTAGGAATGTAATGTTCTTATTTCCTTGTAGTTTTTATAAATAGATTTTTGCTGTCAATTAAAAGTTACGGATGATACCGGGTACTGCTTAGAGTTTCACAATAATGAATAAGTAAATGACTAGTCATAATCATGTTAAGTTTTTTTTATAGAATTTTGGTTCTTACTTATATTGCTTGTTTTCTAATTTGGCTGAATCGAACTAAATTCATTGTTGTTACTTTTCGTTCTAAGTAACCAACTGATTGTCTTGCTTTCAATACATTTTGTGGAGGTTAAATACTTCAATCCAAAAAAAAGTCTTTTTTTTGCACATGCTTATTGACCAGTGATTATATGGAAGTGATATACAGCAACGTCATTAAAAATCAAAGATTTAAAAAAAAAATTTGTGCATTGCATTATGCTAAACATATAGTTTATAACTATACTTCATGTCTTTAAACAGAACCTTCTGGATTTGTAAATAACGTATCAGAAATTGCCAAGACATCTAGCTCTTTTACTGTAAGTTGGAACGATCCTGACTGTGAAGAAAGAGGAGGAGCATTTCTACGTTATGATGTTGTTGTGTCAGGATTCTCACAGAACTATTCAACCACTGATCGGTTTAAGAAAATATCCGGTTTACAGACGTATACAGACTATAATGTACAGATATCATATGTCAATAATATTGGTGCTGGACCTCTCTCTCCAATGCAGTCGTTTAAAACAGGAGAAGGGCGTAAGTATTTATATGATATCACTAATTAACGATTAATCCACATCCTTGCTGACCCGACCAGATGTTTGGTCTAAATAAACCTACATCAAACAATTATTTGCAAAATTGTATTTTGCTGTCAAGTATTTTTTAGTCACTCTCTCCAAAACTTCCCCATCAACTCTTATAATTATTTTACAAGTATATTCCACGTACATTTTCCGAAGGATAATGTGCATACTTATTTTTCTTTAGACCAGCTTTTTAAAAGCAGTGGATGTACTTAAAGGATGCATTCGTAATGTATTGATCTTTTTATGGCTCCACTACAAAGTTTTCTGGGCCATATAGTTTTAGCCTTATCCGTCATTCTGTCATTCTGTCATTCCGTCATCCAACAGTCATTCCGCAACGAACAGTTATTCGGACTTTTTTTCTAAACGCCTTCACATATTGAGATGATTGTTATTATGTGAGTCTACTATGATGAGTTACAAATCAAGTTTACTTTTGGTTATGCTTCATTGACTTTTGCTGAAATTACGGGCTTTGACTTTGAAAATTACGTGAAATAACAATTATACAGACTTTCATTCTCAAATTTCCACTCCAAAAAATGTACAAGCTTTTTTTTTTGCGAACGGGGCCATTCTTGTCGTTCCGCCACATCTAGTTTTCAATTGCTTCTATCTGGTTTTTTTCATTTTCATTTTCCAGTCAGTCAATTTCATTCCTTGATAATCTATCCATCATTCATAACCACTGTGACAGGTTTTTATGACACATACTCGGATGAAAAACGTAAAAAAGATGTGTTTTTTTTACTGATAGCATATTTTAAAAAAAGATCGATTAAGTTACATGTTGCTATTACAATGAGTATTGCCTGTGTACTCTTGCTATAAATGAATAAAACGATTATAAATGATTAGATTTAAAAATGCAATTGTATGTATGTAAACAAAACGGTCGGTTTTGCTTAAAGCAGCTTTATATAAATCACAATCATGGATTTTACTGCCGAACTCGAAAAGTCCGTGTGACTTAATTTGTATACCACAGTCAAATGTTAAATCACAAAAATACTGAACTCCGAGGAAAATTCAAAACGGAAAGTCCCTAGCCTCCCTAATCAAATGGCAAAATCAAAAGCACAAACACATCAAACGAATGGACAACAACTGTTATATTCCTGACTTGGTACTTGCATTTTCTTATGTAGAAAATGGTGGATCAACCCTTTGATTTCTCGTTCATCTGTCATGTTTCTCAAATCTCTTAGGTGAATGTTATTGCAAGATTATTATTTTTTATTAAATTCCACTTTGACATTTGTTTATTACAATTCTTACCTATCTTATCTGATATGATTCCTTATACAAATACGATGTACTCGTCTGTTGTTCAGACTAAAAAAACATGTTTTCAGATTTTTACCACTGAGACAAGCGATCTAATAAAGAAACTTAATGTAATAGTTGATCGAAAATAAAGTAAGCCACGATCGTTATTAGGGTGTGAAAACTATGATCACCGTAACTGAAAAAGAACATAAATAAAACAAAGGATAAAAAAATAAAAAATCTTTTTTTAAATTTCTTGCAACAAAAATTCAAATGAAAATCCAGAAAACTTAATTAAAATTCTTTTGACTTTTGATAAAAAGATTACCCTCATTTAGAACTGCGGTTATTACCCCAAAAATTCATAAAAAGAACAAAAATTGATGAATAAATCATTTCAAAAGCAAATTGCTATACAAAAATGACGATAAACGACTACATCCACCATTAGACATGGCTGCCAATGCTACTTAAAAAGAAAATTGGACTGATTTCCAAGATATTTTCCAAGTATACTGCTATTGTCACTAAAATACGGAAATTAGACAAAAAAATCTGAATACACTCTTCTGATAACAATATTTACAAGTTCTTGATATTTCTAAGGTCCGGATATTTTGCGGTGTAGCTTGAATTACAGTCAGAGAAAATCTATATAGGTCATTTTTTCCTATTTTCAATACCTATTTAACATACTGTAGCAGTTCTGAAAAGTACTTTACCGAATGCGAACTGCAACTTACTCCATTCGAAATGTTCTCACTCTGGTCTGAACTGTATTGCGCTTTTCTGGACTTACCTTCATCAGGAACGATACAAAAATAAATATTTGACAGCCAAGGGTGTATAAGAATCGAAACATGTGAAGAGCTACATGACCAAATCCATCTAAGGTCAGCTTTGTCTAAACTGATAAACGTTTTCTTATAAATTAGCACAATCATGTCGAATAGGCAAAATATGATAAAATAGGACATATTTCATTTTACTCTTATTCCTGAATATAAACCCTAATACGGAATAAAAGTTTTAGCTAAAGTGCTAGTATTGTAGGTTTCCAATAAAATTCATTTGCTTGATTTTTTTTCAGTGCCAGCTGCACCAACTGCCCTGATGTTAACACCGTCAATAAGATCAGTAACTGTTAGTTTTTCAATTCCTTCGCCTACAAACGGTATTATTATTGCCTATGATATAGCCTACAGTGAAGAGGCAAATTTCATAGATAGATTACAGAAACCATCAGCATTAACAAACGTCATGTTGTCTGATCTTTCTCCTGCAACTCTATACTTTGTAAAGGTAAAGTCCTTCAATTATTATACTATTTTAGTTTTTTAATGGGCTGAATTTGGTTTTTTTTACAGTTTGTGAATAAAATAAAAGAATTGACAATAGATATTTATACAATTTTTTGGGAACTGAAAATATAAAAATAAGATATGGTATTATTGCCCATGATACAACTATTCACCAGACACCAAATGACGTAGATGCAATCATGAAGGTAATTTATCTAAAAAATTGTGATTTCAAAGGTATGTGGGTTTTTTTTAAATATGAACTCATAGTTATCATTAAATGATAGATATAAATCATTTTCTGTGAAGGAAACACATTTTATGTGTGACAAATGGTATGATCTCAACACTTTTTTCAGTATAAAGTGTTATCTTTTGGTCAACGTTTTTACATGCTTATTATCAAGTACACAAATGTATACAGTGAATTATAAAAATACCATTCATAATTAAAAATACTATTTATAATACGCATTCCCCGTTTCCATTCTCAATTTTATCATTTATAATTGCTTACACTTCCTGATTTAAATCATTAGCGTTTTAAGACGAAATTCAATAAATTTCACTTTAGGTTCGAGCTAGAACAGCAGCAGGGTATGGTAACTATAGTTCCTTTTCAAGTACAATAACTCAAGAAGACTTTCCAGATGCGCCAACATCTCTAGCTGTTACTACCAGAAATGAGAGTTGTTTAGGAATATCATGGAGGGCACCAAATATAACCAATGGAATTGTCACTTCTTATATAGTAGGTCAATACTGTATTATAGTCTGTATGTTTATTGTTGAAACCAGAAAATATCCTGATATTAACAGTTTTTATTGCAGTACTAAATGAATTCAAGGTACATGGTACAGTATTCTCAGTTTTGAGTATCTCAGGTTAATACTCATGTCGACAACATAATTCGTGGTTGTTTTTTCAGCTGAGTGTGTAAAAGTAATGCTTATACCAAGCGTACAAAGGAAATGTATATACAGCAAACAAAAAACTCTGAAGTCTTTTGAAGTAGAATTAAATGGATGTGTTACATACATGTCAAATGAGATATCAACCAAACAACACGAAAAAACGTGCGATCTTTAACAAGGAAATAAGTATCTATATAATATGTCAACCTCATAGTAACCATGAGTTAAGAAAAGTACATAACCCTGGTTGCTGATGTGAAATGAAGCCTTTATACACTGTAACAGTGACGACATAATAAGTACAATCAAACATGATCATGGTAGGTCTGTACAGACATTCAGTGCACACAAAACAAAAGGAACATTATGTCTTGTTTTAAAATTTCAAAAAGAAAATTAATGTTAAAATCCTAAAACTTTATAGACACAATGATTGGTAAACAATATTATGATAATAACCTTTATCAACTAGTATGTTAAGCAAAAGAAAGGACAATCCACAAACTTATATGTTTTGGGAATAAAATAACCGTAAAAGCAGGGTGTGAAATACCTCTTTTAAAAAATTCCAGCAGATAGAATCATTCTTCCTCAAAATATCTCTAAGTTGCATTTTGTAAACAGCGGTTTCACAAATCACTCCTCTTTTAGGTAGATATATAATATTCATAGATATTTTGTTTTGTTTACCTACTGGTTCCCAGATATGCTTGGGAATTTAACAGTATAAATACACATGGATAGCGGCCAAATTAATTCTAAGGAAGGTCAAACATGAAGGGAGGGTTAGTATAGAATTTTAGTATAAGTTTAAACTCTTAGAAGTTCGAGGCATATAAATGTTCAAAATATTCAGCACAGCCCTATGTTTTGACCTTTGAAATAAATAGTAGTGCATATGAACTCTCCATTCTAGGATGTAATTTTTTACGAAACTTAATAATAAAAGTGGCACAGTTTTAGCCGTAAGGGAGCAACCATTTAATTTCAAGTGGGGGTTATGGTTTTTCGTCCGAGTCAGAATTTTTTTTAGTTTTTCGACGCTATCAATCAAATTATTTTTTTCAAAATTTATCTATATAAGGTATGGGGAAAATCTGGATTAAGAATTTTTTTTGTCGTCTGCTTGACCACAATATATTTTTTCATCAAATTGGGGATCAGAATATGTTTTTAGGAAAAAACCTTACCCCCCCCCCCCCCCCCTTTGAAGTAAAATGATCGTTCCCTAAAAGGAGTTCATATTGGAAATTGCATTGTTTATATTTACAGAAGTGCAACCTCTATATTTTTTTTATAGATTAGATTTAAAATTTGACAAATTTATGAAATATAACTGCTATAGTAATAAACAATTTACGATCATTAACAGTCTTAGACATTTAGCGGATATGTTCCTAATGTCGTAATTACAATCCCGTTCCTTTTTCCCGTATGTGACCTACTGAATTGGACCTATTACCGGGTTTGTATTAAAATGAGCAACACGACGGGTGCCACATGTGGAGCAGGATCTGCTTACCCTTCCGGAGCACCTGAGATCACCCCCAAGTTTTTGTTCGTGTTGCTCAGTCTTTAGTTTTCTATGTTGTGTTTTTCTTTTTTAGCCATAGCATTTTCCGTTTATTTTCGACTTATGAGTTTGAATGTCCCTCTGGTATCTTTCGCCTCTCTTTTAGTCTAACACAAAATTGAAAATCGAACAAAATGAGAAATATACATCCAGCAAGAAGGAGCGAACGGATCAACATCCAGTAAGAGAGAAAGACAATCTTTTAATTATATATATATATATTGCTTTGACAAGATGTGGTAGTGTAGTATACAGAGTAGGGAATTGTTTACTATCAGAAGAGATAAACTTACCCTGAAAAGAATGTAGCTTATTGATAACTTCCCAAATACAATTAAACACTTCAGAAATACTTTTAGTAGTTCAGAACACTATGGTTTTACGTTTTGTAACAAAAAGTTTCTTAACAGTTGTAATAGCACAAGTCATAAGATTAGAAATAGTTGAACATTTACTTGATAAAGACCTTAAATAGATTAAGGTTTCTTGTTTTATTATGATATTCAATCATTGTAGCAATCTAGTGGTATTCAGAAGCAATTTTCAGTTCAAACGTCGTTATACAATTTCCAATACTACAGTGGTAACCGCAGTTTGGAGTATCTCAGGATAATACTCATGTCAAACAACATCATTCTTGGTTGCTTTTTCAACTAATTCAAACACAAAACGCTTTTTTGAGAGGACTTAAATTGGGTTTTTGTTCAATTCTGATATTGTTTAAGTAAAAAAAATATGTAGAATTGTAATTACACTTTATAAATTTCGTGCGTCTGAAGCGGGAACGCTCAAACCTAAACATTTATAAGATAGGAGCTATATGACCAATAGAAATGTTTAAAACAACAATCAACTAATAGCTTAATAGATTGCCACTGACTCAGCAGTTAAAAAATGTCAAATTTAGGGAGAATGAATACATGTACAAAATATAACAAAAAAACTTAACTCAAATGTAAATTCAGAAAGGGGGAAGTCACAAAAAACTGACAAAATCGACTTTATCAACCAACGGAACGAATGGAAAACAACTGTTATATTCCTGACTTGGTACAGACATTTTCCGAAGAAAATGATGGGTTATACCTGGTTTTCTGCTCACGTTATTCTACTATAATACACCCAAATTCATGCTATCATTATTGACAGAATTCAAATAATTCTCACTTCGATAGGAATACGACAGTTTTATTTGGATTTGGTTACATATAACAATATAAACACAAGCTCTGGGGAAGGATTTACCAAATATGCCAGACGCGTGTTCGTCTACAAAAGCCTCATCAGTAACGTTCGTATCAAAAAGGTAAAAAGGTCAAAAGGTCAAATAAAGTACAAAGTTGGTGCGCATTGAGGACTCTAATTCAAAGTTTTGTAAACAATTAATTTATAATTATGACCATATTAGTGATAATTCATATAAACACAGAAGTGCTGACTACTGGGATGACGATAACCTCCACTAGCAGTGGCATTGACCCAGTGGTTGTAAATAAACTCATCATAGATAAATGCTTAAATTTTGTACGCCAGACGCGCATTTCGTCTACAAACTCGACTCGGCTGGTGATACTCTCGGGGAGGAAACGTCCATCAGTGGCATAGTTATATTGCATACTTCTAAATTGTTAAGGACTATCTGCATCCATAGTCTCCATAAGGAGAGTCACCAATGTTTTAATGGCATTATTTTAATTTAACTTTAGATGGTTGACGATATTTCAGTATTAAATTTTATAGTTAATGCAAAGAAATGATGATATAATTAATGTATACTTAAAGCGAAAGTATGTCATATCCACCTATTATTTTTTTTCAATAAGTGATATTAATAATAATGGTACCTGTTGATTTGAAAAATTAAATTCGAGTTTTTCTATATTATTTCATAATAAACGTATGCCATTTTGAAAAACTTTTTTTTTTTCTTTTTTCAAAGTGGGATTTATCGTTTAGTACTTATTTCGTCACTTGTGGGATTGTTGTTGTTAAAAAGAATGAATGACCATCATATATGTTTCGATTGCATTTATTAACTCCCATTGATAAATAGGTTATCTTGAAACTGAATGACAGTGTAAGTATTTAACAAGATTGTTTGATAGTAGATTTTTCTGGCTATTTTCTTTGCTTCATTTTGGAAAGTGTGGCTTGTCACAGTCCAAGTGCTTATTATAGAGAAATATATTTCTACCACATGTTTCAACAAATACAAAATACAAGTCTAATATGCGGTTTCCCTTTCATAAAAATACAAACTAGACTGAAAGTGTCTTCCAGATTAATTCGTAGATAAGGTTCCACTTCGACTTTCCAGATGATCACATAATCATTAATTTTTCGCCATAATATCAAGCAATAAAAATCCCATTCTCCAATTAGACATTTTTATCATTTGATACCTTGATATCATATTATAATTATAAAGAATTTTGAACTTGTAATCAGAAAATTTTCAAATGTAAAGTACATTCATATAATTCTTTAAAATAACGGAAATAACAATGCATTGTCTTGGAATATCAGAAGGAAGGAAGAAAGATAAATTTTCCCAATTTCCTTTAAAGGAGAGGTTTTAAATTTACTTTGATAGAATGTGTTAGTATTCCTCTCACATATTGCAATGGCAGAAGGATGAATACAAAATTACTTTTGTGGCACAAACAGGATGATAATGTGTTAAACACTGCATTTGGTTCTTTTTCACACATTTTGGTGATTTAGACGTTGCGCACGGTATTGGTACCAGTGTTACACGAAGTTCCTAATAAAACGACGATTTTGACGGTGTTCCAAAGAACGTTGCAAGCGTATTAGCTTTTTACTTACATATGTGAAAATGCTGTTTAAAGTTACCGTAGAATTTACATTCTTCTAAAAAGTATTCATTTTGCAGAGATTTTCGAAGTTGCTTCACTATATATTTTCATTTTTTCAAGCCGGGATTGGCATTAATAAATGCAAACTTTGATATTCAAATTTCCATAGAATTAGAACAAAATTTGAAACACATGCAACATTTTTAATTTTGTGTAAAAATTGTCTCTAACAGTAATGTTTAGCACGGAATAACAATTTGATGTCTTGTAACATGATTTAAAATCTGTTTTGTATATTATTTAGCGTTTTTCATTTTCAAAATTCAAAAAGTTTTGAAACTTTAAAACTGAGTTTGATACTATGAGTGAAACAAATGCAGGAAAAATCTGAGGCTACCTCTTTACTCTTAGGACGAGGGTGCTTCCAACATATCACACTGAATGTCATTGCTTATAACCTTCGGTGTCTTATTTTCTTAATTTTCTTTTACTATTTGTGTATTATCAGTTTCTTCTTTTTCTTAAAATTTAGCAATGTTCTCTTTGACAGAAGACGTCTCCAATCTTGGCTAGTGAAATTGTTCATATTTTGTTTCTTGTTTCTGTCTCTTGTCTTCTATTATACGTTTCTATTTGTTTGCTGTAATTTTGGTAATTTCTCTCCCTTATTTTTTTCAATTCATGTTAATATTCAAATGCTTCTTAATTTGATAATGTGAAAGATGTTGATTGACGATCGCCAGATATTTTTCTTTTCATAATCTCATTTTATCAACACTTTATTCATAAGAGGTCCGTTTTATTTATTTTTTCATAAAAAGTGGCTAATACTAGTATAAAAATTCATATTACATATCCTATCAGGTAATGCTCGTATTAGTTCACAATCTTGACATCAATTACATTTTTTTTTTATAAATCTCTAACGAAATACTTGATAAAATATACAACAAGTTTGAGAAAGAAATACATGTTCTTAAGCTGCCATTGTCAACTTTCAATATTTTAAGGTTGGTCGGGGTCTAAATTAATTTGTTTTTTAAATAAATGTTTTCATTGATTACAATTTTTAAATCAGGATTGTTTTATCAGGAAAATAATTAAAGAAAAAAATATTTTATGAAGAAATTTACACAATTTCGTACATAAATCAGGCTGTAAGTTTTCTCCTTTGAATTGTTTTACATTTGTCATTTCAGAGTCTTTTATAACTGACTATGAGGTATGGGTTTCGCTCAATGTTGAAGGACGTACTGTGACCTATAATAGTTGTTAACTTCTATGTTATCTGGTCCTTTGTGATTTATTAAGAAAACGAGAACGGAGATTCCGTATTGTTTTCTTGCTTTCGGAAAACGCATTTTTCGAGATATCTTTTCATCTGATATAATTCACAAACTAAAGCTTCAAAAAAGGTCAGCGATCCATACTTTTTATTATGTTTTTGAAATTATAGCATTTTGGCAAAGTATGGAAAACCTTGCCCCTTTTTATATAGACTCAAATCTTACCTTAACCACTACTAGTATTTGATTAACATCAGGCTGAAATCCGATTTTTAAACATATGATTATTTTTATGTATTTTTTAGTTACTACTTTAGTACATATACATGGATCAATGTTTTCTAAAACGAGTACTATGTACTTTTTATATCTTGTTTATAAATTGTATCCGAAGTTTGTATCCATCGACAAACATGGCCGCCATGGCTAAAAATAGAACATAAGGGTCAAATGCAGTTTTTGGCTTATATTTCAAAAACTAAATCTTTTAGAGCAAATGTGACACGGGTGTAAAATTGTTTAATTGGTCAAGATCTATTGGCCTTGAAATTATCAGACGAATCGAACAACCCATTGTTGGGTTGCTGCCCCCGAATTGGTAGTTTTAACAAAATTTTGCAGTTTTTTGTTATTATTTTGAATATTATTATAGATATATATAAACTGTAAGCAGCAATAATGTTCAGCAAAGTAAGATCTACAAAAAAGTTAATATGACCAAAATTGTCAATTGACCCCTTAAGGAGTTATTGCCCTTTAAAGACAATTTTACACAATTTGTTCATTAAGTTTGCTAACATTTAAAAATCTTCTCCTCTGAAATACAAGTGAGCGATTCAGGCTCTTGAGAGCCTCTTGTTTTATAAATTGTTTATTCATGCAAAGAATATTAAACTTCCCGTAAAATATACGCTTTCAAAAAATATGGAAAGATAGAAATTTTGGAAGATGTGGGGTCCAGTGCATGGGGACTTTTTTTCAAAAGGGTTTGGAGTGTCTGTAAATATATACAGTGGAGCCTGCTACATGTTTGTGTGCAATCTATCATATTTGTCAGACAACTATAACCCCAACACTGAGTGCATTTTGAGGTTTTCTCTCTCTCTCTTTCTCTCTCAAATTAATGTAAAAGAAAAGTTCCATAGCAGGCAATTATGTAGGAGATTCACGTAAATAAACTCCATTCTGCCTCGCATTCCTTCTAGAAGTATTAATCTTCTTTTTCATACACATGTTGCTAGGTAGATGACTAGAGATTGTTCTACCCACAGTACACAAAAAACATGATCGCAGGCTATACTGAAATGTTCCTGACATACACCATTATTTCTCTCGTAAGATGTTTTGTTAAATGAGTCGCTGCGACAAAAAATGATTGCTCGTTATACTGAAATGTTCAGGACAAACGAGTACTTTTCTTGTTAGATTTTTTGTGAAATTTTTTATTCACATGTATACAGTTTCGATTCTTTTAATAGCAACACTAGGAATTAAGGATAGGGTGTATAGCTTGATTTTGAATCGTTTATAATATGACTAAGGAGGGTAAATAAGATGAGCTCACTTTTGATCGCATTTTCATTTTCACTGTATGTTGCTTTTCTAAAAGTGAGACTGTGATCATATGTAATGTTGTCTCACTTTTATGGCCCCGGCGCCTTGTCTTTATGAAGTATACGAGTTAAATATTAAGACATCTTCATTCATTGATACAATGCAGATCAATATTTTAATACATATTAAACGAGAACTTTATTTTATATAGATCAGACCATTTCATGAAACTAGTTTATGCCAAATATGCAAGAAAAGTCATGTACAGTTTAGCTTTATCATAACGTGAACGTCAAATTAAAGTTATGGCGACATGTCATTGGACATCTTAGGTCGTTTCGTATTTGCGATCTGCAGCTCAAACACAAGTACATATCATATTCAGAGGAAATCAAATTTATTTTTCATTCATATCAGTTAAAAGGTGTTAAAAATTACGGATCAAGTAGAATTTCGTTTAATAAACAGCCTCCGAATTATTCTTTGTGTTATTTTGTCCATCGAGACATTTTATTGGACACGGGAAAACTGACGATGTTTTGAAAGTAAGACCACAGTTACATAATGATGACTTCAGATAGCTTCTTCAGGACATGTATAATTTTTTTGATATTATTTAAAGCCACTTACATCTGTTATATCTTATTAAAGTGAAGGCAGAAAGTTTTTATAAGGGTTGAGCAGCTCAGTGGGACATGTTTTCTCTTCCTAATCTAAACGCTTCTGACGATCTTCTTTCACTCACAGTTAAAAACGTCTATGACGCCTTTTTTCGTTAAAGGTATACAGTTGTAAAATTTTATCACATTAAACCTACTAATTAATCCGCACTAGGATTTCAATGACGTGCACAAAACAAAATTGTTATAGCGGTACACCCTTAAAATGACGTTATAGGCATCGAAATGAGCAAAGTTTTTCTTTACATAATATACAAAACACAAAATCATCTATGTTATTGATTTCCTTGGTTTATTTCCTTTCGTATGATATGCAGAACATGGATATTTATTGTATAGGAAAAGAGCTTGAGTTTGAATAACCCGGTGTCTATTGCATTTTTCCAAGGAGACACCAATACCGTGCGCAACGTCTTACTGGTCATACACAAACCGATTTGAATGTATATTTGTCAACTGCTTAAGTCTACATATCATTAAAAAACAAATTGAATGTATATCTGTGACAATTATCATTTTTGAAATGCATCTGATTCTTCTATTTAGTTGATGTGGTTGATCTGGTTGGTTGTAATGGTATTTTTGCATACCGTTTCTTTCTTTTTTATCGAAAATACTGTCAGTATCGTTCGATCAAGAGGTAATGCTTCATTCCTGGTATTAGTCGAAAGATATATATTGTTTTAATGTATGATATGACATTTTAGTTGATTTTGGTATTGTTAAAACAAATGCATAACATTTCTATTAGAACTATAAGGCTCTGCTCAACACATGTATGATAGATTCTAATTTTAAGGTTATTTCTATAAAATTCTTACAGGCGGATTGAAGCTCAGTAGGTAACTTACAATTTGATTTACAGTTATAAATATCAAGGAATCATACGTTAAAGAAAACTTTTGTCTAAATATGAAACCCGTTTCAAATGGAAATTGTGATGTGAAGCAATAGTTTATCATTTTACTCTTTATTATGAACATGAATACATACAAGAGCTATAATTTTGCAGTATTAATATCCCACCCCCTTTTCACTTGCTTGTGACACATTTTTCTTCGTAATAGAAACATGACACATTTTGATATTAATTATTAGTTCGTTTTCATTTAATTCCGAATTATAGGTACAAGACTGCACACTGACATTGTCGTTGTGCACAATGAAACTTAGTGTTTAATTTTTGCTGCCATTGACCGTTTTGAGCCAGGGTTTTTTATTCGTGAAAACAATAAGCTCACAATTCTTCTTTTTATATGTATCAAACTGTGTTCCAGATTTCCTACCAGGACACGATGCAAGCCAGTAAAGAATTGAATACTACGACAGCAGGTATTATGAGATCAGCACTTTTGTGTTTGCTATATCCCGGACGACGGTATCAGATCAAAGTAGCTGCAAAAACGAGCAGGGGATTTGGTGATCCTGATCATTTGTTTGAATACACAGAACAATCAACACCGAATACACCACCAGCACCAAAGAAGATTAGCTCTACTGCAACAACAATTGTAGTGTCAATCGATCCAGTCATATTGACAACAGGACCACTTACTGCCTATGTAATATATGTTCATGATCTTACCGTTGGTTCTGGAAAACGGAAGCGGGCAACTGGAAATCCACCGGGAGTTGAAACAGCAATACTTTTACCAGATGAAGTGTTGACGACGACTTTTTTCACAGTAGGGGATGGAAAAATATATAATGGTATTCAAAATAACCCCTTGGTCTCTGGTCATCAGTACGACGTTTATTTACAAACAAGAAGTACCCTCCTCGGTGTAACAAAGTCAAGTTACAACCAAATGGTACTTAATCCCACTCCTTCTACGTCGGCTCCAAACACTGTGGTGACTGCCTCTGCTGATTACACAGGTGTAATAATCGCCATTATTGTCATTATTATCATAATTCTGATAGCTATTGTAGTGATCTGTGTTCTGTATTGGTATAGAAGACGTAGAAGTTACGCACCCTATGCAGCACATGTCGACGACAAGGGTAATTATGATTGTATGTATACTCATGTGGATGATTATGATCCTCATAAATATTGGAATACTATTTATTCACACCGAGAAAGTCGATACATTATTGCAGGACGGAACCTCATACCTCCCGATAGAAGTAATTATGATATGAATGGTGTTGTTGAGTCAAAGATGAATCCACCAGTTACCTTTCAGCAAGAGTTTCATGATCTCCCTCATGGACGTTTGGCATCGTGGAATGTTGCATTGAAACATCGAAATCAGCGAAAGAATAGATTCCCACATTTATTACCGTATGACCATTCGCGTGTTATTCTACGGGGGGATGAAAACTCGAGAGATGACTATATCAATGCAAATTTCATTCATGGATATCACAAACAGAATGCATATATTGCGGCACAAAGCCCTTTTGACGAGGAAACGGTTCTTGACTTTTGGAGAATGATTAATCAAACAAATGTTTCTGTTATTGTAATGATCACTAATATCATAGAGGACAATATCGTTAAATGTACAAAATATTGGCCTGATCAAGATCAGGGAAAGGTAACATACGGCCATTTCTTTCTGGAGCTGATCGATACTCAAGAATTTGCATCATATGTAATACGAACTATGAAGTTTAAGTCGAACAGTACGTATAGTTCCACTAGAGTTGTCCATATATTTGATTTTTGTTCTTGGCCAGATCATGGTGTTCCTGATGATCCTATACCATTGTTGGAAATGAGGTTCAAGGTTAAAGAGTACAACAGTGATACACCTGCATCACCTTTGTTAGTTCATTGTGGTACAGGAGTCGGGAGAACAGGAGCTTATATAGCCATAGATAGCCTTTTGGAACAGTATGATAGAGAAGGTCGTATAAGTATATCAGCTTTCGTGAGGCGTTTGAGGAAGGATCGGGTTCAAATGGTCCGGACAATAAAACAATACATATTTATTTATGATGCCATATTCGAAGCGAAACATGCTGGCCAAACAAGAACAGGGCTTGATTTGAAAGAAAAGTATCATCTGCTGACAAGGAAAAATCCGAAAACGAAACACTCATATTTAAGAGATCAGTTTGAATGCTTGAGCAACTTTACACGCAAATTACACTCTGCAAACTGTTCAGATGCACTATCTCATATTAATTTAGATAAAAACCGGTTTCCAGACGTCATTCCGACAAATATGCACAGAGCCGTTTTGAGCACTCCTGGGGGCGTCGGAAGGACCGATTATATTAATGCAGTTTTACTAGATAGTCACCGACAAAAAGACCATTTCATCGTTACACAGACACCATTGCATACAACTATTATAGATTTCTGGAAACTGGTCTATGATTTTAATGTCCACACCATCGTCATGATGGAAAATTATAAACACGAGGATGACACATGTGCAGAATATTGGCCAGAGGAGAAGAAAATGAAACAGTTTGAGCCTTTCTTCATAGACAGTATCGCTGTATACCAGCAGGACAATATCACTATTCGCCATTTTAAAATTCATAGCATGCTAAATCCTAAAGTTCAGGCACGTGAGATTCGTCAATTTCAATTTAACGCTTGCAACGACACAGACTTCGTACCAAAATCAAAGTCCATGTTTCTTGATCTCTTTGACTTGGTTAAGGACTGGCAGAATGTGTCATGTGAAGATGATTGTCCAGTCATTGTTCATTGTAAGGATGGGGCTACACACAGTGGATTTTACGTTGCCATCAGCAATATTTGCGACGCCATGCTGCATGATGGCGATGTTGATGTATATCATACTGTAAGGCGGGTTAAAAAGAGAAGAACGCAAATTGTAGACCTCGTGGTAAGTATTTGTTTTCAATACTGTTTGATTAATTCATTATTCATTACGTTTATGTATAATAAATTAGTTGTTTTTCATGGACTTCTAGACTATTAAACTTAGAAATACTAATCTGTTTTATATAAATTTGTCTGATTGTTTATTATACTCCGTTCTGAAGTAGGGGTGAACTGGTTTAAATCTGTCTTTTCGTCCGCCCAATAAAATTTTAAATGCATTGTTCTCAGGAACTACAACTCAGATCTTTTTGAAATTTGATAGCCAGATTTATGTGCGCATGCTATATCGTGTGTGCGTTTTCACATCCATCGCACATTAACTTACCGAATGCTTATCTATATTCTTACACATTGTTTTATGGACTAAGAATCAAGGCTTTCTGATTTGGTATCAAGATTCATTTACACATGCTATACCGTGTAATGCCATTTTATTCCCAACGTTATCAACATCCTATTTACCAAATACTTATAGAGCGCATCATTAATAACAAATAGTTCATAAATGATAATAACAAATAAGCTTTATTTAGAGTTGGCATATTAACAAACAAGGACATAACATAAGCTCTAATGAGCTTTTAACCGACGTAATTTAATCTTGTTTTTATTAATCTAATTTCGAAAATGCTGACCATATTCATGATAAATATGTCTTGATAATATATATTCAATCGTATTTTAGGAACAATACCGGTTTTGTTACAAGGTATTATGGGACTACATGAACATGCGACTTCCAGGAGGAACACTGACCAATATGATGGACCATACTCAAGCAGATAAATTGTACAATGTTGGTAGTTTAAGTCTACCGTCCTACACGTCTCACTTGGAGTACTCACAGTTTGACTACAGTTGAAGACAAATATTGATTAATATATGTATGCTTTTTATTTTAATATGCGAACATATAGCAATTGAAAAGCCATTGAAAATTAAATTAGTCCAATATTATCCATATAGGTTGTTCCATTTTTTAAGTGGATAGTTAAAAATTTTATCAATATAAGCCGAAGATTTAAAAGATATATTGATATTATAAGTTATAAGCCACATAGAGACTACAATTTTCATAAAGATGTCTTTGGGGTGGGTTTCTTTCAAAGAATTTGAAATGGTTATTTTATATTTTATAAATCTTAGAGGTGAACAAAATTAATATATCAAACAAATTTTTCAATGGTGATTTTTCGTAATACTAGTGATTTGCTTTTTTCGGTTTTTATTATGTAGATGCATATGTGTTACTTATGTTTAAAATCACGTGAATATTTAAAATACACTTATGGTAGAAGTTACTTATTTTTATAGATGTTGATTGTCTCTATACCTATATAGAACCAGTGAGATTTTTTTTTTACTATGTAAAGAGACCGATGTGCTTTAAATATTAGTAAGTGCCATACTTTTATTATGATGAACGGATACTAGTATTCACTGAAACCAAACAAATACACAGATACGTGTGCTCTTCAAGATAGGTTACAATATGAAATCGTCTAGGAACTTATTGATTTCAAAGCAGACTGTACAGGTGACTACTTTCTATGAAAGGAAAGGGCCGCTGGAAAGTTCACATTTTAATGCTTCATAATCACGCGAACGGTGCAATATAAATAAGATGATATTAAGTCTTACTTGTACTTGTAAAGAACATACAACTAAATTAGATGTTCATATGTATAATGATATATGTTAAGATTAATTAAAATCGTATTTGACACTTTTAATCTTTTTTTTTAAAACTTATCCGATTATCGTAGAAATTCAGTTTGAAAATAATAACAAAGGGGTGCTATAATTGAACAGACTTCTGATCGTGCAATCATGGATAATGGTAAAATGTTACTTTAAATGACAACAGTGTTTGGTATAATAATTACAAAATGACTATGTTAATGTAAAATTTACTCGGTTAGTCAACCAAGTCTGTCTTAACGTCTCTTTTGTTTCAACTACTATAGTATAATAAAAAAAAAAGCTAAGATGTTTGTAAAATAAGAATAAGGAGATGTGATATGATTGCCATTGTAACAACTATCCACCAGTGACCACAGCACGAGGGTGTTAACAACTATAGGTCACCGTACAGCTTTAAACAATGGACAAAATATTGTCTCTTATAGGTAGTATATTCTTCTTACAAACTGTTAACCATTTTCGTTTTCCTATTTTGTCTTTATTTAATGTTTTATTTTCCTATAGAATGTCAATTGTCATTGAGACCAAATTGTTGATTATACTTATATATGACTGGCCTGTGTTAACGTGACATTATTAAGAAGCTGAGGTTCTTACCTCCTCAAGTTGACCTCAGGTTCTTACCTCCTCAAGTTGACCTTAGGTGATTTTTGCCTATTCTCTTCGAGTCCCTTTTGGTCACATAGCTCCTCGTGTATTTTTAAAAGTACTTCCACACACACACCTTTCTTTTCTTTTCTTTCTTTTTCTTTTTCTTTTTTTTTTTAGGTTTGAGCGTTCCTAATGAAGGTAAAATGTAAAAATCGTTTCGAACCGCACCATATATGGAGTATTATTTTCATTTTTATCATCTCCAATCCAAATGGCTAAGCAAGTTTTTATTTGGTTTTAAAAAGTCCAAAACTTTCAACATTTGTTTTAAGTTTGAAATCCCAAAGTTTTTTGGCTTCGACCATCCACTGAAGCGATTTATTGTTGTATAACGCTTATCGGTTTTATAAGAGTACCATTGTTATCATCAGTATCTTTATATTTTGTCACGGAAAATCTCTTTTTCTTCTATGGTGTTTAAAGGCAAAGTTTGTGTATACTAAGATGTCAAAATATTTCCTTAAATTGATTCTGTAATAAAATTATATCAAAATATTTGGGTTACTTATTTTACTGGGTTTATATGTGAATTGTCTCTTTTTGTTTCATATATATTTATATATATAGACACATTGTAATGAATACAAGTTATTGTTAGATTGCCATACTATTGTGACTGATATTTTGGACATAGCTGACGTTACAATTATTAATTAAATTTTATTTAAATAAAATTTAATTAATAATTGTAACGTCAGCTATGTCCAAAATATGAATATGATTGTCGTTAGTTAGTAGATGACCAATATATCTTATAAATTTATGATTGGTATTTATAAATTATTTACAAATGTATCTTGTTTCTATCTGTATTAAAAAATATGATCGCAAGTCATTTGTTATTGAAACATTATGTGTAGTTTGTTTTGGGGTATTTTTCAAGATTATGTCTTTTTGTACTGTTTTTTCTATGAATTATAGCAACCGATATTAAGTAATGACGGCATGATTTATTTTCAGCAGTTTAAGTGCTTGCATGTTGCTTTCAGTAACTGCGGACATTCTTTAATGCGGTATGACTTGCTATTACTTTTGTGGTTTTTTTTACCTATTTTACTGCTATTTTTACTGTACTGGTTTTTAATGTATGTTCTTTTGTGTACGGTTTGATTATCTTCTGATCGAGAATTTTGAAAAAGGGGAGGGTTGAGATCTCAAAAATGAATTTGAACTTCTCCACATTAACATGTGTCTGTCTAGGTCAGGAACCTCGTCAGCAGTTGTCGTATCATATCTTTATTGACTTTTTCGTTATTTCTGAGAATTTGGATTTTAATGGCAGATCTTGATAGAATAAGGACATGCGTTTGATTATTTTATAGACGCGGGACGATGTATGTTGCCTATGTGTCTTTATACGTATATCCGACATGTCCTTTTAAGCATATTTTCATAAAAGTAAGGAGATGTGGTATAATTGCCAATCAAACAACTATCCACGAGAGACGAACGACTAGGATGTTTATTATTATTACTACAACTGACTTCAAATGATAATCCAAACGTTTTTAGTAAGGCTGCTGCTAATTTCTTTATATACAGCAATTTTAGAAGTTTCTGTCCTTATAGTTAACAGGTTCAAAGAACAGATTTGTGTAAGACATGCTCTGCCAACCAATCTTTTCGCTACTGCTGTTACTCATTGCTATATTCTAATACGTCAATTTCGTCAATTTGCAACGTGCAAGAAATCGATGGTTAAGAAAATATATCAATTCTGGTATCTGACAGACATACATTGTGAACATTTGAGGAATGTTTTTGGATGTAACTATATGGGATTTTGTGCAAATTTAAGGGGCTGCGAATAATTTTCTAATTGTGGGTTCTTTATTAACACTTAAATACAAGTCAGCTAATATATAGAAGGAAGTATTAGCCGATGATCAATACCATGAACTAACAAGCTTTTAGAAAGCAGAAATATCTGGTTCAAATGCAAAAGTAATGCTCTACTAAAGTATATTTTTGAAATGTGAAATGCTTAATAGAAATATCCGCGCTTCAGCGTTACTAGCTTTCAATTGAATTAATTTCCAAGAAAACAGCTTTTAATTTTAATTTTATACTTTAAGAAGATGTTGGGAATACGTTAATGGACAGCACCCAACGACACAAATATATGTACCTCCTATATGGTTTAAAAGTTTAAAAAACGCGAATAAATTATTTTGTCACTATTAAAAATCGCTGGTTACAAAAAACACGACACAGTGGAATGACAGAATAGTGGAACGCCATGAACACCAATTTTCCTTGATGACAAGCACATTAAGATATGACACACGAGTTTCCCGGCACATGGACATGTAGCGGAATTAAACTAACTAGTATGATATATCAAATCTGCTTTTAATCTGAAGAATATATATATATATATGTCGAAATCAAGATATGGTGTACACATTTTTGCACCTCATGTTTGCGGTATACCATCTTTTCCGCAAGTTTATTGTTTTCCGTTTGGTATTAAATTAATAATGAAGATCCATTTTGTTACATCTTGTGATCCGTTTATTTGGCAATCGCCAATGGCAGTCAGCAGAGTTTAAGAACATCAGTTGGTCGACCTGTTAGTCAAATGCGTTTTGTTAAAATAGACTTTTTCACTTTTTTTTTTTTGTCTTTTGGAAATTGTTGTTTGTGCTGTATTTAGACCCCTCTACCAAGAAATTTGTTTTACATGCACACGTATAAAAATTGCGGTTTTTATCCAACGCAATCATAGGTTTGAACGTTGTTTTCAATTTAGACTTTTTATATTTTTTCGTTTGGGCTTATATTATATTTTCCTTCGGGGTTATATGATCCGTTCATCCTATTTCGACTCTTTAAAATTCAAGAGTCTATCCTAAATTGAGGTAAATTATATATATAATTCGTCTAAACAACAGCCCAACAATGTTACATCTGTAAATTTGCGGAAGCAAATTTTTTTTTCTTCCCTGGCCGGGATTCGAACTCATGCTACTGAGATATCGTGGCACCAAATCGCCTTGCACTATGCCCAACGCACTAGACCACTCGACCACCTAGGCTCTATAAAAATAAAGCTTTCGGTGGCCGGGTGTTACCTTTCCTCGTCAGTTTTTATCTAGCGTCGTAACACAGTACATGATATATAAGGCATGAAGATGGAATTGTAACAGATCAGCTGAATTATCTATTGTAAAGGATCCTACAAATTAATGTAAGATGCAGTCACAGAAATAATTTTATTATAAGTACGTCTGAACCAGTGACGACTCTACAACAGATTTTATCCATCGGATCACCAGCAGTGATGGTGATACAAGGCTGAAAATACATTCTGTATATATAATTCGTCTAAACAACAGCCCAACAATGTTAGATCTGTAAATTTGCGGATGCAAATTTTTATATATTTATATATATAGATTGCCTAACAATGTAATTTTAACACACTATTTAGTATGAAAATATTAGAATGTTTAAAATATTTACAAAACAATAAAAATAAACGCAATATTTCGCTAGACAAACTAGCTTTATCAAGCGTGCATCTATCCAAGTGAAATCGTCTACATCCGAAAGGTTTCACGTTAACCACAAATATTTTGATGTTGGGGCCCCAGTGCACCTCTTTATATAATATTGTTAATGGTTGTCGCTGTTGGATAGTTGTCTGGTGGCAGTTATACCACATCTCCCTATTTAATATTAATAGATTTTTTTTTTTAGATAAGTGACATATTAAAATAGTTGCTTTGACGTCTATATGCTTCCCAACTTTAACTGTCCTTTTTTTTTAAATGAACTTTGTTGTCTTACATTTTCTTTCTATATATGGTTCTATTAAGCTCTGCATCTATGTACGGTACCTAGTTTGATAATTGCTTTTCCTTCCTTAAAAGGTGCATGTTTGACAGCCACCACGTTAAAATGTGTACTAAAATTGTCATATGATGTATTTGTTAATTTTCCAAATCTTGTAAAAATATGATTAAATTCTTAAAACTTCTCCACATCTTCATTTTTGTATAATTTTAGGTTCAACTGCATCTGGATAAAATTGTACAAATCACTAATACCAGTACCAAAATTACATGACAATAATAGATCCTTAAAACAATATTATATGATTTAAAAGCTTTCGTAAAACATGTAGCTTTCTATTTTATTTTATTTTTTATTAATTGAAAATATCACAAATTTCTCTTATCAGTTTTTGTTTATACTAGTAGGCTTATATATTCCCCAAAAGAACCATTTCTGCATGGTGACCATATCGATATAATAATAATTTCAATCTCTCAGAATTCGAGTTGACATTTTTTACCAGCTGCAAAAACAGATCTCACTGTGCATATGCAATTAGACCAACACCGTGCTGACTTCAGTCTAAACGCTATAAATTTTACATTTTTGTAAAACTGTCGACACAGAAATTTAGTCTGGGAGAACACGATTTATTTATTAGCTGTAATTTGCCCTGAACTAGCTTTCAGTAACTGAAAGTACTCGGATTTCGGTGTTTTGTGTCTATTGTTTTTATCTTAGTTATTTTGGTGCCTTGTACCGATCCTTTCGGCCAATTGCAAGTGATTTTAACATTTTTGTTTCGTGTTGTGCTGTTACACAACTGTCCCAGGTTCGGGGAAGGTTGAGTGCTTACAAACATGATTAATCCCACCACATTATGTATGTGTCTGTCCAAAGTCAGGAGCCTGTGTCTCAGTGGCAACTTCAAAGCAAAGAACGAAGCTCGTGAACTCGACAGGACTTCGGGAAAGTTCAGAGAGCCGACATCCTTGCTTCAGAAGTTGGTTCAGTGGTTGTCGTTGATATTTGTTTTTCGTAAATAGTTTTGTTATAAATTAGGCTTTAGTTTGCTCGTTTGAATTGTCATAGGTTTTCCTGCAAATTAATGTGTCTGCATACGATTTCCCTCAGATTTGTATCTAGTGAGCATACGATTTCCCACGAATTTGAATCTGATTAGCATACGATTTCCCGCAAATTTGTATCTGAAGAGCATACAATTTCCCGAAAAGTTGTATCTGAGAAGCATACGATTTCCCGAAAATATATCTTAAATGTCAGATCTAATGTTACGGCCCTGTTAAACCTTCAGAAACATAGCGTCGATTTAACTTTGTTCCTGTTCTCGTTTCTTCATTCAGGATTTTCCCGGCCTGAAACATCACATAGGAGCATACGATCATTTCTGGTAATTTTTAACTGATTACACAAAAAGGAACATACTATTTCCCGCACTGGGAAATTTTTGATGATATCTGATTGCCGAGAAGTCATGAAGATACTATAAAAATAAAGTCTTCCCAATCCCCCAACAAACTTCGGGAGCTCACCAGAAAGCACCTGTTTCGTATCATTCATATATCCTCATATTTAATAAGTAGGATTGCAGATCCTGGCTTTCTATAGTTCTTCGACACCTTTGTGCATGTTGCCATTTCCACATATGTTCACAATTTACGCCATTCCGGAGATAATACTGTAAATATACATCTAATGCAAAAAAAATCATTTATATTAATTTGATGAAAGAATTAGAGCACTGTGTACAAACATCTCATTAGAAGATGAAAATTTATAAACAGCGATTCCAGTTTGAGTCGTCATAGTAAGTTTGACGTCTGGTCTTCTATTATTTTTTAGGTCAGGTATATAAAAATAAAAATCAGTAAAACAAGTTGCTTTCTTTAAAAAAAGAAAAGCAACACGTGAACCTAAGACCGCTGACTAGTCACCAAAAGATTGTTGCTGAATTTTTGTTTGCTTTTGAATTGAAATAATTGACTGTGAATAGAAGGAGATAATGATAAAGTTAAACTACCTTTATTAAAAATATGTAATAGTGTGTACATTCTTGCACAAGTCAGTTGAAAGCAATGTTGGATAGGTGTGAATAGAAAAGTGTATATACGGCTACTATTTGAATATAATTTTAAAGTTCGACTATTTCATTTATTACTTGGAATTGTACATCATTTTTTTTATAATCCTATTGCAAATCCCAGTTTCTACAAACCGGATGTATAATGCAAATTGCACAAACCAATCGCAATATAAATTTAAGCAGTGCCACTCAGTTTGCTTTATAATCTGGATGCATTTATTTTATCTATCACATCTTTATATTTTGTTACCTGCATGGGTGCCTTCATATTCTCAACTCGTTATTGAAGTTGTCTGTACTCATGGTAGATGTTGTACAGATAAATTTAAAGTCCATTTCCATGTGAAGTGAAACCCTGTGGCATGCAACTTCTAAGAAGGTTTCGTATATTTTTCTTGAGAGTAACACACCAGCTTCATTTGAGCCTATTATATAGAGACTTATTTTGGTCTCATAAAACATCTCAAATTTTAAGGATTTCCTGATTTTACTTAAATCAATCCAAATATTTTACAGGGAAACTTGGTTTTGAAAAATATCTTATATTCAGAAGTTTTATGAATACCTGAACATACTCTCAAAAGAACCAATTTATATAAAAAGACAACCAAATTATCGTTATGGCAATAATCAGACAGTGACTTTGGTACCACTTTTATTAACTGCAAATATGTATTTATTTCAACATATACAAATCTTTCAACAAATTCGGAAAACAATTACATTCATTCATAACCTAAATATAAAACCACAAACTTAATGTAGATGGGGTGTCTAAATTATAATCCATAGATTTTTTTTTATAATTTGCCAAAATGTAGTTTATATCATGCTTTAAAAAAAAAATAATACGAATGGGTCACGGGGCTTATTTTCACGCTACAGGTTGTGCAAAATTGACAGATTTTGTATAGATTATGCATGGAAAACCCAATTTTCTGCCATAAAACAAAAACTACACCATAGAATTTTGAGATAAAGTATGAGAAGATAGCTCTAATATTATGCTTTCAGATAAGAAAAAGAAAAAATGGGGTCACGGGACCCGTTTTCTTGCTACATAATAAAATAGGTAAATTCCTAACACATTCTATTGTAAAAGTAACTTTATCTGAATTATCTGCCCTTACATTTGAGTTGCCTCCCCTAATGTGGCAAAGTTGGAAAAAATTGAATCAAACAAAAGTATTCTGTTTTTTGTAAAATACATCCATAAATATGATAAAACATGTCATTTTCTATATTGAAATAAAAATTCTTACACATGAAATACCTACTACTCTCAAAATTTGCACATTTTCTTAAAGATCTAGACCGATTGTTTTCTGGTATTTCAAAATCCAAGATGGAGGAAGACACCCTATCTACCTTAATAGAGACAAGAACTGACGGACTAATGAATTCGACAAAGCACTTAAAAATAACGCCGTGAATAAATACTGCAAATAAGACAATTTATAGCTGTAGTTCAGTAATTTTGAACTTTACTAGAAAACTATGTAAAAAGTACGGAAAAGCCGTATTGTATCTTATTATAGATTTTTATGATAAAACTATCATGAAATTTCCATATAACTTTTAACGAATGAAATTCTATCGAGAAACTGTAAATAAAACTGTTCAAATAACAAAATTAACAAACCTGCAAATATTGTTTTAGCATCAGTTAAGCATCCACACAGAAAGGCGGTTATTCAGTTAATGAAATACTAAATATCTATATATATAAGGCGTACATTTATTTTCCCTCGTGCATGCAGTCATATTTTATTCTACCTAAATCGTTCAGGTGTGTAGTGACGTGTATCTGAAATTGTGCTGTGACGTGTATTAAAAATGTCGTCAGTCTCAGTCAAACGTCATAATGAGTATGATGAAACAGATAATGGAATGAATGAAATAAATGAACTGATGAATGACAAAAAATCAAACATTTAATTATACACATGAATACGACGGTGACATGTATATATAAAAAAAATACCAGGATTAACATGTTGTACGCCAGACGCGAGTTAAGTCTACAAAGAATCATCAGTGACGCTCGAATAAAAATAGTTAAAAAGGCCAAATAAAGTACGAAGTTAAGTTTTCAATTCCTTGGGTAGAAAATCCTTGGCATTTCGAAAATGTCAAAGTTTATAAAAGGACAGTGACTCAAAAAAGAAAACAAAAGAGAAACAGCTAGAGGTCAGAATACCGTAAGCAATGATGACCGTGCTTGAAAGTCACATGGCAATCTCTTATTGCCGTGTCCTGAATCTAGATAAGAAAAACGAAAATTCGCATTCGCGAGTGAAATTAATATTTATGCATGAACATGTTATTTTTGCGCAAGAAATAGTAAATAGAAAGCATACGCACTGATACTTTGGATAAGAATACGCATTTGCGTCATCACATATATATTAATCTAATAGTTGAATTCGGATGTCAAACTACATACCTCAAGTGTTTTGACTCCGGATTTATTGACATTTTATCCGGAATTTTTGTGAACGCAAACCGATAGTGTGCGTGTGATCAGGGTGATGTATAATGTGAATGAATCAAGACGTGTAGGATAGCTGACCAACACAATGAATATAATTTTCAAAACCGTACCATAGTACAAATATTTAGATGCTATAAGGTTGAACTAATATAAGAAAATAAATTAATATTATAATAGTAATTAAATTTTGTTATGATTATTGTAAAATATTAATTACGTTTTTTGTGAAATGCAAGGATTTAAAATCCTTGTGAATTGAAACCACGCAAGTATTTTTTTCATTCACGATCGTTTAAAATTTAGATATTTAGCTTATCAAAGACATAAATAACTACCTATATAAATGATGGAAAATTTTCGAGACGTTCCGAGAATCGTGATACCGAGGATATCGAGTGGCCCATAGACACTTCCAAAACTCGCCAATATATAAGCGTGAACCCCCTCACGGGGTTCACGCAAAAAGCCTCAGCTGAGACTTCGCGATAATCTTAACTAATGCAGAAGTATTTACACTCATGAAGTAGCATAAAATTTTTGGGGAATAATTCAACAAAGGCTAAGCAACTCATGAGGGTCGGTATGGGGTTTATAGAATGGAGAATAATAGGCAAAAAGTGCATATATAAGTGGATAATAAAACTAAGAGAACAATAGGCAAAAAAATAAAGAATAGAGAATCGGGTGCTGATGTAAAGCAAAATATTGTCCTATGAAATATTGTCCCCCAAGATAATATTTCATGACTTATGAAATTTTGTCCATATAAAAACAATATTTCATAGATGAATAGTATGAAATTTTGTCTTGTTAAAGGGAGGTTACCCAAGGTTATATATTGTGTATATTGAGACAATATTTCATAAATGGATTGTCATGAATTTTGTCTCATGAAACCGGGGAGGTTATACCTGGGACTATTATACTATTAGTATAATAGTCCCAGATTATACTGAAACATTTCATATTTTAGATAATGATATCATTACAGTGTTTTATTTGATTGATAATAACAAACAAACCTGCATAATTAATTTATGCATGAATTTATGGTTACACGCATACTTTTCATGAAAAATATTAGAATAATGAAAGAAACGCTCACAATATCATGGCAGAGGATTTCTCAGGGAAGACATAATTAGATAAAGAAATATTTCAATGGACTGTATTTCAGGTATCCGGTCGTTCCGTCCCCAAACCGATCCGGCCCCAAGTCGATCCGGCCCAAAGTCGATCCGTCCCAAGTCGATCCGGCCCACGTCGATCCGGCCCAAAGTCGATCCGGCCCCATAATAAAATATGAATAAACTATATTGACTTTGGAGGATTTTTAACATTATAAATTGATTTTGCAAAAAGTATCGATGATGGATGACAACAGGTAAGTGAAGTATTGGTGTACCAGTCAAAGAATTATTTTAAATCGATACGAAACTGAGTGTGATTGTGTCTGTTTGTATAGCAGCTTCAACATATTAATATGAAGTTATTTTCCATGATAACTTTGAATGTCATGGCGATTTTTATTTTATTTAATTCACACACAGAATAGCTAAATAAATATTTACAGTCCAATGGAACCTATAAAATTTAACTCATCATATAATGACTTGTTTAATTAAATCATTAATCTATAATTGGTTTGTTTATTCAACAATTGTCTTCTTGGTAAGACCTGGATCACATGGATGAACATGTTGAGTCACCCCAGGTACAAACATGCCACCACGTTGCACAACTGTTGCCTTACACCATAGGGACTTGCTCCGAACACTACAACGCCAGTGGGTGACTGTGGTTGTTGATCTCTGTAAAAATAAAGCATAAATTATAATATAACAATGACACTATTAAACAAATTTTCGGCTGTTGTCTGCTCTTTGGCCAAGTTGTTGTCTCTTTCACATATTCTCCATTTACATTCTCAATTACATTTGTAATATAAATTAATATAAGCCCAGTTATGTTCATTGTTGAAGACCGTACAATATCTAAATGTTACAATCTGTTGGATAGTTATTTGTCTCATTGGCACTCAAACCATATCTTTTTATTTTTTTGCGCTCTAAACAATGAATTAAATTATATTAAATACTTACCTTGACTGTGTAAGCAAAACCGTCACTGCTAACTAGTTTCTTGAATCTTCTCTTACTACCCTGCTCTTCTATGTGGTATGTTACTGGTCTGTTGCCGACAACGTTATCTGGAAGTTCTGGGTCTTCTATGTCACTACAAAATTAATTGAATATCATAATTAGTTTTTATATCAGATAAGTTTATTTGAATATTTGGATAATCGGATTCAACAATATCGTTAATTAATATTTGGACAAAGGATAAATAAATATACAATAGTTGTTTTAACCAGTCTTTCACAGAAATACATTTGATGAATGTAAATAGTTTCATAAGTTCAACACAATTTCGGGTTGAATATACTTTTCGAATTTTAAAATTATATAAAAAAAAGTTACCTTTCTACTATGTCTTCTACTTCTTCAATAGCCAGTGAAATATTGAAGGACTGGTCTGGTAGTACCTATAAGATAAACATGAATGAACATAAGACCATTGTTTTAATAGTATATATTTTAGTAAATGAACATAAGAGATCGATAAAACATAAATAAAAGTAAATAAAGTACACATTAATTAGTTAAATTAGATAATTAAATTATCACCTTGATAAATGTGATTGAATCATTATATATTTTAATAACGAATAAAACATAAAAACACACTTAATTTCATAATTTATTATTCTATATTATACCACTTCCAATACAAAAAGATACGGTACATTCAAAGTATACATGACAACCTTATAGCACTTACTTATAGAATAGTTGATTTAAATACAATATATATAACTTAGTAGTATTTGTGTAAGACAATTCTATTAACTTACTGCTTCTGGTTCAGGTTCAGGTGCTGCTTCTGGTTCAGGTTCAGGTGCTGCTTCTGGTTCAGGTGCTGCCTCTGGCTCGGCTGGCATACACTCGATGCACATGAAGATCACATCTATTTCTTCATTTACCATGCGTCTGTATTCCAGTAGAGATACTCCTATAAAGGAATTACAAAAATAATAAATATCTATCTTTATAATGTAAAATACAAATATATAATACAAATTCATGATGCAAATATCATGAATATATAATACAAATATATGATGCAAATATATAATTCAAATATTTAAACGGATAGCTATAGTACGCTTTACTATTTTCTTTAAAATATTTCATTAATCTAAATACTCAGTTTTGTACAAAAAGTCAAATAAGAATAAATAAAGCAATCTTTATCTAGAATTTATAAGCTTTTTACCATTTTACACCTGAAAACACGCAAATTAATATTCCCAGATTTAAAACAAAACTATATACTTTTTCTTCATATTTATGGTTTAATGATGAAAACAAAGAAAAAAATATTTAAGACTTATATACAAATTAACAGTTTGATTATATTAAAGCAAAAGGTGAAAATAGAAACTTACCGGTATTACAGAGACGGTGTTGCCACTTTGAACATTGCTCACACTGAAGTGCATGCTGCCGAGGTCTAACATGTTGGTCACATACCACACAAGGAAAAGCCATTGTGATATTAAAAGCAAACGCATTCTGTCTCCTCTTTTATAGAAAGGATTCGGCAAATCAAACAACATTTCTCAATTTGAGAAGTTTTAAGAACTTAAAACAAAAACAAAGTTTGTATGTATCAGCTTGGGGATCGGCTTGTACCGTTGTGTATGTAACTATTTGTTATTACACAGGATGAAAGACTTGTTAAGATCACAGTCAATTGAAAGAAAATACTAATTACTGCTGATTAATGTTGATGTCTGTTGATTGTACTAAATTCTGTTATATACGTTTTTATTATAATTATACCCAATAATCTTGAAAACTTGTAATGAAAACATAATCAACCTACTTGTTTTATACTCATCTAAAGAAAATATTTGTCAAAGGCCATTTTTTTTTACCGTACACCTTTTACATTATAATAAAACTCATAAACATTTATGAATTACAATTAATATATATCTTTATTTTTATTCCTTATAAATATATTTTTTTATTGGGGCCGGATCGACTTTAAATATGGGCCGGATCGACGTTGGGCCGGATCGACGTGGGACGGATCGACTTGGGCCGGATCGACGTGGGGCCGGATCGACATGAAACCGTATTTCACACTGACATATTGTCATGGACAGAATTTTACAGTGAAATATTGTCATGGACAGTATTTCATAGTGAAATGTTGTCCAGAATGAGGTGACAAAATTTCATGGACAAGGACACTATTTCATAATGAAATATTGTCCAGGACAGTTTTTCATTATGAAATAGTGTTTTATATGAAATTTTTTCCGATGGACAATATTTCAGTGCGGAACATTATGTTTTATGTTACATTGAAATAAAAAGAATTATGTGGAAAACAAACAAAGAATAAAGAAAACGGTTTAAAAAGAGAAATGAAGGTCCCCATCCAGATCCTCACTCATGAATCAAATGAATCCCGGAATTTACCCGATACGAGTTAAATTTTAGTCTGTGTCCGATCTCGTTTACAACGAGATTCTGATCCACGTTTCTAGTGTAAACAACCTTACCTGATGTTATCAGACAATCTTGGATTAAATCCTTTTATATGAAGCTATTGTTTGGTCATAAATTATTTAATATATGGATGAACACAAAGTACACAACAATCTACGTATTTGTTGACAAGGCACTTCTAAATTTCAAGTAAACTTGATTTAAAAAGAGATGAAATATACCATGAGTAGTGGAGAATCAATAATTTGCATTTAAATGGGGAAATACAGAGCCTGCTGAATCAGTTAGGAAAGATCGGCAGTAAAAATGTTCAGAGGTCCAAGAGATTACAACAAATTGGATCTAAAGAAATTCACTGGACACAAAGATGAGGTAACCATAAACAAAAGTCAAGTATAAATGCCTATATAATTGATGAACTACATGTACATGTACATGATACATTGTAAATGTACGGGTCTCACTAATATGCGACAAGATAACAAATACAGCGTCAAGAAATCTATTAATCATTTCAAATGAATAGATATAGAAACAAATTGCATTAAAGTGTGATTTGTAATATACGTGTACTTTTATTTTAATTATTTTATCATACTGACATTGACTGATAGGAGAAAATGAACATTTATTGAGGATATGTTTAAGATAATATGAAGACAAAGTCCCCAATTTCAGTAAGAAAATCAATAAAAAAGTAAAAAAAATCAATATACTAACTCAAAATTGTTTTTTTTTCCTAACTTTTTCAGTTTCCCGCATTTGCTCTGAAATCTCTTTTTCTTTTCTGGTCTGGTTTGTCACGGGACTTTGAGTAAAATATAGAAAGGAGCATCATATTGTGTCATGCAAATTTGTTGTTTATGATTACTGAAAGAATACTGCTACATATGTAAATTTGTCATGTTTGTAGTTAATCATTTAGAATATATACCTTACATTGTTGTACATGTTAAAATGAGTCTGGAACTTATTAAACATACGATTTTATAGCAAACATCGATTTTATAGCAAACATGTACTCTCTTAGGGATTTCAGTATCTGATTAGAATAACAAGCTGACTTGGTCTTTTGGTTGTTTAAAGATATAAATTATAACAATTTTATTTTAATAAATCTTTGATATGAAAAAAAACGTTAACAGATGAGAGCGTTTCTTTGTTTACATTCACAGGTAACACCTGCCGTATAATAAATTTACAGTTTACAGCAAATATAAAGTGTATAAGTGAATGAATGAATGAAAAATGGGAAGGAGTTAATTTCTTTGTTCTTTAATTTTTAAACCATTCTTTATGGACACTTCGTATAAACAGATGATGGAGGGATTAGCTCATCCTGTTTGCTCTTATATTTAGAGCACTTGTGATTTAGAGTAATTGCCATGTCACATTGTGCTTTTATTTACATAATTTATTTATCAAGATTACTACACTATTGTGACACCATTATGATTCTTGGATTGTAACAAAATGTTCAGATTCATAAATACTTTAAAATATTTTTTTTTATTAAAAATTCACTACAAGACAGCATAGTTACTAAATGCAACAAAATTTGAAAGTTTATAAAACAATTATATAACTTGTAATTAATTGACTTTTTTTTTTATAAATTTATTTTTTTGATAGTACTGTATATAAAAACTTTTGTTGCTAAATTTGTCTTCTTGTTGCTAATTTTTTTCTCATCACTTTACAAAATATTTTCCACTGTAACTACTGGGCCAAGTTCATTATAGATAGAGATAATTGTAAGCAGCAAGAATGTTCAGTAAAGTAAGATCTACAAACACATCACCATCACCAAAACACAATTTTGTCATGAATCCATCTGTGTCCTTTGTTTAATATGCACATAGACCAAGGTGAGCGACACAGGCTCTTTAGAGCCTCTAGTTTTTCTTCTTGTTGCTAATTTTTTTCTTCTTGTCGTTAACTTTTTCCTTTTTGTTGCTGAAATTCTTCTTGTCGCTAATTAGTGAGACCATAAACGTAGAATGCAGGTCAGTAATTTTGTTCCTGTCATATGTCATTTTAATGTTCTGTCAACAAATTGAACAGACTTATCAAAAAGAGCCAAATAACCTTATTTCATGGCTTCTTAAATAAAACTTACAGTAAGAACAAAATCCTTGATGAGAAATATAAATGATAATTTATTATACAAATATAATAAAAAAATATGAGGCACGTGTTACCTGTGAAGTGGACAAAGTACATAAAAATAATTCTTTAACTACTTAACATTTTTGCAAAATAAAACTACAGAAAAATGTACAAAGGTCATTGAAAATTTTTGTTTTTCACTTTACAAATTCTGCCATAAAAAATTCTAAAAAAAAAAATCGCTATAACAGGTAATTTAAAAACACCATTTGTAACTGTTTAGGTACCCTTCATCACTGAGGGCTTGACAATAAATACCTCTTAAAAACAATTTACTCCCATCATAATGTCTTTTGAAAAAACAACTGAGATACGGAACATACCTGATGTTGGTCCTGTTGTTAGAAATTTTATTTATGACATCATTTTCAATGTAATCAAAAACACGCTATCTGCTTTAGGTAACGCTTTTTTTTTAATTTTGTTTGCTATAGGTCTAAAAAAATCGTATGTTGAATAAGCACTAGATTCATTTTATTAAGTACACAAACCGACTAAATTCCAAATATTCATCCCCATATTTTTTGCTGTTATATTCATTTTGGTAATCAGATATATACTTTTGCGGGAAATTGTATGACTTACAACATGGCAGTGTCCGTCAACAGAACAGGAAATGGGTAATGCACAAGCAAAACTGTAAGAAAAAAAGTTATATTTTGATTTTATTCGGTATATTGATTTTCCTGCTGTTATTGGGGACTTTGTCCCCATATCACTAATAAACCATGTTACAAGTTTTTAAGCTCACCGTTCCGAAGGAACTGTGAGCTTTTGCCATCACTTGGCGTCCGTCGTCGTCCGTCTGGTGTAAACTATTTCAAACATCTTCTCCTCTGAAACTACTGAACCAATTCCAACCAAACTTAAGCTGAATGATACTTAGGGTATCTGGAATAAAGTTTGTGTTTTATTTACTGTTTTGTCAAATAACATGGCCGCCATGGCTAAAAATAGAACATAGGGGTAAAATGCAGTTTTTGGCATATCTCAAAAACCAAAGCATTTAGAGCAAATCTGACATGGGGGGGTAAAGTGTTCATTAGGTGAAGTTCTATCAGCCCTGAAATTTTCAGTTGAATCTGATAACCCATTGGTGGGTTGCTGCCCTAAATTGGTAATTTTAAGGAAATTTTGCAGTTTTTGGTTATTATCTTGAATATTATTAATGATAAAGATAAACTGTGAACAGCAAAAATGTTCAGCAAGGTAAGATCTACAAATAAGTTCATATGATCAAAATTGTCAATTGACCCCTTAAGGAGTTATTGCCCTTTAAGGACAATTTTACACAATTTGTTTATCATGTTTTCTAACTTTTAAAACATCTTCTTCTCTGAAACTACTAAATCAATTCCAACCAAACTTTAGCTGAATGATTCTAAGGGTATCTAGAATAAAGTTTGCGTTTTATTTTTGTTTCTTAAAAAAACATGGCCGCCATGGCTAAAAATAGAATGTAGGGATAAAATGCAATTTTTGGCTTATATCTCAAAAACCAAAGCATTTAGAGCTAATCTGATGAGATGTAAAAATGTTTATTAGGCCAAGCTCTGTCAGCCCTGAAATTTTCAGATGAATCTAACTACCCATTGTTGGATTGCTGCCACTTAATTGGTAATTTTTAGGAAATTTTGCAGATTTTAGTTATTATCTTGAATATTATTAATGATAAAGATAAACTGTAAACAGCAAAAACGTTCAGCAAAGTAAGATCTACAAATAAGTTCCGTATGACCAAAATTGTCAATTGTCCCTTTAAGGAGTTACAGTGTATTGCCCTTTAAAATCAATTTTTTACAATTTGTTCATTTAGTTTGCTTACTTTAAAAAATCTTCTCCTTTGAAACTGCTGAATCAATTTCAGCCAAACTTGGGCTGAATGAGTTTCAGAGTATCTAGTATAAATTTTGTATTTTATTTTCTTGTACGTCAAGAAACATAGACACTATGGCTAAAATGAAACATAGGGGTAAAATGCATTTCTTTGATTTTGAAGAAAATATGACAGATACAAAGAACATTTCAATGGAAGTTTTAAGCCATTCATTAATATATATTGAAAAGCAAAAATGATAATTGATGAAAGATTTAAGCAAAAAATTACAGGTGAGCGATTCAGGCTCTTGAGAGCCTCTTGTTTATACCCCTTATAAAATTTACAATCTAAGTTTGAAATATTTGTTTACTTATTATGAGGAATCATATTATCTTTTGTATATCTACATGTATATATATGCTTTTTTCTGCCATTTTCTTTTCTTTTGTCTTTCTTGTAAATCGTTGGACTGCATTTTTGGTGGTTATGGAGGCAGGGAACACAATTTTTCTTTTTTAACTTAAGTCTAATTTTATATTTAAACTCTGTCACATAACCATGATAACACATGTACAGTATATTTATAAGAGTGGAGATGTCTATGAAATATAGTGATCATCAGAGCTCTATTCATTAAGTATTCAAAATTATCCTTGTCTTTGAAAGAAATTATCAAAGCATACTAACCATGCTACATGTAAGTTTGAAACCATGAACTATTAAAGTAACATGTACAGCATATGTTGGTACAATGTATGTATGTTAAAACATGTATTTAACTGCATTTAAAAGTATATAACATGATGTAAAGATGCATTTACCAGTATATGGAATATTTCATGCCATTTATATATATATGCCATTTAAATGAATAATAAATTGTAAAATTTTCATGATTGATTTGTTTTACAGGTCAACTGTGTTGCGTTTTCGCCAGATTTTCAAATAATGGTAACAGGTTCAGATGATGAAAGGGTTCGAGTGTTTGATGCCACAAATGGTGCTATGGTGTGCAAGCTTAAAGGACATATTGGTACAGAGATGATTTTCTTATTGTGCATATTTTACTTTTCTCTTGAACTAGAATATCTGAGTTATTGAGGCTATTGGTATTAGTTTGGACTTTATAATTATTGCTATGTTTTATGAAGATCTAACTAGTAAAACTAGCAGTAAAACCGAACATAAAGTATTTGTAGTTTCCTATATTTGTTCTTATAAGATTAATTGTTGGATGTATAATATGAGGGTACCCAAATTGCACCTATTTTGACAGTTTTTTGCCTACATTTATTTAAGAAACAGACAAAAGTTTCCATTGTGTGATTATTTTATAGGTGTATACTTGTTATACCCCACGCAATTTATTGCGTCGGGTATAATGTTTTTGACACGTCAGTCTGGTCTGTTTGTCCGTCTGTCAGTCCTGTTCTTGTCATCGCAACTCCTCTGAAACCACACAACAGAAATTCATGAAACTTTGTAGATAATAAGGACATACTATGTAGATGTGCATATCGACAGGAAATTATGATTCAATATTTTTCTAGGAGTTATGCCCCTTTGCACTTATTGGCCTCAATATACTACTGCACAGTTTGTTATCACAACTCCTCTGAAACCACACAACAGAATTTCATGAAACTTTGTAGATAATAAGGATATACTATGTAGATGTGCATATCGACAGGAAATTATGATTCAATATTTTTCTAGGAGTTATGCCCCTTTGCACTTATTGGCCTCAATATACTACTGCACAGTTTGTCATCACAACTTCTCTGAAACCACACAACAGAAATTCATGAAACTTTGTAGATAATAAGGACATACTATGTAGATGTGCATATCGACAGGAAATTATGATTCAATATTTTTCTAGGAGTTATGCCCCTTTGCACTTATTGGCCTCAATATACTACTGCACAGTTTGTCATCACAACTCCTCTGAAACCACACAACAGAATTTCATGAAACTTTGTAGATAATAAGGATATACTATGTCGATGTCCATATCTACAGGAAATTATGATTAAATTTTTTTCTAGGAGTTATGCCCCTTTGAACTTATTGGCCTCAATATACTACAGTCCGTCAGTCCTGTTCTTGTCTTGCAACTCCTCTGAAACCACACAACAGAATTTCATGCAACTTTGTAGACAATAAGGACATACTATGTAGACATGCATATCGACAGGAAATTATGATTCAATTTTTATACCCCATGCAACGAGTTGCGGAGGGTATAATGTTTTTGACCCGTCAGTCCGTCTGTCCGTCTGTCCGTCCGTCTGTCCGTCCGTCCGTCAGTCCTGTTTCTTGTCATCGCAACTCCTCTCAAACCACACAACAGAATTTCACGAAACCTTTTTAGATAATAAGGACATACTATGTAGTTGTGCATATCGATAGGAAATTACGATTCAATTTTTTTCTAGGAGTTACACCCCTTTGAACTTATTTACTTTAATGTACTACTGCAACAGTTTGTCATCGCAACTCCTCTGAAACCACACAACAAAATTTCATGAAACTTTGTAGATAATAAGGACATACTACTTCAATTTTTTTTCCAGGAGTAATGCCCCTTTGAACTTATTTGCCCAATATACTACTGCAACCTTTTGTCATCGCAACTCTTCTCAAACCACACAATAGAATTTCATGAAACCTTTTCAGATAATAAGGACATACTATGTAGATGTGCATATCGACAGGAAATTACGATTCAATTTTTTTTCTAGGAGTTACGCCCCTTTGAACTTATTCTTCAATATACCTCTGCAACAGTTTGTCATCGCAACTCCTCTGAAACCACACAACAGAATTTCATGAAACTTTGTAGATAATAAAGACATACTATGTAGATGTGCATATCGACAGGAAATTATGATTCAATTTTTTTTTCTTACAGTTATTTTATTTCTCCAGTGACAATGTGGGGGCCGTGGGGTATGTGAGCGCGCTCACTAAGGTTCTTTAATTTTTCTAGGAGTTATGCCCCTTTGCACTTATTGGCCTCAATATACTACTGCAACAGTTTGTCATCGCAACTCCTCTGGAACTACACAACGGAATTTCATGGAACTTTGTAGATTATAAGGACATAATATGTTAATGTGCATATTCAAAAGAAATTTTTATCAGTTGACTTTTGTTGGAGTTATGAGTCTGAACTTAGGAATCTGGTGAGATTTTGTTTACCCAGTGACAATGTGGGGGCGTGGGGTATGTGAGCATGCTCACTAAGGTTCTTTAATTTACTATAAAGTTCCACAAATGCAATTTTGAATCCACACTAAATCACAGAAAAATTGGTCTGAACAGACCCCTAACGACCCAAGATTCTGTAGTGAGGAGAACCTAATTTGCATTCATGCCTAACTTCACATCCGCAAAAATCAAATTACTAATGTTTTGTTTTATTTCTCCACTTTTTTTTAACAATTTGACAGTAGTCCATGCTTACAATACTATGCATTTTGTGAAAAATAGTTGCCTGTGACATATTTTCATTGTTTATTTTTAAAAGTTGACTTTTTGTGGACGTCACATGCAGTAGATTCTACTTTTCCCACTGAATACTTCATCTGTTGATTAATAATATGACTGTTTTGATTACATTTAGATATGTTGAAAGATATGCATAATGGCAGATTATAAAAAACACAATTTTTTTAGTCTTCAAACAAAACCTGTAAGATTTCAGCTGTTTTTTGCATAGGGACATGTCTCTGAAGAAAATTATCTATATACTTTAATGTAACACAAGGTACCTAACTCGAATATTTGAGGAGTTTCACCCAGTCGGAAACTTCCCTTATATTTCGATTTTGCGGTTGTCTATCCCACTGAAACTTGTTATCCCGTAAATCTACATTGAATTATCTACAAAATGATGTATCACAGTTATCACACCCCTAATTCTTTTATCAGAATCATTCGTAATAGGCCTTCCAAGTATGTCAACCGTAATTATTTTGTCTTCTCATAGCCCTTTGGAAATATCCATCTCACAGTGAATGATTAATTATAAAAAGTATTTCCCAAAAACGTGTTAGTTTTTCTCTGAATAGAACTGATCATCCAGTTAATAAATTTGTAATAGATTCTGTGAGAAAAAATCTAATAGTAAATTTGTAAAAGATTCCGTGAGAAAAAAGTCTAATAAGTGTTATTTGAGGTATGTCTAATAAGTTACAAGTTTCAATTTTTAGACGCAAATTTTCCCATTCCATCAATGTCATTCAGACACTCTCTGGCATTCTGGACTTTACATATAAAATTGATATAACTAAAAAAAACACTTAGTTTTAGCAATAAGATTTGACCAATCGGATTCTGAGATATGTATAAGAGAGGGGAAAGATACATGTACCAAAGGGACAATTATAATTAACCATTTACTGGGAAATTAACATTTCCAAAGGGCTGTGAGAAGATGAAATAATTACGGTTGACATACTTGGGAGGCCTGCTGCCAATGATTCCGACAACAGAAGTAGGCGTGACATACACCATTGTGTAGATAAATCAATGTTGATTAATGGCATAACAAGTTTTAATGGGTAAAACAACTGAGGAATCAAAATATAACGAAAGTTCGCGACTGATTGTCATTTTTCAAAAATGCGAGTTATAAGTACCTTACATTATATTAAAGTATGTAGGGGAAAACAAATTTTCAGAGACAAGTGTCTGTGTTTTTTTTTTTAAAAATGGGTGTAAATTGGGAACTTGGTGCAATTTGGGTACTATGGCATAATGTTAATCTTCCAGGGTTCACCTGACTTCGACCTTATTTTCATAGTTCATTGATCAGTGTTAAGATTTTGTGATTATGTGACAGATTCTTGGTTACTATAAACTATTGGTAAGCAACATACACCCATGGTCTAATGGATAATGGTAAAGTATACATGTCCTTATAAAAGTGTTAGTTTCACAATGACATTCATTGACTTAAGTTAAGTTTCTAGACTAGGTCAGTTTCTTAGTAACTATATAAGTGATACATGTAAGATCACTTTGTAATAGATATAGTAATGGTGAATACATGTACTAAAATTCAGCTTATCCAAGTACCAGTACATAATATTGATACTGGAGTAATTGTATTAATTTAGTCCTATTTTATCTGTCCTGTAGTATATCTTTATTTACACAAGGTACTGGAAAGCATATGAACTTGCTCTTCCATGGAGATTATTTGGCCTGCCCCCTCAGTCATGGTCTATTGACTTTGAAACTTTTGCTTAGTTTACATGTATTAGTTTGTGATTAGGTCAGTTTATGGGGAACCACTAGTGGTAGGTCAATGATATTAGGTATGCAGTTGTATAAGCATTGGCATATCTCATTTCCATGGAGATTATTTGGCCCCGACCCTTCAGTCATGGTCCATTGACTTTGAAACTTTTGCTTCTTTTACATGTATTAGTTTGTGATTAGGTCAGTTTAAGATGAACCACTAATGTTAAGTCAATGATATTTGGTATGCAAATGTATTGGCATTTGCAAGTTTCATTTCCATGGAGATCATATAACCCCACACCCTCATTATGGTTTATTGACTTTGAAACTTTTACATAGTTTACAAGTTAATGTTTGTGTTTGTTTTAAGGGAATGAGTTGTGAGATTTCAGTGGTATTTGGTATACAGTTGTATTAGTATTGGCACATCTCATTTCCATGGAGATTGTTTAGCCCTGTACCTTCAGTCATGGTTCATTGACTTTGAATATTTACATAACTTACATATTAATAAAGTATTGCTATTTTAATTTCAACATTTGCATTATCAAAATAACAAATAGGTGAGACATATCTCTGTGTTAACAGTTTATAGTGTTTATTTGGCTGTGTAAATTTATATCAAATAAAACATCATAGAATACCATATACAATTTGGCTACTAAAATTAACACTAGAGTAAAAAAAAATTTTGTCAGTGTAGACGAGAAACAAAAAAATACTTACTGTTTTAATTTATAATATTTTTAAGTATGCACATTTAAATAGTCCATACTTTTTTGCAATGTTAAGTTAAAGTACATTTTCAATATGTGATTCTGAAAATCAGAAATAGTTTGAAATAAGTTTTATTAAAGGGACAATTCAGAGTTGTTCCTTATCCTTTGGTAAATACGCTAAAATGACATATATATATCTGCACAGTTATTTATGCTAGATATTGGATTTTGATTGGATGAAACATACAAGATGATTGCAACAATATTTTGAAGAAAAATTAAGAGAAAATTTGTATATTTTTCTTTTCCTTTTCAGGTGCTATAAAAAGTGTTGCAGTAGCTCCTAACTGTAAAACATTTGCTAGTGCATCTTATGATAAAACAATCCGTGTCTGGAGAACTTCAGATGGTGAAAATCTTCATATCTTAGAAGGTATGTTGTATTTACTTTATAAGTACTTTTTAATGTAAACATAAAATGCTTATCATTTGTCTGACAGAATAATGCTTCTGAATTAAAGAAGGCTGCACATGGAGTGAGACTGAATAACAAGAGTGTAAAATATTTAAAAAAAAGTATTGCTTATATCTTTTCAAGGCAATTATAAAATATCCATGATTTAACAGAAAAAAAAATGTTTTAGGTCACATGAAGAGTTTGAAGGCAATTATAAAAGATTCATGATAGTACTTTTCACTTATTTATACATATCTCTGAAAGAGAAACAACATTTGAATAAACTCATCATAGATACTACATGAGGATAGAAATTTTCTACGTCAGTTGCACATTTCTTCTACACAAGACAAAAAAAGAGAACAGGAAAATTAAATTTTTTTTTTAAATGAACAATAATTTCATTATAAATGTTATAGGTCACATGAAGAGTGTTGAGGTAGTTGTTTACTCTCCAGACTCAAAGCAATTAGCCTCAGGGTCCTGGGACAGGACTGCCATTATCTGGAATGTCGAGGTTAGTTTTCTCATTGAAGTAGATTTAACTGTAAAGTAAAATTGATATGTGTTTTGCATTACATATAGGCAAATTGAGACAAAACTCTGGTAACAAATATGATTTTTAATAGATATACAGTAACTGTAAACCTCCAAATAAACATGTTCATGATAAACTGAATCAGGATAGCCATTGACATGCTCATATCAAGCCATTTCATACTACCAGGCAAAAGCCGTTTTACTTGCTGCAACACAACCATCTAACACTATTGAGTTAAAGCAATGTTAGTTATTCGTCAAGACTTTTCATACTATCCGTTAAAGCAGGCCTTAACCCAGCAATATTTTACAATCAGGCTATTGGCATGTTAAAGGAAACTAAATATCTATCTCAATCTTATGCTTGAATCATGTAAAAGGTCAAAATCTATCCATTTAATACAATTAGGTTTGATGTGTAATACAGGACTGATGCTATCGTGTTATCCTAGGTTTTTTCAGTCAGTTTTCTATGTTGTGTTTTGTAGAATTGTTTGTATTTTTGTTGCTTTTTTTGGGGGGTGGGGGTGGGGGGGGTTGCAATTGCAGTGTTGGTTTCTGGTAGACTTATGAGTTTGAATATCCCTTTGGTATCTCTATCTCTCTGTTCAAGGCTTTTAAGCCATTTAACAGTCCACAATCGAGCCATTTTACACTAACAACTGATAGAAATTGATATGCAAAACCCATCTATCATACTATCATGTTAAACCCATTTAACTGGTCACAATTCATTTATTTCATATTATCGGGTTAAAGCCATGTTACAAGTCACAATCCAGCCATTTAATATTATCAAGCCGAAGTATTAAAAAATGCGCTTTTCGGGCCATTTCACACTATCAATCAGTCTTCAGCTTTATACCTGGCTGTTCTCCTGTTGTATCATATTACAGGATAAAGCCTCACAACAAAGCAAGATTCTGTGTTAAAATCAATTTGCTGAGAAATTTAAAAAAGTAATGTAAAATGAGAAATTATCTTGAGGGTTTTATTTTTGCTTATTTTGTGATTCTCCATATCCATATATTTCATATAAGATCTTGAAATATCCCCTTGAGAAAATTTGTTCTTTAAGGAATATCAGAATTAGAGAAAATAAAAATGCATAAATGAAACCTTGTGAATAGTTATTGCCTTTGAAATTGCTAAATTTAAACAGCACGAAAATAAATCACTTTACAGTACTACTACTTTTAGTAATATTTAGGGGTGAACACCACACACTCACTCTCTGTGCTTGAACTTATCTATCTGTCTGTAGAAGTCCTGCACCACAGAGAATACATAAGAGGGACTGTTATTCATGTCTTCCTATTTTTTGTTTTTGAGGAAATATTTCCTCCTTTTTAGCTCACCTGGCCTAAAAGGTCAAGTGAGATTTTCTCATCACTTGGCGTCCGTCGTCCTTCGTTGTCAACTTTTTCAAAAATCTTCTCCTCTGAAACTGCTGGACCAAAAATAATCAAACTTGGCCACAATCATTATTAGGGTATGTAGTTTAAAAATGTGTCCGATGACGCGGCCCACCAACCAAGATGGCCGTCATGGCTAAAAATAGAAATCTGACAGGGATAAAATTGTTCATCAGGTCAAGATCCATCCGCCCTAAAATTTTCAGACAAATCAGACAACCCGTTGTTGGGTTGCTGCCCCTAAATTGGTAATTTTAAGCAAATTTTGAAGTTTTTATACGCCCGTTTACGGGTCGTATTATGGTATACCGTTGTCCGTCCGTCTGTCCGTCATCAACATGTCGGACATTAACTCAAAAATGCTTTAACCAATTTGCATAAAACTTTGGTGAATTGTTTATTTCAATTGACGTGAGCTCCCTTTCGTTTTTTATAAAAGTTAGATTTTACGTTTCATAGTTATGGGGTTTTATTCATTAAAAAAAGGGGGATTTTCAAGTTTTGGACAATAAGTCAAGAATGCTTTCACCAACTTGCAAGAAATTGTGGTGAATTGTTTATATCTATTGACATGAGTTCCCTTTTGATTTTTTTAAATTTTAGATTCTACGTTTCGAGTTACAGGGTTTTATTCATAAAAAAAGGGGGGATTTTCCAGTTTTCGGACAAAAACTCAAAAATGCTTTCAGCAATTCTTATGAAACTTTGGTGAATTGTTTGTATGTATTGCTGTAAGATCCCTTTAGAATTTTATAAATTTTACATTTTACATTTCTGAGTTATGGGGTTTTATTCATTAAAAAAAGGGGTAATTTTCCGGTTTTCGGACAATAACTCAAAAATGCTGTCACAAATTCTCATGAAACTTAGGTGAATTGTTTATATCTATTGATGTAAGCTCCCTTTTTATTTTCATAAATTTCTAATATGACATTGAGAATTAATTGAACTTTATTTGTTTATAGTCTGACAACAGATTTACTAAGTATTGCACAACAGCAAGAAATCTTTAATTGAATATAAATTCAATTCATATAACCAATTTCAAGATCTTTGACTACATTTATTCAGAAACCTATAATATGTCAAATATTTAATTACAATCCAAATTCAGACCTGAATCAAGCTTGAATATTGTGTCCATTTTTGCCCCAACTGTTCAGGGTTGGACCTCTGCGGGCGTATCTAGCTGCGCTCAGCGAAGCAGTTTATTGGTTATTATCTTCAATATTATTATAGATAGAGATAAACTGTAAACAGCAATAATGTACAGCAAAGTAAGATCTACAAACAAGTCAGCTTGATCAAAATGGTCAATTGACCCCTTAAGGAGTTATTGCCCTTTATAGTAAATTTTTAACAATTTTTTGTAAATTTTGTAATCTTTTACAAAAATCTTCTCATCTTAAACTACGGAGACAAATTTACCAAACTTGGCCACAATCATTATTAGGGTATCTAGTTTTAAAAATGTGTCTGATGACCCTGCCTACCAACCAACATGGCCGACATGGCTAAAAATAGAACATAGGGTTAAAATGCAGATTTAGGCTTATATCTCTGAAACTAAAGCACTTACAGCAAATATAACAATTTTAAAATGTTCATCAGGTCAAGATCTATCTGCTGTAAAATTTTTAGACAAATTAGACAACCCATAGTTGGGTTGCTGCCCCTGAATTGGTAATTTTAAGAAAATCTTGCAAAAATGTTCAGAATAATGAGCTCTACCAATTGTCCATTATATACGTCGAAACTGTTAGACAAATTCTTATAGGATTTATTGCCCATAAATGACAAATTTTACCTTTTTTTTCATTTTTGCCTATTATTATGAGAACTATGATATTGAGAGAGAAACATTTTTTTCCGTTATGCCTTATATGATTTAAATTATAATAGATAAATAAACACTTTAAATCACAAAAATGATCAACAAGGCATGATCTATTAAAAAGTCAAATTTGCCGATATAGTTAGTAGACTGTCACTCTTCATAGGAGTGATTGCTCTTAAATGAGGATTTTTTTAACCCTCTTTTGTGTTTTGAGCAAAAACTAAAGAAGATAGAGAGGAACTAAACAGACTAAAAGATCAGTAATACAAGATCAACAAAATAGAGATTTTTGTCATGAAGTCTATTCTTGTCTACAATGTTGGAGAGTGTCCTTTGTTAGATATGCACATACATGTAGACCAAGGTGAGCGACACAGGCTCTTTAGAGTCTCTAGTTTACATTGTGAAAGTACTTTTACAGGTCAATGTGACGTTGGTGTCTAATAAAAAGGGGCTCAAATGACAATAATACCAATTTTTTTACAATGTCTAAAACACAATAATATGTTTTATCTCTGGTTGAAAAAAAAGTGTTTTGTTTGTATCTTGGGGTTCAAAATAAGTAAAGATTTTTTCCTGATAAAAATGAATACATATTTTTGGATTGTTCTGTCTTCTCACATTTATTTTGCTCCATCCATATATTGTTCTTTGAATTCACATCTGTAATTTTTGGATTGGGATTTTTCACCTGTTTTCTTAATTCACATTTCTTATTTTAGGATTGATATTTTCACCTGTTATCTGAATTCACAATTCTTATTTTATTTTTTTGACCGGATGCACAATGAGCTTTATTACAAGTAAGATAATAATAATTTGAAGGTCAAAGTCACAAAATTTTAATAGGTTGTAGAACCTAAGTCTCTGCGTGCATGTTTTGCAGAAAGCTCACGTTTCCCCCATTAGTTCTGAATCTTATTGTTTGGTATGTTGTTTAGTTGCAAGCACACAATGTACCTAATTACTCATGTATGAAGAAAACACTTAAAAACTAAAACAAAATAATGAACATATAACAAGGGTCTCAAGAGATCTCAAAGGCGTTTAGTATATATATTTAGGTACCCATAAATCAAATATATGAGTTTTAAAAGTATTTTTTCAGCAAGGTTTTCCCATCCGAGTTCTGACAGGACACAAGAGTGTAGTACAGTCATTAGCATTCTCATTAAATGGTAAATGGTTGGTAAGTAACTTTACCTGTATTTGAAATTTGGTATTACATCTTCTTTATTATTGTAATTTAAATTATTGTTAGATTTGATGAAAAAGTTTTTATCGTGAAAAATAATAAAATGGAGTAAATATTTTGCAGATATGTTTTTTAAGTACTCTACATATCCATGTATTTTGAAATGGGGTTTAATGCTTTACAAATTTAAAATCTATGCAGAATTGGAAATATGATGATAATTTAAATCCATAATTTTCTTAAATTTTGACCAGGCATGTATAAAAGTATTTAGATTAACCAATATGAATCAATGTTGGATTAACACTAATGAAACAACCAACCAGTGACACACAACTAACAAACAAAAAAAGATATCTAAAGGTCAACATATAGTTCACAACAAATAGATGAGTATCTTTATAAAATGTAAGGTCTAAAACCTCATATCTAAAGTAGTAAACAAAGTATTCCTTAGAAAACACAAACATTTATACTACTAAAATAACTAGGTCCAATTTGTTAGCCTGCATGACATTAAAACAACAAATCAAAGAATTCAACTTTATGTATAACTAATATAGGACAATAGTGTTGATTAAAAATTACACCATTCAAGGCCCTTTTGTTTTCCACATAAACAATATTACCAATAATTAACAAGTTCCGGGTCAAATCCGATACCGATACCAATAGTATATGTGACATGTAGTTTCTGGTTGTAATAAGAAATCTAGGACCGGTTCAAACAGAAAGACTTTGAAAGCAGAGAAAACTGTGCACCTTATAATCAGCATGACTTTATCAGATTACAACACAAATAGAAAAAATCCAGGCTAAAAATAAGGCGTAGGTACTTTAATTCAGTCAAGGACCTGCAGGTGTGTTCTAGTCTAATTTTAATATAACTGAAAGTATCAATCATGGTTCCATAAATGTTCTTTTGAGCAGATTATTTTTTAAATACCTTTAAAATGTATTCATGCTTGAGAAGTAAGAACAAAAAATTAATCCTATGAATATTTCATTGTATTAACAAAACCATATATGGTAGATAACCATAATTGATGATGATTATATTTTCTAGGCCACAGGTTCTTGGGACTTTACAGTTAAAGTTTGGACTCTGAATGATCCAGATGATTCTGTTGTAACTATGGAAGGACATAAAGGAAATATACATGCTGTTGCTTTCTCAAAAGATGGCATGCTGGTAACAATATACATATAACAGTCAATGGGATATATATAACTGTTAAATAAATTGGTTTATTTATTACAAAAAATGTGTCCATAGCCTGAATATTTAGTGAATTGAAAAAGATAAAGGGGATTTCATTTTAACAAGACTTACCCCTCATTGGTGGCAAACTTACCATTGCAGACATATTATGGGAAAAGTGTTTCAGTATCGTTTTTCATATTCCTTAGTTTTCTGATTAAATATTTTGTTTTATTCCATATCTTCTTCGATTCCATTAATCTTTTTGAAATGTTGTGTCCCAAAACAAAACTGTCATAAGTTTTGGAGATTCTGGCATCACCTGTTCTGGAATTTTTTTTTCAAAGGAACCAATTATTTCACTTGTTATGATGTACAGCATTTCTTTTTATCAAATTTTAGGCAGTTTTTTTCTCATTCTTCATACAAAATTTTTAACATGAGTAGGTCAAAAGTACCTCATGTTACAAAGTAGCAGGGTATAGTTTCTTTTACCTGTCCAACTGTTAGTCAATCTGTCAGTGATTCTTTTTTAGCATGCTAACTCAAATACTTCATATCATATCTGATTTCAACCATACTTATGGGTATATGATACAGTTTTGATCCCACGGTGATTTTTTTACGAAAGTTTGCATACAAGCTATTTTTTACTTCATCAATTCAGATATGTAATAAAAAAATATACCTTCATGTGCTAAATTTAGAGATAAATGGGATCGAAATTTTAGACATTTACTTGAATTTCGGTTTCTTGGACATTTCTATCCTTTGGACATACATACTTAACTTTTTTGTTTCAAAAGATAAACTCATGAAGATTTTTGTAAAAAGATTTAGAATATCTTCGTTACAAAAGTAGGCTCTTAATTTGTTTAACAATTCTTTTTAAATAATTCATTTTTATTAAATTTGTATGAATTTAGAAAAAAAAAGCATTTTATAGCTCTTTAATGTCAAAACTTGTCAATATTTGATTTGCATCAATTATAGTTAATATAGAATGAATTAGATATTGGCACATGGTGAATTACAATATTACAGGCATCAGGCTCCTGGGACAAAACTGTAAGGATGTGGAACCCTAAAACTGGTAAACAGATTCATCAGTGTGAGGGACACGGTGGATGGGTACAAGCTTTATCTTTCTCTACTGATGGACTATACTTAGCCAGTGCTAGTGATGATGAAACTGTGAGAGTATGGGATGTTTTAACAGGGGAATGTATCAAGGAATTAGAGGTAATCAAAAAGGTTCAGATTGATTTCCATGTAAAAAGGTTACAGCCCCGATTTGTTTTTACTTATATGTGTCATTTAATCATTAAAAAATGGTTAATTTGTTTAAATCAAACACATGCATGTAGTTTCATTCCTTACTATTTAAACAGTTTGAATTATTGCTTATAAGTATGTAATGCTGGACTAAAAGTATTAAATATCCTAATACACACAATGTCTGTACACAATGTCTGTAAACTCAGACTTACTCATTTGTAAACCTTTAAAGTTGGAGCACTAAGTCATTACATAAATTATTTCAATAATTTGCTTTTAACATGCAATATAAAACAATAGTTTGACTACACAGCAGTGATAAAGCGAGTAGTCTAATGTCTAAAGGGAAATATAGTATTTGGTGATATTTGTTTTTTATACTTGACAGATCATATATTACAGATTAACACAATAAGATTTAATGTTCCTTTCACTCACTATTTACTGTATCACATTTTAGACAGTTCAGTTATTTTGGATTTACCACTCAGTCAAACTTTTGTTGTAAATTTTGCCTTCATTCATTTAGCTCAATTTTTGCATGTATCAAAGTACTTGGTAAGATTTCATCCAAATAACATTTTCTACATTTCCAACAGTCAGTTATATATAAACCATCATGCTTGTTCTTATTTTAGGGTCAGACAGATACGGTACAACATTGTGCTTTCAAACCTGGTGGTGCTTTGGTAGCCTCTGGATCTTTAGCTACAGTGTTATCATTTAAATGATACATATTTAGTTCATGCTCAGTACACATTTACTTAGATTGGTATCCTTGATATCATTAGCTACAACATTAGCATTTAAATGATTCATAGTTAGATGGGTTCAGATGCTGTTTTGTTATAAGAAGCATCAGTAAAAATATTACTGACCTAAGTGTATTTTTGTATTCTTATTTCATTGAGAATATTATTTGAATATATCAAACAAAGTAGGAAACCTGAGAACTATCTGGTTAGAACCAAATCCTCACATACTTTTATTTATTGGTATGTTCCTTTAAGATCAAGTTTAGTGTACATTTAAATTACAAATAATTATCCAGTCAGAAAACTGTCTTGGAAATTCTTTGGTTCAAATTAGCAGATATAATTTTTCTGTACCAAATTATGGAACGTATAATCCACAGATTTTTACCTCGAAATTCAAATTACCAGGCAGAGGTGCAGAATAAACAGTACTGCAAGCAAAAAATAAAAATTTAGATTCCACGATTCTTTTTTACAATTTATATTTTCACCAAATTTTAGTCAATAAAGAAAAGCATACCATGAAAATACCATAAATATTGTGACAAAATATATTATTTCCAAAATATCAATGGTAAATTTATTATACATAAATATGGTTTCTACATGACCTTTTAAGGAAAATAGACACATTTTTAACTCAAAGAAAAGCTTACTTGTGGAAACTTTACAAACAGTGAAAATCAAGAAAAACAAGGAAGACTAGAAATGTGATCCCTTTTTGGTAGACATTTCAAAAGTGCACGTCTGATAAGTCTGGAAGTTAAGAATAAACAATAATCCCTGACAAAAAAAAAGTTTTTTTTTTGTGAAACTGAAGACCTTTAATAGACATTTTTTTAAACAATTTATTGGAAACAAATAATTTTGTACAATGAGTAGATATGAGACAAAAATATCAGATAACATGATATTGATTATTTAGATAAGAGTACAATATATTGTTTGTGTTGTTATTTCTATTTATAATTTTAATTTACATGTTACAAGGAAGAGTAAATAATTCTGCTTTACTTGTAGTGCCAAAATGTTTTAATTTTTACAATGATTGTGACATCTACAAAAAAATGAAGGGTTTATATATTCATTCAATCTTTTTTAAATGTTGTTTCATATTGGATATTCTGCTGAAAATATTATTCCATGTAAAATTGATTGTGTCAAATTATAAAAGTGCCTATATTTATTTAATTTATACATGTTATGGATTATTTATACTTATAATATTGCGTTCAGTTAATGTCTATTATTTTATTTAAAATGAATATGGTTGTAAGAAATTGAGGACAGTCTTGTGATCTTTAAAAGATGGAATAATTTTTTGTTAATAGCAAGCAAACTCAATTTCCTGATTCAAAGTATGTTTTATTTTTCTATTAAATATTAAAGAATGTTATTTAAACTTATTATTCAATGGTGACTTTTCTATATAGAGCAGATTAGATGTCAGAGCTGTAATATTTTATAGAAAACATATAAGATTCAGTGCAAGATTCAATCTTACTTGATTAGGAGCAAAATTTAAAATGAACATATTTTGATTTTATTTTCCATAATCAAAAACCTTTGAGTATATTTCCATTTTAAAACCTCATTTAGGATTGTGAAAGAGAAACAGGCATTCTGTTCAATAAACAGTATAAAATATTGGGAAATGTACTTTATTGTTCCCCGTCTGATGCATTGCAGGGGACATAGAAATACCAGGTGTCTATCTGGCCTTGTTAGCGCTCTCACGTGTACAATTCTTGTCAGATTTATATGAAACTTATATCAAAGGTTTAAATAAGTAATGATTCAGACAAGTTTGAAAGTATGTGCTGAACAACTATTTTTAAAAGAGTTATGCTCCTTAGAAGTTTCTGGTAAAAATTGCATTGTTAGCGTTCTCGCGTGTACAATTCTTACCAGATTTTTATCAAATTTATATCAAAGGTTTATATCAGCAATGTCAAGGACAAATTCAAAAATCAGAGCTGATAAACTTTTTTAAAAAGAGTTATGCCCTTGGAAATATTAATTATATAGAAAACTGCATTCTTAAAACTCTCAAGCTCACATTTCTTTAAGATTGTTATCTATTGAAGGTTTATATCAGAAATGTCAGGAACAAGTTTAAAAATGAGCTCAAATTGATGATTTCTTTCAGGAGGTATGTGGTTTAGATGAGTAAATTCTATAGAAAATTGCATTGTAAGCACTATCATGTGTACAATTCTTGACAGATATTTATGAAATTTATATCAAGAGTTTATATCAGCAATATCTCTGGCTATTTCAAAAATCGGTGCTGATTAATTATTTTTAAGAGTTATGCTCCTTGGAAATATTGATCATATGGAAATTGCCATGTAAGTTCTCTCAAGCCTACATTTCTCTATAATATTTATAAACAGCTTAAAAGGACCAAAACAAATTTTTTTGTTAATGACCTTGGACAGATAAAATATGCACAACACATGGGACATTGGAACTCTTTTTCTTTTATGCTTAATTATGATGTGTTATTTCAATAATATTCCTTAAACTGAACCAATGAATAGCCTAATATTTCATTCCAGAAGTAAGGATATATAAAGAAAACTCCTTGCTTGTTCTATATGACAACAGCAGCTAGTTGCCATTGGTTTCAAACAAAATGAGAAGGGTCTGTTGTGCAGCGTAACAGTAGAACTAACATTATTTTGTAAGAATTGAAGGAATTCTATTTTTGCAATTTCATGGGCAAAATAATGGCTCTTACCATACTTTCTACTTACAAATAATGATTGAAACCTAAATCAATCAATTAATATCCACCAAACCAAGCCCAAAGAGTAAACAGGGCACTTTTGATTTTTAAAAAATTTATAAAATGATAAATGTGCATGGTCAAATATATAAACAAAAAGACATAAAATATACATAAAACATGTGCATCACAACATTGTTGAACAAATAAAAGGCAAATACAAAACTCCTTATGAAGAATACCAAAAAACTAAATTAGAGACAGAGAGAAAATTCCTCAATCTGTTAACCAAAAATATGATGAGAGACAATATAAACAAATTTAACTATTAAAAAGGAAAGAAATGGATCAACTTTAAGTATCCTAACTGGTGGGGAGGAAGATAGCACATCTGAGAAAATAAAACACAAATTCAAAAGTGGCTTGTAAGTTTTAACCAAATAAGTTTTCTTGAAACATTCCTCGTGACATCCTATATATTTTCCCTAATCACAAAGTTTTCAGTATTGTCAACTCCGTTACTTTTCAGTAATAGTTAAGTTTCATAGGGAACTAAACCTTTTACACACGCAATTCATTTATTATATTTGAATTCAACAATAGACTTTTGACAATAATTGGTGTTATTCGTACATACATCAAAATTCACTTGGCACATCTGTAGTTATTATAATTAATAGTATCCAAAAAGTCTGATCAAGGGAAATCTTGCACAGTATTCTTTTAAACCTTGATGTTTTTTACATGCTTTGCAATGGAATTTTTTGTTATGGTAAAAAAAAAAACAGCTAAAATATGCTATGTTGCTCATATCTTTGAAATATATGATTTCTAAGTGACAACCATAACCAGAGACTATAACACAGTAAAGTGTTGATAATAGTCTCAGTTGTAACATAATTTCTGAGATGCTCAGATCATAAAAAATTATCAGTTCTTAGATTTAGGAAGTTTAGATTTTATTTTTTATACTGAATGTTGTCTTGAACAATGTTAATAAACAAATTAAAATGTAGTAAGGTATGAAAGTTCTAGGATTCTGTTTCCCTACCTTTATCAAAAAAAAGGTGCATTAAATGGCAATCATTGATAAAAGAAGAATGTAACTGAGGACATGAATGACCCCGCAGCATTGCAAAAGGGTCATAACTCTAGAATGGTAAATGACTCACTGCCCAAATTCGAACTCTGTCTGCGAATTGTTTTTCTTAGCATTGTGTATGAGTTTCATTAAATTTGCCTGAGGCAAACATAAGTTGGAGTGCGAAAACTAAAATGGGACGGACGGAAGGATGGTCAAGGGTAACACTTAATGCATAAAACTGTATTCTTATTTTTAAGTAATGGGGAACAGATTCATATTGGTAATTTGGTAAATAATGTGGAAACCGACCATATCACTATAGCATGAGGTGCCACAAAACCATACTGTAAGGCCCCTACAAAACTACAAAAAGCAGCTTTAACTTGTCATTTTGCAATATGCAGTTATGGAGTTAGTTTTTGTCCATAAACAGTTAGGATCAGTTTCCCCTGAATTTATGACACACCTGTATAAGAATAAGAAGATTTGGTATGATTGTCAATGAGACAACTCTCCACCAGAGACCAAATGATGAAAAGGTGTAAAGCTAAAGGTCAACATACTGCCTTCAACAATGAGCAAAACCCATACCGCATAGTAAAAGCCATCAGAAGGACAAATGTGAAACAATTCAAACGAGAAAACTAACGACCTGATTTATGTACAAAACAATAAACGAAAAACAAATATGATATACAGCAACAAACTACAACCACTAAATTACAGGCTCCTGACTTGGGACAGGCACATACAAAAAGAGGCTGGGTTAAACATATCTGTTGGCGCCAAACCTCCCCCTAACCTGGGACAGTGGTGTAATAGTACAACATACAAACTATCATTCAAGACCGAAAGGTTATAAATTTTGTGAAAAATGGACCAAAATATCGTCCACGGTCGAAAATAAATTGGAAAGAGTGTGTCAGTGCTCTTTCGTCTTATTGTAAAAATTTGTGGAAACGGGAGAAATCGGACAAAAGGTCACTTAATTCCTGTTTAAATAAAATGTCTGAATATTTTCAATATTCGCATATCACATTTCGAAAATATTTAAGAAATAAACAAAAGAAGTAGTAATACGCCCATTCAGTCTAGGATTAAAAACAAAATGGAAGTACTCGCAAAGCATTTGTGTTCATACCGGCCAACAAAGAATTCAATAACGTGGAGGTGGTATGATGTAAATACAACACGAAAGTCCGAAAGAATGAAATAATGCATTCAATCACATTCAAGGCTGTGTGCTCCACAGAGAGGCAAATATTAAATAATCATGTCACTGCCACAGCTCAGCTTAAGGCCACCTCTGAACATTTGAAGGTCCCTATTATGTATTGGTTACCTAAATTACACAAAAAAGCCATAAAATATTGTTTCATTTTGGCCTCTAGTTAGTGTTCGTCTACTAATCTGTCAGTGCTTTAACTAATTTCTTAACTACTATCAAAGAACTTATCAGTAACTTTTGGATGTTCAAATTAAATTACGTGCTTTTGATGGTCCTTTTGATTTGGTTGACAGTTCTGACTTTTCCACTCTTTGTAGTACACTTCCACACAATCTTATCAAACAAAAGTTTTCCTGTTTGATTAAATGGTCGTTTGAAAAATCCGATTGCAAATTTATTTTTTGCAACTCATATAAAGCCTTTTTCTTTAATAAGAAAGATGAATATGCACAGGATAGATTATATATACTTACTGGATTTGTGATGAGATGATTAAAGCTGTAAATGTTCTCCTTGACAACATTTATTTACGTTTCGCCAATAAAGTTTATCGACAGGTTGTAGCAGAGACATATATACATATGAGGCGCCGTTTTACTATTTATTCCCTATTTTCTGATATCAAAAAATGATTTTCTGATATCAAAAATTCTATTTTTTGATATCAGAAAATCGATTTCTTGATATCAAGAAATAAAGAATATTTTCTGATATCAAAAATTCGAATTCCTGATATCAAAAATTCATTTTTTGATATCAGGAAATAGATTTTTTGATATCAGAAATTCGAATTTTTGATATCAGAAAATATTTTTGATTTTTTGATATCAAGAAATAGATTTTTTGATATCAAAAAATCATTTTTTGATATCAAGAATTCGAATTCCTGATATCAATAAATGATTTTTTGATATCAGAAAATAAGAAATAAATGAATGATGGCTCCCTCTGTGTCATTTAAAACATTCAGGCTCACCAGTGAGGCCAAACATCAGGAAATATCTGAAATAATGTTCCCGGTAGACCAATTGTTTTATAGTGTGGAGTACCACTATACACGGTATTGGTCATTATATTGATGACATTGTGTCCCTTGTTACAAAAAAAAATGCTTATACACTTCAAGTTTTATAAACATGAATAAGACTTCAAAGTCTCCGGAAAACTGCTATTTAATAACAATATTTGAAGCAAAAAAAGTATTTACACTAATCTTCAGTTTGATCAAAATTATTACGAAATTCAAGACCCATGCACTAAAAGACAATATATGGAAGATTTTTTACAATTATTCCTAAATAAAACATATTTACTCTTGTGTCGTACAATCCGAATGGACGGGATATGTCGACC